ATCCCTTTCATTATCTAGCAACGTTTTGAAAAAATAAAATAGAGTCTGTAGTGGTTAAGACGAGTAAGTGATTAGAAAAACCCATATTCACAAAACGTACCCTGTTACCTGGGTTTGGTCTATACCTATCTGTCTATCTATCTATCTGTCTGTCTGTAACTATCGTTGTACATGAATATTTTATTCTTACTTTTACTAAAGTTCCCTAAAATATAGATTTTGCATCTAACTTTATGTGTATATTCTCGTTAAACACATTCTTAAAGTTATTTCAGTAACCCAAAAAAGAAGAGTTCCACATCACCTATCTGGGACTCTTAAATTGTTTACAATATTTCAGCACACATCTGGTAAATGTAAACAATTTATATTGTTTGCGGTGGCTTATAGAAATCCTCTGCCGCTGGCAGGAGGCCAGCCATGTGGGACCTGCTGTCCCTGGGCACCGCCTCGCTAGTGGCGACTCTGTCACAAAACCAGGGCTGCAAATGCCTTCCAGAATGGCCTGCCTACATTTACAGGTAGGGTCGTAGCTAGCTTACGCCTCGGAGCGTTAACCTTGACCCTCCCCCCCCCGGGGGAAGCCGGGACTTCCTCATTGTAGTAGCAATCCTGCAGCTTTTATCGTCAGGACGTAAAGTCCATTATCTCACTTTATTAATAATTGAAGATTAAAAACTTATTGATAAGGGTAATCCCGTTACATTTTGGCCACCATCCGAATCTAAGACTGATTAGTTACAGGCAGTCAGGAAGGAAAATTTTACAAAGCCCATTACAAGCCCGTTGTAGGACCCCCTTCCTCTATGTAAGAATATCTAGTCATTGGCTCACTACTATCCCCGCCTAAAGCGCAGGCGCTCGTCACCGTTCTGCTCCGCGCTGGTCGTGAGGCTGCCAGGCGAATGCTGCCCTCTATTGGGGTACATGAGACTAGTGTGTTAAATCTATTGTATAGATACAAACACTACATCGCTTGATTATATAATATACTGGGTTTACCGATTGGTTGATTTATCCAAAGGAAGCGCAGAGTAAGTCAATAATTTTAAATGAATTATCTTTGACTAGAGTAGCGTCGAATATGGTCGAGTTTGGATTAAGTCTTTACGCAAAGAAGCTGGTATTGAAGCTTCTCCCAGATCTGTAAGACCTTCAGTAGCTTCCCTTAACTGGATAGAATGCTTTCAAATAGATAAAATTTAGAAACTAGAAACGGGGGCAAGATCCTTTACCTATAAGAGGTTTTAAAAGAGTTGTATTAAATCGGTCACAGGAAAGTACAAAAGTTTAGCTGTCAAGCTATCTTGATATATTCCTTAAATCAAATTGTTATTTAAATAAATTATTTTATTCCAATAATTTAATTTTTATTGGACACATTATAGCATCGTCATAATATTTATGAACAGGTGATAACAAACACGTCACTCAAGATGGATTCCGGATGGCAACATGGAACAATAATAGAGAGTTTTACCTACCAATAAAACTTACCTATTATTTTTCCTTAAGACATCCGGAATCCAGGTAATTTCTACCTGGTTCATCTCGAGTATGTATAATGAGGTAAGAAATATCAATTTGTTAAAATGTGCAAGTTTTCTCCCGCCAAATTGACATTAAAGGGCTGAAGTTGCACCGGAAGGGAGCGAAAACTGGACAAAAAAGGCTAAAAAGACAGGTGCTTGACTCAAGATGGATTCCGGATGTCTTAAGGAAAAATAATAGGTAAGTTTTATTGGTAGGTAAAACTCTCTATTATATGTAGATGTCACGTTGGCGCCGCGACGCTCGTTCGTTGAGGACCATAAGTGACAACAGGATGTAAATAATTTAAATGTGAGCTCACAGTAATTGTCGTTATAATTGAAATCTTTTATTACGTTGGCAATATAAATATCTTATAAAGGAATACATATATTTAATAATGATTATAATGGTTCAGCTAAATAATAATTCATTTGACATAAATTGAAAATATTCTCTGTTTAATGATAACTAATTACTCCACGTGTATTCTTTGGCTAGTAATACATAGTTAAAGTCAGTGATGGCCTAGTGGTTAAAAGGCCTATCTCTCATGCACGAGAGCGCGGGTTCGATCCTGGCCCTGGCAAGTAAAAATGTGATTTTTCGGAGTCATATGTACTTTCTAAGAGTATTTAGACATCACTGATTAATGTCATCCCAAAAAAGGGTTGATGTCAGGCAGGCGGCCGGTCGTAAAAACAATTAGCCAAAACTATTCACAACATGTAAGGCAGACCCTGGCTAAAGCTGGGAAATTGCCAGGTAGAAGAAGATACATTTATAATAATGTTCAATGATAACTAATTGCTCCTTGTATTGTTTGGCTAGTAATATAAGTAACCTAAAGAAAACAGCCTTCGTTTTAACATAAATAATTAATATATTAATTACAACTATACATAATATAAACATATATTTTAAACTATGTTTGACTCAACTCTACTTATAAACAAACATCAATTCGATATTCTATATTTACATGTGACACACGTTCCAAGAAACCATTCCGAGCTGAGTCGGGTGTAAAAGTTATGCTAAAAATGTTGTGACATCACACTCCCTTATAACTTATTGATGCAATAACAAATCATGTAACTTTTAATATGTATCAATTGATGAATATTTAATACAAAGCGGTTTAGAATTAATTTACTTGTAGCATGATCTAAGATGTCACGAATGCAAGTATATTAAAGATTTAAATTATGTATTTGCATATATATAATAAAAAAACTGCATTTTTATATATAAAAATGTACGCCATGAAATATAAAATTATTTTAGTAGCATTAATCTACAGAAATTTCAAGATATATTTGTTTAAAAAACATATTATTTGTGTTTATTAGTTATTACAATTTTATTAAGGGTGAGTGAAAAATATCACTTAAAGATCTCTTTTTTTTTATTCTGCACTGTGTTCTCCAAAATTCATTCTTTTTGATATATTTAATCTACTACGGCTGGAATTTAAAATCTCAATCTTATCCGTAGTGATTTATATAACAAATAGTATAACATTTCTTTGATATAATCTTCAGTATAAGTCTTCTATTGTAGGTTAAACTAAAAGTCATTGTAGGTGAATTAATTATAGAAGGTTCAAATATTAATAAATCAATCCTAAAGGTTACTTATAGTGTTTAAGTTTACTTACTTAGTCACTCTCTGTCAGGCGAGCGTTTGTAAAAATAATTATAGTAAAACACAATTTGTGTTATATAAAAACAAAAGGCTTTGAGTTTTTATGTAATATGAAATTATTTAAGCAGTTTATTTAATATAATCTCAAATAGTCTTGTTTTAGATTTTATTTTAATCTAGATCATTTATCAACAGAATTATCAAGATCAAAGTAAACATCAAGATTAATTTTATATTGATAGGCTTACAAAATAACTATACAAAAAATAATCGTTTTGTTGTCAAAACGATTCAAAAAACATAATCCCAGCACTACGTCTTATTGCTGCAAATCAACAAAGTTCCAGCATGTAATATTTTATGATTATTAACGAAAAAGGCATTATTTAAAACAACAATAGTAGGTATTGCTTCCCAGCTATAAAATGTATCGATACTTAATAAGGACTCGTACTACTAAATTTTTTTTTCTGTTATGCGATATGGAATTATATCCATAGTAAAAATTCAAAATAGGCTCCGGGTTCGATGACCGTACCAGCCTCCACCTCGCGTGCTGGAAAACACGCAGCCTTGACGTATGAGGACCCCAGCATTAGAAGGTTTTATGTTTTGACGATAAAGAAAACATTACCGTAGTCGATTATTAAGTAACTTTCCTTATTATTGAACACAGAAATATAACGGAATTAAAAAATATCGAAGGGAAATATTTTGAAAGAAATATTAGAATTATATATGTTTATGTATTAAAAAATGCATGAATCTTCAGATTCCCTTGTAAAGCATAACTAGAATGAGATCTAGGACTTTAGAGAGTTTTGTTCATTTAAATGAAACTAATATTTTTCGGACATACTACGCGTGCTACATTTTGGTAAAAAAAACTACATACTCCCGACTTTACGGCTACTTTTCAGCAATGAACGTTGCGGAAAAAGTCGCGTAGTATATCCGAAAAAAATTAGTTTCATTTAAAAAGCATAACTAGAACTCTGTCTTATAACTACGTATGGTTAATTGAGTTTTTATTAAAGTTGTGTGTAAAGCATATTTTAAACCAAAATCTTCATTACATCCATCCGTAATTAGATCACATACAGTGAGGTCATAAACAAACAGAAACAAGAAATACCGTTCAAAAATAAATAACATATTTATTTCTGTATTAACTGTCGGCAAGTCAACCTCGTACGGTTTTACAAAGCATTACAGTCTCACATAACGTCCAGTGGCGCGTGAACTCATTACCTAGAAATAGTGATTATTGTTATTGATAGCTTGCATCATGTTTACATATATTTTGGCTATAACACAATGCCGATAGCCGGTGCACTGAACTTGGCAACTTATAGCCATGATTCATGAATTTAAATGCAAGTGCTTGACGACACTCAAATATAGCGATGCTCAAACGAAAGTGCAATTCTTAATATTATTACGACATAAACAACATTTGTCACGTTTAAAATGAATTTGGATTATTTTTATTTTATAAACAAAAATAAAGAGCTTCTGAGATATAATTCTTTCTGACAGATCGTAACATCAGTGAATTAATAATCTCAATGGTATAAATATCTGTTGTTTTCGTCTTAAAACAGGACGTTGTAGGAAAATATTAAAATAACTTTCAAAGCCATCTAATGGCACTGATTAAAGGAAAAACTGAAGCATTGTATTTAATTTTTTTGGGTTGATTTGTATCATTATAGATCAAAGACACTTATATTTACCAAAGGTCCTATAAATCACTAAGAAGTACACTCGTTTCGATATTAAGATCTTCTTGATCTTACTAAAATCTATTTCTCTTCTTTCAGATGAACAGGAAAGAGTACAAAAGAAGACGTTCGTTAATTGGATAAATTCCCACTTATCGAAGGTAAATATTATATACACTTCATATCAGTCAAGTCAAAGTTCAATTGCTTGTTATCGTTATATTAAAACAATGCACGGGTTATTTTTATTCATGACTTATTGTTTCTTAGTAAGTAAGTGTAATGGAGAGAATTTTGAAAACAAACATGCACATTTTTAAATATAGGTGTAAAAAGATTAATATGGGCACATAAGTAAGAATAGAGAGCCTTTGACTGTTAGTTTATAAACTTATTTTAAGTATAATTTCTTTCTTTTGTTTTTTGGAATACATTTTTAGTTTCGGTTGAATGAAAGATTTAGTCAGGAATTCTTCTACTATAGAATCAAATATCTCAACAAATACTTCATGTAGAATAAATAATTTTCTATTCAAGCAAAAACTATACAAATTAAATCTATAAAGGAGAATATATTTGCTAACTATAATATAAATTCCAGCGTATACCTCCCATGCGGATTGACGACCTCATATACGATTTACGAGATGGCACCAAACTACTGGCGCTACTTGAAGTGTTATCCGGAGAGAAACTGGTAAGGAATTTGTTTGATTATAAACTTATTATAGGAAATAAATAAAAATAATTCAAAAAAGATCTCCTCTATTACATAAGAAGAAACCCTTCAAACAAGTTTCTGTTTTTAAATAGCCAACCCTTTCGTAAAGACACTCGTCACGTTTATTCATTACAAAAGTGTTTAGCAACTTTGTAACCAAACTTCTAAATTAACAAAGAAATTATATAAGGTTTCTCTGTTATTTAAAACGTTCGTTGTCCATTTGTTTTATCGAGAAACCTTAAGGATGCTTCCACGTTGGCGAGGGGCCATAAATACTTATCTTTAATTGGAACCATCCACTTGACAATGAAATTATTCGATGATGGTTTGTATGTGCGGACTTCAAACGCTTCTGAGACTCTGCCTGAATATATACGAGGCGGCAAGCTTTAACAACGACGGAATCTTCAGTTGAAGTTAACATGATATTAAAATTTATAAATTAAAACTTAGGAATAACACCTATTTAATTCGTTCGAGCAAACTACCAGATAGTGGATATTGCTATCCAATATGCTCTATTTAGTTTTAAATAGAGCATAGACTGGCCTTCCTTGTAAACAAAGACTGGTTTATAGAAAAAAAAAAAGTCATAAATTTTTGCTTAGATAACACAAATACTAACTTTTGGGGTAGTTATTGACTATAGCCGTTACTATAGAGATTAGAGTTTAAAGAAAGAAGTTAATAAGAGAACTGTCTTAAAACACCATGGTTACTCAGAATGATTTCTTTCTCATATTAAACTAGATAAGTTTTCAATTAAAATGTCTTATTTCCAGCCGATGGAGCGCGGTCGAGTTCTCCGTCGTCCTCACTTCCTCTCCAACGCGAACACGGCACTTCGTTTCCTTGCTGGCAAGAGGATCAAGTTGGTCAACATCAACGCAGCCGATCTGGTTGACGGGAGACCAGCAGTCGTCCTTGGACTCATATGGACTATCATACTCTACTTCCAGGTAAGGTTTGATAGAATTATACATCGAAAATACAAAAACAATTACACATACATTGAGTGTAGTTATTACAGTAGTAATACATGTTTGATATATTGTGGATAAAGATCATTTAGATATTGATTAATATGGCCATAGTCGTGGAGGCAATTAATTGTTTTAGAATTACATTACACTAAGTAATCATACAACACTATTAGATAAGACGTAGTTTCACAGACGTATGTACATATCAGTATTACATATATTAGATATAGTGAACGATTTTACACATTGATTGCACTAATACGAGCCATTGTAAATAAGGGTAGGTCTTTAATGAGATTAGTGACAAGGCAATAACAGAAAACACATAAGTTCGTATGAGTCGCTCTGAACAAATGTATGCATGTACCTTATGAAAATGAGATTATTTAGTATACCCGTATTTATTACCTAATACCCAGGCATTGCTTTGATATTCTCCCAAACCTCGTATCAGCTCTATTCCTTCCATCATAGAATATTCTCATTTTAATTGGCTTGAACATATTTTGTTTGCGCAAGCTTCGTTCAATTTGTTGGACCCACAGGACAAGGGAAGGCAGGTTGGTGAAATGCATGCTTCTAGAATCTTCGATGATTTTAATTTAATTCAATTGAATTTTTATATCATTTATTTGGAAATGCAAACCTGCTATTAATTTATCTGTTTCCTACTGCCCTCGATGTCTTTCTCCAGTAATAGTAACCAATTTATTGAGCCCTCAAAATTGCTTGTCCGTTCAAGAATGTGTTGTTAGAAATGAAATCTTCCGTCAGTTTTAGTCAGCGTGAATTGTCAATAATACATTGTGATGGAAACATATTGCTGTTTACAATCCATATATGGTGTATAAATATTTATTTCAAAGTATATATATGGGTAATATTATTCTTTTAGTTCGTAAAATGATTGATTTAACGCCAGTATGACACGGTACATGTATTAAGAGTTAAATGCAATTAACAATTTTACTTCTATACGATACGCTGTTAGTCATAAATAAATTTCTTAGCTTTGGTATTTTTCGTATTCTATTCACAAATTTATTAGTCGAAAGGCAAAACAGCTATACTTTTTCATATATTATAAAGAAAACAAATGCAATTGGTATATCGTAAATTGCAAGATATTAATTATAACATAGAAAGCAAACGACTTGAATAAATCAGTACTAGTGATCAACGTTTTATAATGTAATAATATAACGGTTAAAGAACAATCTCTTACAAGTCATTTACTATAAATATTTGGTATTTTTAATTAATAATTGATATGAAAATTCCAACACTAACATGACACGAGCAATTTAACATAGTCAAAATGTTGGTTACTCCAACAAAATCTATCAGCCACTCAAGTACAAAAATATATGCCAAAGAATTATAATATTGAAAACAAACGCTTAATATATATAAGTGGTCCCATTTAAAGTTTTATATATGTAAATGTGATGTAGATCGAAGAGAACAGTCGCGCCCTGGAGTACCTCAGCGGGTCGAGGTGTGCGTCCGCTATGTCCCAGGAATCTGCCCCACGAGCTGAGGAAAGGTGGAAGCAAGGCGCCAAGAAGACGCTGCTGCAGTGGGTCGCCAACGCACTGCCCAAGTAACTATCATAGACAAACATTTATTAGCTTTTATACAATAGATACTTATTTACTACGCTAAGCTTTACCTCAAAATGTATGTAGAGAAATACCATGTACAATATTATTTCAAAAATGCCTCAATCCTTTCGTTTTGAATATGAAACAAAGATAGCTAATCCGGGACACTTTTTGACTCATAAAATTTGTTCTCTTGAGTTTAAATCTATGTATATAAAAGAAAGTTACTCCACTTATAACTCAAGAACGGCTGAACCGATTTAGCTGAAAATTGGCAGGGAGGTATTTTAGAACCAGTAAATCGCAATAGGACATTTTTTATCCCATTCAACAGCACTCCCGTGGGACTTGACATGAAACGTCAGTTACTATAAAACGTGGAATAACGAAACACAATTGACAGTTATGCAATTGACGTATAATGACAGATATGTAATTTATACTATTTGCGCTGTAGCTTGGTGCGGGTGACATTTGCCTATATGACGTTGATATCTGTCAGTACCACATGACTAGTGATGTTGCGTAATTCATTTTCATCACTAACGATACTCGCAGTATAAATAATATAGTACTTATACTGGGTGGCGCAAAAGTAAAGACCCTATTTGGTTCAGCTATAACATTTTTTCTAAATGAGAAAACTAGATTTAGGTTTTTTTAAATGTATATTTGTGCCATTAAATTTTGTACCATTAGGATTTAAAGATGATGTCTTTTAAATGGTGACCTCCAGAGTTGATACACATTTGAGCCCTATTTATGACATTTTGCATAATTTGCCGTAACACTTCCTGCGATATGTTCGTTATTTCTTGACGAATGTTTTCTTTTAGAGCTGCGAGAGTCTGTGGCTTGTTCACATACACCCGAGATTTCAAAAAACCCCAAAGAAAGAAGTCTGGACTGGTCAAATCGGGTGATCTTGCAGGCCAAGGCAAATCGCCAAGACGAGAGATAACTCGGCCTGGAAAAGCGTCCCTCACTAAGTCCATAGTGTCGCGCGCTGTGTGTGCCGTAGCGCCGTCTTGTTGAAACCAGATGTAACTTTTAGTGGGTGTAGAGGTGTTTCTTGAATAATGCGCGGATTATCAGTGCCCCAGAACCGAGTATTCTGCTTATTGACATGCCCTGAGAGATGGAAATGCGCTTCGTCACTCATAACCAATTTTGTGTATCAACTCTGGAGGTCACCATTTAAAAGACATCATCTTTAAATCCTAATGGTACGAAATTTAATGGCACAAATATACATTTAAAAAAACCTAAATCTAGTTTTCTCATTTAGAAAAAATGTTATAGCTGAACCAAATAGGGTCTTTACTTTTGCGCCACCCTATATAAAATAATTAAAATCGGGTTTATGATTTTTTTTCGTGACATCCATATTGAGAATATAATGGACTCGTCGTTAATAAAATCCGTCACAGATACAGATGATGAATTTAGTGACAATTCAGATGTTCCTGGTTCTGATATGAGTTAAGATGAATAAAATCATATTTATGTAAGATCTGTTGTTTCATTAATATAATTATAGACTTTTTACAGTGATAATTGAACTAAAGCCAATATATGTATATTTTTTTATTATAAAAAAAACATCGACTATCCATTGTAGCAGTACATCCCATCACTAAATACGTCTATGGCATTACGTTAAACGCATAATACTTTGCTTAATTTTTCTTTCCATTAGATTATATTTGTACACTAGAACATTCTGGTTTGGTTTAATTTGAACTACTTCAGTAATTAATGATTTAATTTATTACGAATGTGGTACAGCTGAAATACTAAGTCATAATTTGTAAATCGCGGCAACTTTCAAGAGTGAAACGAAACGATACTGAAACTGTCACCCGCACCATGCTACAGCGCAAATAGTATAGTATTTGCGGGAAAAATTTAGAAAATCATTGTTTTTCACATGGGCAGTTATAGTTTGTGTGTTCATGAGTCGGGAAACCATCCGCTTTATTTGTGTTAACGTTAGACCAAAAAACAAAAAATGTGGTTTACAAAGGAGCACTTCAATGAAACGGATAATTTGCGGACCCGTATAACGCTTCGATTCGGTATCTACTTTGGATTCACTTTCATTTACTTAGAGAAGTTCAATTAAATAACACTTTATTTTTGTAATCGAAATGAATTCATTACTGTAGTGAAATGAAATAAAAATTTTCCTTTTCAAATATAAAACAAAAAAAAATTTCTTCATCTTTTAATCACCAAACGAAATGTTACATAAAACAAAGCTTTTTGGAGGCGAAACGGAGTTCGCCAGGTTTACTAGTTTATCATAAAAATGGAATTAGAGTGAGCATTTGTTATCACGCTAACTTTCAGACATTATTAAGTTTTGTATTGATATTGGAGCAAAAAAATGGGAGCAAAAATCGAGGAATATATTTAGCTTATTTATTTATATTAAACGATATTTCCTGAGTAATATGAAGGTGATGCAAAAATTTTAACAATGAATAGAAATCATTATATCAAAACAATAGGCTCAATAATTTAATGTAATAGTTAAAGTGTGTATGTAATGTGCTTAGATATGACCTAATTAAGTTAAATTCAACATTAGCTTCATGTAGAGTAAATAAAGTTTGAAATTACTGTTAGCAAGATTTCACTAATCAAAACATGGATCAATGTTTTCTGTTGTACCAAAACTAACTTCTCTATTTTCCAGGGACTCAAATATTCAAGTATCTGACTTCGGTCCGTCGTGGAGAGACGGTGTCGCCTTCTTAGCTATTATCGACGCGATCAAGGCAAACCTCATCAATTTAGCAGAAATGAAGAGGAAGACTAACAGACAGCGACTCGAACATGCCTTTGACCTGGCTGAAAACGAGCTGGGCATCGCTAAACTATTGGACGCTGAGGATGTAGATGTGGATAAACCTGATGAGAGATCCATCATGACCTATGTAGCACAGTTCTTACACAAATACCCAGAACCGAAGGTGAGTTGTTGCTTGAATTATTAATTTATTTGTTCTATTGTGAAATTATTCTAACAGAATAAGACTATATTCATTAAATATATCGTGAAATTATTCTAACAGAATAAGACTATATAATAACTAGATTCATTAAATGTATGTACATGGACAAACTATTTACTCAAGTATTTTTTATACAATAAACTTGATGAACAATAACAACATTTTATCGTTATTCTGAACATAAACTTATTTAAGGAAATTGTAATATAAGTATTTATAAATTGTATAATTTTAATATAATATATAATGTATTAATAGTATGTATGTATGTTATGCTATGTTTGTGTATGTATTGTTTATGTAAAAAGTGTACACCTCCGAACCCCTTTCTTGTTATTCAATGTCCTCTATCCAAAGGTTGTCTGGAAGAGATCGCTCTTTTAGCGATAAGACCGCCTTTTGTACCATGTTTCCTATTTTGTTATGTTGCTTCTTGTATTCTTTTGTTTCGGTGTACAATAAAGTATATTATTTATTTATTTAAGTATATAGTTAATGGAAAATTTAATTAGTGTATGAATTTTTTTAAGAAATTATAACAAGCATATTGTTGTAGACTACTGGCCCGGATGCAGTGGCAGCGGTTCAAGAAGAATACGAATTATTACGAGCCTGGCTGACGGAGAGGGTCAGCGTATTGACGCGACACTTCGAAACCAGAACCTTATCAAGAAACTACGAAGACTATGTCAGGGCTGAAACTGATAGACGCTCCAGAGAACCTGGATATCTCAAGCTGGAGAAGCTTATGTACGCCCAAAGTCATGTGGCTATCGCTCCTCGCTCCTGGAGAGAGCTGGTCGATCTGTGGATCGAATTGGAGAGACTGCATAGGAGATGGCTTTGGATGCTGGATTCAGATCTTCCTGGAGATTTCAGGAATATAGGCGAGTGGCTTGCGAAGGCCGAATATTTACTGTATTTCGACGAACTACCGACTGCTTTAGATGATAGAACGGCAGCCATCATTAGCGAAAAGCTAGAAGAACATAGCAACTTCTTTGCCGATTTACCCGATGTTTTAGATAGATTTGAAGCGGCTTTGAGATCACCGGACGCTTCTAGGATACCTCCTGAAAGGTTACAGGATATGAAGGAGCGTCTGGAGATTGTTCATCGTAGAGCGCCTCAGAGGAAATCAAGATTAAAGTACTTGGAACACAAGTGCTGCATTGTTGCTTTCACGGAATTGACGAAGTCCAAGCTTGCCACGTGGACCGGCAAGTATGGGCGCATAGAAAATGTAAGAGCCTTACTGGATGACTATGACAACTTTGTAACAAAGAACAAAATATTCCAAGAATTTGACAGAGCTTACGTTGATATTAAGCAAGTGGCTGAAGAGTACAAAAAAGTCTGCGAAGTCGACAGGACGGAGGCGAGAGAAATAGACACGTTTTTGAAAGAGGTCGCTGAAAACTGGCGCAGGGTGGCTTCTGATGTAAGATGTTCGAGAAGTGTCCTGGAAGAAGTTATCGCTCACTGGGAGCGGTGGACATCTTTATCAGATCAGTTCACCCAGTGGCTTGATAGAGCACAACACATGCTGAGAGTGTCAGAAGACGAAAGATTAGAATTCTTCCAAGATTTAACAGTTTGGAAGGAAAAGCACCAACTCCTTGGAGACGCTGCTGGTTTCTTGGCAGCAACATGCTCGGATGATATAACCTCAGAAATCAAGAGGAAATATGTCGAAATCACTGAACGCTGGGAACGAATTTGGGAGGAAGCTGAGCGGTATGTATTGACTTATTGTTATTAAAATATATATCTATATTACTTTGACTTGATAAATGTTTCCCAGCTATTTAAATAAACTACACGCGAAGTGTTGTTTTATGAAATTGTCAATAATATAGTAATATAAAATATCTTTTCACATTAACCCTACTCCATCGCCGGTTGTATTACTCCGTGCGATAGATGAATAACAACATTAATGGAAAGAAAAAATACATTTAATATTAGCACAAAGCAAATACTTAAATTTTAAAACGGAATCAGTATAACATTATGCTACATATTTTGGTCATTTTCTTTTCAAGTTACGTCCGTGGTGGTGATGTTCTCCGTCATCGACGCGAGCTGGCTCAGGGGATTCAGAAATTAGACAACTGGCTCATGGCCGCGGAAAACCTACTGGCGTCCAAGCCACGAGGCACCACCGACGATATTCAGACATACATAAACCGCCTCCTACAACTCAATGAGGAGATCGAAGAACATGAGGAGCTTTTCAAGTCTATTAGCAGGTACTATCATCTGTATTATACTTTTTTGACCTATTATGGTTTTATTTTTTATCGTTTTATGTAAGTTTGCAGTCACTTTAAGGTTATGAATTTATTAAACTTTATAAGGAGGAAAAGCAATTATTACAATAATAGAACTTAATTATGGTTACTTAACATACTTAGTCACATGATAAATACATAGCTATACATCAAATTAATATAAATTAACCTATTGCTCATGTTTATAATAAAATGAATATTTGTAGAACCTTCCAAACGGCAATCGCCGATCTCCCTCGGGACGAAGTGGAAGCCAATATGTCTAAGTTGAAGCAGCAGAAGGAAGCACTCGTGTACGTGAGGGCCACAGTCCCAGTGAAGCTGCACCAGCATAGACAGCTGCTGGTGCAGCATGAGTCACTGGAGAGTGGACAGAAAGAGATCGGACGTTGGCTGGATAAGGCAGAGGACACACTCCGCAGTATGGATACCAGGCGGTGAGCACATAATTAAAATATAGGATATTTGTATGAACATCGTAAGAATATATGCATGTTTGTTGCTCTTTCAGAAAAAAAATACTTGAAGTATTTCTACTTAACTTTGAAGCAATGTATCTTATACAGCAGACTAAGATATAGGCTATATTTTGTCTTGAATTTACATGTAGTTTCCGTGTAGTTCATATTTATAGTCGATGCCAGTTGATTAATATATCTATTGAATTAACAACTATTATACATTACTCTCTGAGTCCAAACCCGACGTTTACGAGGACAAAATCACTGGAAAAAATATATAAGAAATTTATTTTGCTTCAGCCTTTTATGAAAACTTTTTTATTCTTATAGTATTTAAAAGGTTTTTTTAGTCTTAAAAGTATACATATATGTTGGTATAATAAGCATTAAAATCGTGTATGTTTTAGTGAGGTGATAGAAGAATGTTATGAAGTCCACCGCAGCTTCTTCTCCCGTACGACCTACTATCGCTCCATGTTGGAGAGCAAGAACAAGGTGTTCCAGAACATCGTCAGCAGCGCGGACACTGACCGCAGCGCTGACGTCACGGATCAGATACGATTGATGAAGGACCTCAACGACCGGTGAGAGATATAACATTAATTGTATATTCCGTATCAAAGAATCGACCTTTACATAATGTTGTTCAATACAGATACTTTACGTAACAGAGTATTTGTATTTGTATTCATTAATGATCACTGTCCGCCTGGCACATTATATAATGTGTCCAAATATTAAGTTAGCTTCTAAACCGCAATAATACTTAAATTGTATTCTTTTCCTTCCCATATATTTTAACACAAACTTAAAAGAAGATAAGATTGCTATGGAGTGTTAATAATATTGTTATGCTCTTATTATTAGAGCCATAAGCATACATTTTTAATTGTTGTATGAAACTTGTATTAACACCTTTCAATCTCACCAGTTTTGCCCAAGTATCGTCGGATGCTACTCGTAAAGAAGCTGAACTTCAACGTTTGGTTCGCGCTTGGGAAGAATTCGACGAGAAAGCCAGAATTGTACGGGAGTGGACCTCTAGGGCTGAAGCACTCCTGGCTGATAACAGGATCGATTCTAAACAAGCCGTCGACTTCCATAAACGATTCTTCCAGGAGGCCGACGAGAGGGCCGTTTCAGAACTGGTCAGATCTGGACGAGAGTTGATTGAAGTGAGTTCAATATGTAAAATAATTATAACTAAAGTTAACAAATTTATTACTTGTCTAAAATATTTTTTCTTCGTCCCACAAACGTTACTAGTCATTTGTAATGTCATTAAATTATTTTCATTAATGACCCTGTGATCAATCGAAAATAATTATTAATTATTAGAGATCAAATATCGGATGTATAGGCATGCTCTGTGTTTATTCGATTTTTACAAAACGTTGTGTAGCTCAAGCTATTAGATTCTTTTATGATGAAACATTAAGTTCAATATACAATATAGATCTTGATAAAACCGTAAATTCTGTAGTGGTTATACAATTCTACGTGTTTAAGTGGTCATTCATTTTTAATGTCATATTTAGGCCATATTCGGGAAGCCTTGAGCTTTGGTCTTAAATAGATATTTTTTATATTTTTGGTAGTTGGTAAGCGAACCAGAACGGCCTTCAGTGGTGGAGACAGTAGAACAGCTGCAGCGCCGCTGGAGAGAGTTGCTGCAAGCGGCGCCGGCGCATCTCATGCGGCTCGAGTTCAGGCTGGACGAGGCAGTGTTACAGCACACCGTTAAGGAAATAGACAAGGAGATCGTCTACGAAGAACAGGTAGGAAATATAATTAAAATGTATTTAACATTGATTTGTATACAATAGTTAGAAAGATATTTTAATTAGTTATAAACGAGTTCTGAGGTAATAAAGCCAGAAACTATTTTTATCTTCTTTTTCAGAATGTCTTTGTTAATAGTTAATTTTTTTTTTATTAAACCTCTTGTATGCTTTTACTTTTATGTCGGTGATTGTATACGTTATAATTACATTTAAATGAATTTTCTTTTTCCAGGCCTATAACCAAAGCGATGACGCGGATGGTATTCTTATCAGGAATGAGGAATACTTCCGTAACCAAGGAAAGATCATGCAGGTTGAACAATGTCTTCAGAACTTAAAGAAGATATCTCAAAGCTACACCCAACAGACTGGAGACAATTCTTTGGAAGAAGAGTTAAGGAAATGCGAACAAATGTGGGAAGCCACAGTTCACAGAGTAGAACACTTCAGACAACAGCTACAGAGGATTCCTGCTAAGTGGGATGCTTATAGAGAAAAATTCAGGGAGATGGAGATGTGGATGGACCACGTCGACAAGACCATGGACAGTATTGTGAGAGAAGTTGATTCCGCTGAGGCATTTGAACGAGAGAAAACCATCTTCCAGGTACGTGTAGTGTAAGATACTTTACAATGTAAGTAAATTAACTAACGACATATATGTACATACATATAGGATTTGATCTTTGGCCGATAATTACTGATATATACTAGAACGCTAAACTATAGTGACAAGTAAAAAATATTGATAACAATACATATATTATTATATTTTTTTATATAGTTCTTTTTATTATTAAAAAAAGATTAATTAAAAAAAACAAATCTGAAGTAGATAACAATGATTCTAGTAATTATTCATCTCAGTGTGATTACAATCAATCCAAAAACTGGATTGTTTCGTTACTAAAACCTAAACATGTGAATAAGGTTAATCGTAATTATGATTATATTTATGAAAAATATGTTTGTCTATTTTATTTGCTTACTTGGATGCAGTTAAGAGAATTAATGGTAAATATGGCACAAAATGGGTTTGTTGAAGGTGTTGTTCGTTGATGGTTTTATCTTGATGTGTAATAAATTCTTTTCAAACAGAACATTTGCCGCGAAGCCGATAGAAAACGGGAAGATATGAAGTGGCTGGTTCAGACACTGGATATGCTCTCGAACCATTGTTCCGATGCTGAAGCTCAGGAGGAACAGCTGCGATTGGAGAACCTTATCGCCAGATACAAGAACCTAATTCCAACAATTGAGATTACTATGATAAAGACAGAGACATACACTCGCTGTTACACTTATCGTAGAGAAGTTCACGAAGTTATATGCATTCTTGAGGGCGCTAAAGAACAAGCCAGAGTTGAACCAGATTTGCAATCTCTACAACATGTGGAACAATTAGTCCTCGAACAGCAGGCTGCTGTACAGAAGTTAGACAGGCAACGCCCGTCTGTAATGTCAATGCTTCACAGAGGAAAGGAACTTATTAAGGATGCTAATGCTCCAGCCTTCGTGAGAGAGGATGTAAGGAATCTGGAAACAGGGTGGAATACCGCTTATGAGACGAATACCGAAAAACTCCACAAACTCAGAGACACTCAGAAGGTGTGGTCCAATTACGAATACCAAAAGGAAGACTTGCTTTCAGATATCAATAAAATAGAAAGCTTCGTTGCACATCCAGGGTTAGAACTTGGAGTTTCTAACATAAACCGAGAACTACAGGAGACAAAGTCAATCAGTACCGATTTGGAACGCGCTAAAGGCGAAAAACTGCCACAGTTACAACAATCGTATGCTGAGTTACAGTCTCTTACATCGAATAAACCTAAACCAGTTATTGAAAAGGATCTGGAAACAATTCAAAGGAAATTAGTTAGAGTTGAAGAAGACGTTAAAACGAAAGTAGATCATTTAGAGAAATTCAATGAAGAATGGGTAAAAATTGAGAACCAATTAGAACATGTCCGCGATTGGATAAAGAAAGAGAGCCCACTTCTTATATCACAAATAAGGTCAGATAATATAACACCAGAAGAACGTGTAGAGAAATCACAATCTCTACAAAAAGTTATTGCAGAGAAACTTGAAACAGTTCGAAAAGTTGCTGATCAAGGTACTAAGTTGGCAGTTGAGCACAGAGTTCAGGATGCTAACAGACTTAAAGGGGATGTTGTTGTATTGGAAAAAATGATGGCAGACCTTCAACGATCAATGGAACATCAAACGAAAGTGGTTGAACATGACTTAGCAAGTTGGCAAAAGTATCAGAAGGGTGTATCGGAGATTAAACCGTGGATAGAGGAAGCCGAAATTAAACTAGGTAACGTTCCTAAACCGGCATCATTACCGGAAGCCCAACAATTACAACAGCAATCCAGAGCACTCATCACCGATTGCGAGAAGCAGCTCATGAATTTACAGATCTTGTCCAGCGTTAGTCATCAGTTATCAGGAAAGACGAGTGCCCCTGACGAAGTTGATGCTATCCACTCGAGATGGGCGGTAGTACACGACCTATCAGACCAATGGAACAATAAGTTAGATAAATTAGTAACTAACTGGGAAAACTTTGAGAAAGAAGCTGAAAAACTTGAGTCTTGGATCGAAAATGGTGAAAAACTAATTAATAGTCGTATTATCAATGTTGAAACACCTCAAGTAGAAAAACTTGATAGAGAACTTAATAAACTCAAATCCTTTGGTAATGAAATTTCACAACAACAAGCAAAAATTATTAGCCTGTCTCAAACTTGTGATAATATATGTCATAGCATACAACCCGAGGGAGCAACTTTATTGAAAAATAAAGTAGCAGACATCAAGGAACGAACAAACGCCTTGGCGGATACTGTAAGAATGAAAGTTAATGAGTTGTCCGATAAAATCATTGTAAAGCAGGAATTCCTAACTAAGTTACACAATTTTGATAACTGGATTACTGACTTCAGAAGGAAGACTGAAAGTTATGATCAAATAAGTTCTGATCGAGTAGAACCTACTCTTCAATCTATGCATGTTCTTCTTCAAGAGCATGCTGCTAAAGCACCTGAATTTACTGAAATTTACAATGAAGTTAAAAATATGACTCTCGCATCCCATCCAGAAGAAACTCGGTCTTTGAGTGATACTTATTCAAATATTGCTCAACATTATCAAATAATTGAAACAAATATTCAACAAAATAAAGCTATTCTCAAAAAATGGTCAGATTTACTAAATTGGCATGAAGACAACAAACAACAGTTAAGCCACATTCAGTATCAAACAGAAGGGCCGAAATTAACTCCTGAGAGCTACGAAATTCTTCGTCAAGAATTAGTTAATATTATTGCTAAAATACCAGAATGGAAAAGTAATGTAGCACTATTAGATGGCCCTTCTCGAATCAAAGTTACAGATCAGAGCACTGGTAGAATAATACCTCCTTCTAGTCTGGTCAAAGAAATAGAAATGAAAGCCGAGTCTTTATTAAATGCTGTGACTACTAAAAGAGATCTGGTACAAAAAGTCGGGGCTAGATGGGACAAATTTAATGCACAAAATCAAGCTTTGTCTGAAGTTTTGCATAATGTTCAATCAGTACTAAATGAAATGTCTCAACAAACTGTTCCCTTGACAGAAGCCACTATTCAGGATATGACAGAGAAGTTAGATAGTGTCGACTCTGAACTTAAAGAGAAACAATCTATAAGAAAAGAATTCAGAGAAGAAGGTTTACATCTTATGAGAGAAGATCAGCCAAATATGGGAACCATTCAAAACGCTTTATCATCAGCAGACAATAATTGGGATCAAGTGGTTAACTTCGTTCGGGATACTAAGAATAAGTATATTCTTCTATCATCAACATTACAAGAATTAAAGAATTTTACAGTCGCTTTTGATAGGGAAATGAATAGAGCTGAACAATTATACAATGAATGCATGGAGGCACCCAATGATTACATGCAAACTGCTCAATCTTTAGACAAGGCGAAAAAATCATATGAGCTTTTAAAACGCTCTAAGGGCTTACTGGATCAAATGGAACTGATTAAACAATCAGTACTTAAGCAAGCATCAACTTTAGGTGGATTTGATACTAGTCCATTAGAAGAAGCGTTCTTAAACTCACAAACACAGTGGGAAAAAGTTAACGACGGAATAATTAAACGGATACAAGATCTAGAATCCCAATTAATTGCATGGCGCCAAATTGATGACACCAGAAACCAAGTAGTAACCTGGTTGAGTGAAACAGGCCAAAACTTAGCGAATGCTTGTGATAATCTTGAAATCAGATTTGGCCAAAATCACTTGTTGAAATATAAAGAAGAATTGCCAATTTATTTGGGATTGAAAAATAGCATCAAAACTAAATGTGAGCAAATTACCAACTTAAATAAAAGTATACCATTAAGTCAGGTTTCTTCTATAACTGATTATCTGGATAGCGAATTTGAAGCATTAAAAAACTTGTCAGATAACTTAGAGGAAGCTGTTTCATCTTTAGAAACAAAAGAAAATAAACTGAAAGAAAATATCAAGCGATTATCAGATAGTATCAGTAAAATAAGAGATGACATTATAAAATGTGACGATATGTCAGGTGACAATGCGAAAATTCTAGATAGATTGAAAAAATGTCAGTTATGTAAAGTTGAATTACAAAACCTTAGTGACGAATTAGACAATCTTACCCAAAATGTGTCTGAAATGAATGCTAATTATCCTGGATTTTACGAATCGTTAGTACCGAAAGAACTTAGTACTTTACAAAAGCGATTTGAAAGCGTTTTAATTCATGCTAACAAAACTGAGACAACTTTATTGACTTTCCTTCAGAAACTTTTCACTGATAAATTAAATATTTTCAATAGAAATCTCAAAATACTGGATGATAAAACAAGATGGTGTATGCCTGACATAAATAGTGACAAATACAATCTCGAAGTTAAAAGTGCTGCTTTAGCAGATGTAGAAATCGGAATTGCAGATTGCAATAAAAAGGTTGGTGAACTTAAAGAAGCTTGTGAGATATTGCAAGTGGTAGCCGAACCAGCCTGCTATCTTGAAGCTGCCTCACAAACTGAAAAGGCAAAGAAGAATTTGGAAGTTCTTTCATCGAACTATGAAGAAATTAAAAAACGTTTGCAAGACAATATCGAAGCATGGCAAGACTACGAGAAACATCTTGAAAATGTATCCGAGTGGCTTAGAAACAAAGAAAATAAAATACGACAAGATACAGCAAATCAGTTGAACCTTAACGATATTCAAAATAAAATATTAGAAACTGAAGATCTTAACAATGAAATAAAGAAATACGGAGACGAAATAAAAAGATTGACAGAAGTCGGGGAAACAGTTTTATCTAGTAATCCAGACTCGAGGATTTCTCAGTACATAAATCATTTGGAATCGAGATATCAAGCTGTAAGTAAATTTATGGACCAACAACTGAAACGATTAAATGACCTTAAAAATAACAAATCACAATATGACAAATCAATATTGGAGTTTAAAACCTGGATTCAAGACGCTAACTCTAAAATAGCAGATGTAGCAGCAATGAGTAAACATGCAAAACCAACGACTTCTGACTTAAATCAAGTTAAAAAAATGAATGACAACAAAGAAATTGGCCAGAAGTTATTAAATAACGCTGTTGAATCTGGAGAAGCTCTGTTTAGTGATGTTTCGCCGGAAGACCGCGAACAAATAAGAAGTGAATTAAGATCATTACGTGATGCATTTGAAGACTCTGTTGATTCTCTCAACAATGTTATAAAAGACATTGAAACCACTCTCAATAAACGGTCATCCTTTGACGACACATTTAATCAAGTTCAGAAATGGATTAGTGATAAGGAAATAGAGCTGGGAGAGTTTAAACTGTCCCCTAGTCTACCGGAAAAGAAAGCTCAACTTCATGCTTATAAGATTCTCCAGCAAGAAGTAGATTTACATCAATCGATGCTGTCCCAACTTACTGAAAAACTAAAGTTGATGCCGGACGAAGATTCTGAAAAAAGTCTGAATAAAATAATTGACAGATATGGTGCTATGTCTTCAGAACTTGGAAACAGAATTTCTAAATATGAGGGTCATGTTATGGATCATGAGAAATATAGTCAAATGTTTGAGGAAGCTCGAGACAACCTCAATCATGTAATCGCTGAAAATAGTCTTGTTGCATACGCTGTCGTTTCTCAAAAGGATGACGTCGACTCTAAAATCGCTTCGCTCGAAAAAGTAACTTCAAGGGCTCAAGAAATTGATAATTCACTAGAAGAACTAAAGGTACAACTTCATAGTGTATTAGAAACAACTAGCCCCAATGGTCATCCTGTCCTCATTAGTGAATATGAGCAACTAAAAACTACGTGGGAGCAATTTTCAAAACAATGTAAGGAATATGATAAGAAGTTAAAAGATACCTTGCAACAATGGAATGAAAGTCAAAAAACTTTAGATGATCTTGATGAATGGCTTAAAGTTAAAGAAAGTCAAGTTAGAGATCAGAGCCTTAAAAGTAATTTAGAAGCAAAAGTTTCACACTTACAAAAAGTCAAAGAACTACAGAGCGAGCTGGAATCTAAAAAAGCTGATTTTGCTGCCTTGACCGATAAGCAAAACGTTTCAAGTGAGTCGAATCTCATTTCTAAAACCTCCAAACTAGCAACCAGGTACCACTCATTAAATAATCTCGTTAATGAAATAATTTCAAAATACGAAGTGTTTGTATCGGAGCACCAAGCATTTGAAAACGAGTATAACAACATAGAAAATTGGCTTATGAATATGTTAAGTGAACTTCAAGACCTGAATGAAATTGTAGGCGATTACGCTGTACTTCAAGAAAAACAAAATAAGGCGAAAGAATTGTACGAGATGAGAAATAAGAAAACACCAGTATTTGAAGAATTCCTTAGTTTGGGCGAAAAACTATATGCTCATACGAGTCCTGACGGAAGAGAAATTATACGTCAAAAGATTCGTAAAATTAGAACATTATGGGACAGCTTTGGTGATAGTTTCCAAGAAACAGTTAATAAGTTAGATCAGTGTCTCCTCCAATTCTCAGACTTTTCTTTAGCTCAAGAACAATTGACAAAATGGCTCAAAGATGTTGAAAAAGCGATGCAAAAACATACAGAACTAAAAGCTTCACTGGAAGAAAAGAAAGCGCAGCTACAAAATCATAAAATTATGCATCAAGAAATTATGACTCATCAACAACTAGTAGAGTCAGTTTGTGATAAAGCTCAACAACTTGTCGATCAAACTCATGACGCCTCTTTAAATGTTTATTTACAATCTATTAAACAATTGTTCCAAAATATTGTTACAAAATCACAAAACCTTCAAGACAATCTGGAGGACTGTGTTAAAAGACATGAAGAATTGGTACGTTTGATTCAGCAATTTAAGGAGTGGCTTGGATCTCAATCAGAAAAACTATTAGACATTGAAAATGCTATAGGTGAAAAACCAGAAATTATGAGAAAACTTCAATCCGCGGTCGCCTTAAAAGATATTGAAAAAGTGGGCTCTAGCAAATTAGATGAAATAAGAGCAATGTTTTCTGTTGTTAGTAAAAGTACATCAGAAGCCGGCAACTCAGTTATAAAAGCAGAAATTGATAACTTGCATAGTCAATTACTATCTGCAGTTGAGAGTATTTCCACCGCTGAACAGAAATTAAAAAATACTTTAGAAGTGTGGAATAAATTTGATGCATCAAATGAATTGTTGTCGGTGTGGTTAAAAGATATGGAAAATAAATGCCGAGATCAAACACTCTGTTCTACTTTGGCAGAAAAAGAATCACAGTTGGAAAGATATGTTAAAATACGTAATGATATTCATTCGAAAGAAAAAGAAATTGATGCCTTTGTAGATGAATCTCATAGTCTTGTATTATTAAGTGGTGTAGATCGACTTAAACCTCTTGTCACACAAGTAAGCAGTCGGTACCAACAACTACATTTAATTTCTAAGGAAATAGTTAACCATTGGCTTGAATTAGTTACTGACCACAAGAAATACAGTCAACTACGAAATGAATTCGATTCCTGGCTAAAACCGTTAGAAGATCAACTATCGCAAATAATAACAAATGAAGATAAATTAAGCATTGAAAGTAAGGGTAATAAGTTGCAAGTGTTTTTACTGGAACGAGAAAATGGGGAACATAAAATGGGTATCTTAACCGCGGCTGGTGATAAGGTCTTACCAGAAACTGCAGCTAATGGCAGGGAAAATATCAGATCTGAAATAAGAGAACTTAGACAGAGATGGGATAAATTAAATGACGGTATTCTGCAGCAGCAAAAAGAATATGAATCTCAAACACTGCAATGGTCAAGTTATCAGGACGTACTGCAACAAACCCTATCTTGGTTGGATGAAAAAGAGAAAATAGTGGAGAGTGAAGAAAAAGTTATATTAAATTCAGCACAAGATATTAAATCCAAATTACTTAAAAATAAAACGTTGCTACAAGAAATATATTCACATAAAAGAGTGATTGAAACTGTTACTGAAAAAGCTAAATCTATTGCTGCAAGCATTAGTTCCGGCAAAGGAGAAAATGACGAAATGGCAAAAATCACACAGTCTGTCTGGGATAGGTACAATGCTCTCACTAACAGGCTATCTAATATAATTACTAAGCATGAAGGTGCCTTTGATGTTTACCAACAATTTGCTGACCAGCAAAAATCACTTCAGGATTATCAGAAGCATTTATGGGACAGGTTACATTTATTGTCAGACTATACGGGCAACAAAGCTGCTTTACAGAGCAAGGCAGTAAAGATACAAGAACTTCTGGATGCTATTCCTACAGGGAGTAATAAACTAAAAATCCTATCTGATCTTATAGAGAATAATAGTGTTAAACTTTCACCACGTGGAAAAGAAGGTATGTCTCGGGAACTAGGATTGCTTCGCGCTGATCTTGAAAAATTCACCGCGACAGTTCATGATGTTAAACAAGGCATTGGAGATAAAATACAGCAATGGATAGAGTTTGATGCTGCAAATGATCGTCTCCAGCATTGGTTGAGCGACACTGAAATGAGCCTGAAGACTTATACCCCCAAAGCTACTTTGGAAGAAAAGATAGACCAACTCACTAAGTATCAGGTAAGAAATTTTGTATTATTGTTTTCATATTTCAGCGGAATTGCATCTATAAGTGTACAAATATATAATGAGTAAAATGTATTTTAAACAGGATTTGAATAAATCAATAGATAATCATGAATCTGATCTGAGTGCAGTAATAAATTTGGGGGAAGCCTTGGATCAAGTAAGATTGAGACCAATAAAATTTTGAAATTTAACTGAATACGCACTTTAGGGTTTGGTCTAATTTTCAATAGAACTATATCTAATCTCACTGTACAAGGCAATATTATTCTAACTTAATATAATATACGGTATATTACTTTCTTACGGTATATTATTATATCTTTCAAACAATATATTTGTTATTTTATTTATATTTTTATTTTTATGAAAAAGATTTTATTAACAAGATTAATTTGTAAGGCGTATATTGAATACTTCGCCACTCCAATAATACTATATCTTTCTAATGTCACTAATAGTAGATGTCGTAGAACTAGTTTAAAAATAACTTCATTCTGCTAAAGATATGAACGTATATATGTGTTCTTATTACTAATTTTATTATATTTACCTTTTAGGCTATTCTAGCTAATTTGAAAAAGACCGAAAACGACGTTGATAAAGTGACCGATGAGTTTAGTGACCTCATTGAAAATTGTAATGATACCAGAATCACAATGAATCTACAACAGTTGACGTCCCGATTCCAATCAGTGCATTCAACCGCTAAGGAATTGGTTAAAAAATGTCAGCAGGCGGTCAATGACCACAATGCCTATCAAGATAAATACAATCAATGCATAGACTGGGTAAAAACAGCTGAGCATAAATTTGAAGACACTCAAAAGAATACTTCTAATACTCCTGAAGGTATTATTGCCAAACGTGAGAGCCTGAACGATTTATTAAGCCAAAGACGTAATGCAACTCTGCTTGTTAATAATACTTTTGAATTGGGAGAGAAATTGTACCCTTCAACGTCTCCCGAAGGCAAAGAATTAATTGAGCAACAATTACACGACATGCAACAAACTGTAGATAATTTGTTTGACAATATCTCGAAAGCGGAGCGTGATTTAGATTCTGAACTAAATAAGTGGTCTTCGTTTGATGAAAATCTAAAATCTGTAAAGGAATGGCTAACATTGGCCGAGAAAAATCTTCCTAAAGAAATTGAGCTTAAGGCTACATTAGACGAAAAACGGAATCAACTAAATGTTTACAGAAATTATCTCCAGGATGCCCTTGCACATCAACAAGATGTATCGGACCTTGAAACTCGAGCTGGAAACTTACCTGACGTGAATAAAAATATTACAAAAGAATTGAATCAATTGAAACAACGGCATGATATTATTTTAGCTCGTTCAAAATCTTTTGTTGAACAATACGAAGCCATTGTTAATAATCATCAACAATATAGTAAAGCTGTGATGGATTTGCAAGAGTGGGTTGAGGCGACTCACAACACTTGCCAGTTGTGGGGTGACATCAACTTAGAAAGAGTTTCACTAAGTAGTAATTGTGAAAAATTGAAATCGTTACAAGTTAGTCTGCCTGAAGAGAAAAATCGCATAGATAAAATACGCACACTTGGGGAAAAAGTTTTGCCTGGAACTATAGCTAGTGGTCAAACTAATATAAGAAATCAAATAGATGCCTCGCACCAAGAATGGGAAGGCTTAGTGTCATTTATCAACAAAACAATTGAAAATTTGGAAAATAAAATACAACTATGGAACGAGTACGAGAACATGAAAGATCAATGTTTAGCATGGATCAGAAATACAGATAATTTGATCCATGCTGTCGATTTGAAAGCGACCTTATCTGAAAAACAAGAGCAATATAATAAATTCCAGGAATTGCAGGGTGAAGTTCGTGCAAAGGAATTAGAAATAGATAATATTACGGAAAAAGCACAAAATTTGTACACGGGTGTATTAGGCCCACGAGGTTCACAATTATCCGATTTAACTGTGAAATATCAAACTTTATCTCAAAAGGTTAAAGATTTAACAAATAGGTGGCATCAATACGTTAAGACTCACCAAGAATTTACGACTAATGTTGCTGAATGTTCACAATGGATCGAAGAACTCAGAGATAAACTAGACTTCTGTGCTGACTTAAGTTCTTGTTCTCAAGACGATTTAGAAACAAAGTTAGTATTGATTCAAAACTTGTTGCTTGCCAAGGATGAAGGATTTACTAAAGTTCAAGCTTTAGTTGAACTTGCACAAAATGTTATGGCCAACACGGCACCAACTGGTCATGAAGCTATTAATAATTCTCTAGTGGCACTTCAAGAGCAATGGTCAGCTTTATTATCAAGAATGATGGAAACAAAGAACCTACTTGATGATTCCGTTACTAAATGGGCTGGATTCTTAGAACAAATTCAATTGATACAAAAAAGCAATACGTGGTTAGAAGGCATGTTAGCTGAATTAACTCCATATGAGGGTTCAATGTCAGATAAACGTGCCCAACTTGAAAAATTAAAAGAGGTCGAGGAAAAAGCTCGCTGTGATCGTTTGGAAGTAGATACGTTGAAAGCCAAAGCTGCTGAAATGTTGGCCAGTGGACAGCAAAATCAGGCAGCTTCAAAAGCCCAAGAAACTTTGAACAAATTTGATCAATTATATGAAAAAATTAAGAAGTTATTAGCTGACCGCGAAGAACAATATAAGGATCATAGATTATATAAAGAAGCCCATGATGAACTAATACAATGGCTAGGAAGAGCAAGAGAAAAAGTTCCATCGCTTAAATCCAAACCCTTAAGTGATAAGCTTGCCATTGAAAACTCAGTTGCCCCACTTGAAGCTTTAATCAATAAACAAGCACAAGGTGAATTATTATTAGAACATTTACAACATACAGGTGAAGTTGTTCTGGCAAGTACATCACCAGATGGCCAAACCGTCATAAAGAATGAGATGAAAGCTCTTAAAGAAAGTTTTGATACACTCTTTAATGAAATAAAACAGCAAAAGAGTCAACTAGAAGACACCGTTAACCAATGGCGAGAGTATAAAGACGAATACGAAAGACTTTCAGACTGGTTACAACAAAAGGAAATACTTATTAAAAACCATAAATTGGCATTATTAGGAACCGCTAAAGAAAAGGGAGGCCAGGTAAATGAAGTAAAAGAAATCGTTGATCAATTGCACAAGGGAAAAACTGATATTGACAATTTCAACGCTTCAGCTACTGGCCTATTATCATCTCATTTAGATACTTACGTAAACAATCAATTGAGACACCTTAACTCTCGATATCAAGTTCTCATAAACATGGCTAACGATGTTCTTAAAAAAGTAGAAACTAACTACGAACAGCATAAAAATTATGATGATAATTATGAAAAAACAAAGAAATGGATAAATGATGCCTGGGAAATCACTCGAAGTGGCAGTGAAGCGGGTAACAATAGCAGTAAAGATGCTTTACAAAAGCGTTTGGAACAAATAGAAGACCTACTGAAGCGTCGTGAGGAAGGCCAAAACCTTGTTCATGCCACTGTTAATAGTGGGGAAAAGGTGTTAAGAAATACTAGATCCGATGGAAAAGACAGGATAAATACAGAATTAAAAGAACTTCAAAATGAATGGGATCGACTTGTTAAGAAGATGACTACAGCTAAAGTCCACTTAGAAACAGCATTACTTCAATGGGCAGACTATAGTTCTAGTTACTCTCAACTCCAACAATGGATATCGGACAGGGAAGCGAAATTACAAGAAGTGTGTGAACAAAAAGTTGCGAAGTCTAAAAAAGGTCAAGACCGTCATGCAGGACTTACAACAGGTCTTAGCCTTGGAGAGAGAAAAGCTACACTTCGTCAAACAAACAATATTGTACAAGATATCGTTTCGTTTGAACCCATGATTCAGTCTGTAACTTCCAAGGCTTCAGAATTAATGCAACAAGCGCCTGCGTCTGAAATAACCAGTAAATATGAGAGTCTTTCTAAACAAGCTAAAGACTTATATGAAAAACAAAAAGAAACTGTGGAACAACACCAAGTATTCATAGATGCTGGTACAGACTTTGTCCAATGGATTAGAGCCGCTAAGGAAAAATTAGGGAAGTGTTCCGATGCAACCGGTGATAAAGAATCTTTAAGCAGTAAAATATCTCAATTAAAAGTATTGGAAAGTGAATTGCCGGAGGGTCAAGCTAAATTGCAAAAAGCGCTGGAACAGGGTGAGATATCCTGCGGTCTAGCTGATGAAGAAGACAGAGAAGACATTGAGGAAGAAGTGGCTCTAATGCAAGAAGAATACGATACCTACGTGTAAGTATTAATATCGACATTAATTTTTTTATTTATATATATGTTTCTTTTAACTATTTTAAATTATTACTTACAGAGAACAACTTCATAATACAAAAGCTTTGATCGAGGGCGGTATTGTTAAATGGACAGAATATGAGGAGCAGTACAAGGAAGCCTTGGATTGGTTATCAAAGACTGAGAACCTGGTGCAATCCTTTAATAAATTACAAAACAATTTAGAACAAAAGAAAGTGGTTTTGGAAGAATTCCAGGTAACTGATGCTTACAAGGATTTAAATCAAATAAGTCAGTCAGTTTAATTTGTTTGATAACTTACTATATATGTACTTTTATACACAGTGTCACCTACAAACACTTTTTGATTGGCAAGCTGAATTGGATAAGTTAAATATGCGTGCACAAACCCTGCTGGAAACATGTTCAGATACTAGGGTATCAAATGGTATAACGCAGCTTACTACTAAGTACAACGCAATCCTGTCACTCGCCAAGGAGGTTATGAAACGCCTTGAATTGCATTACCAGGTAACTTTATAAAATCATAAATGAAATTTTGTAGTTGTGAAATTACAAATTACATGTATTATGGTTTTGTTTTATAGGAGCATCAACAACACAATGCATTGTACGGAGAATGCCAAGACTGGTTGGATAGGACTCGAGAGAAGTTGAACCAATGTGCAGAGATTCCGAACACCTTACAAGAAGTCAACAACAAACTCAACACTGTTAAACTTCTGCGCCAATCTCTAGAACAAGGTCAAAACAAATTGAGATACCTCTTAGAATTGAAAGAAAAAGTTATGATGAATACTGAACAGGCCGGAGCGGCCAAGATACAGGAAGATACGGACAATCTGAAGCAAGAGTTCGATAAGTTGATCGCTGACCTACAAGAAGTGAGAAACAAACTGACAACGAGAGCTTCGCAGTTTGATGATATATCGAAGGTAAATAAAATAAATATCATTATAAATCACCCTTTACTAGTTTTGTATTACATTTTTATGTTATTTTTAGATCCATAAACTCCTTGTAGAATGGTTGGATGATATTGATCAAAAAATGCAATCAGACGATTCGCTTCTCAACGACTTATCAGAGAAGAAAGCTAAATTGGAAAAATTCAAAACCTTCAACAGAGACATCGATTCACACAAAGACCTTGTAAATAAATTGAATGAAAAAATTAAGGAGGACGCTTCATTAAAATCTAAAGAAATAGAGGACACTTTGAAGCGATACGACGATATTAAGAAGGCTGTCAATGATATGATCAATGTAAGGAATGTTTTCACTATTCTACTTAATTTTCACTTGTTAATACTTTTAATATTCACTTGTTCATGTTAAAGATATTATATATTTTGTTATTATAATATTGATTAAACTATTATGACCAAGTTAAAAAGAAACTGCAATTCTAGTAACAATTTTATCTGGATATCAAGATAAAACTTTTTTTTAACTAATCTTGAACATTGTTTGTAATATTATATTTTACTTTATTAATCTATATAAGATCAAATGAAACTAAGGAAGGAAATTAGAAAATCTAAGTTCTTTTTAAAATTTATCATAACTTTGATTCTATTCGAGTTCTTTTTATTCTATATATGTATGTCTAAATGGGAAATGATGTATTTTATTTAATTTGTACAAAAATCTTACTTACACGTTTTTCTCTATACAGAAACTCGAGGAGTACGTTAACTCGCACATCCAATATAAAGAATCGTATGACAGTTTCTACGATTGGATTCGTAATTGTAAGATTGAAATACAACATTGCTCAGATTCACACGGAGATAAGGAGGAGGTTCAGAAGAAACTGAAAAGTGTCAATAAAATCATTGGATCACTTCCAAAAGGAGAGGCTTTACTTCAGAAGGCTATTAAGTTGAGTGAATCTGTGTTAGAAACAACTGGAAACGAAGGTAAAGATAATATCAATCAGGACATCAAACAATTAAAAATAGAGTGGGAGAATTTACAACAAATATGCAAGGATACTAAAAAGTTATTGGAGAAATGTTTATCTGCTTGGTCCGATTTCATGGAGACTTTAGAAAAGATGACCAAATGGGTCAAAGATTTTGAATCTAAATTAAACACTGTCCAAAAGGTTGATAAAATAACTCCAGAATATCTTGAAAAGTGTCGTGTAAGTATTTATCATTTTATTATGTGTGAGTGATATATTTATTATTAATTTATTATTCATTACATATATATTTATTATTCATTTCCATAATTTCTTTTTAATATAACTTTTATTCATACAGGAACTTTTATCTCAAGCCCTGGCAAATAAACATGTTTTAGAAGAATTAAACGACAGATGTGAAAACTTAATGGAACTTAGCGCTTGTGCTTGGGTTCGTGATAAGACGGTCAATTTACAAACTGAATACACAGCCTTATTGACTAAAATACAAGGTCTTGTATCAAATGGAGAAAAGAACCTGTCAGATCACACTGAATTTATCAAAGCAAAGGAGGAATTACAGCGTTGGTTAGAGACTGCTCATGGAACCGTACACGATTCCATTGGAGTTGGTGATATTGTCGCAACAAAAGACAAGTTAGAAACAGTCAAACTAGTCAGTAACAGGATGACAGAAGGCCATCATTTGTTGGTTGTCTTACAAGAAGCATTCAAGAAAGCTCTTAACAATACCCCTCCTGAAGAACAAGACGGTTTACGTAACGACGTCAAAGTTTTGCAGGAGAGTTGGGATCAACTTAAAATAGACTTGAATTCGATAACGGCTCAATTAAAGGCAGCCATCGGCAAATGGGAGGACTTTGAAGAATCAAAGAATAAAATGAACCAATGGATCGAAGAAACTGAGCAGAACTTGGATAGAGTACCCCCTGCAAGTGGTGAACTGGGAGAAATGAAGACTCTTCTTGAGAAATACAAACATATTGAGGATGAAATCAATAACAAGTCTCCAGAATTTGAACGCCTAAAGTCTGAAGCAGCAGAATTAAGTGGTTGGGCTAAAAATCCAGCCGCTAAAAAGGCTGTGGCAGCCTTAGAAAAGAAATGCAATGCCTTAAAGGCAAAGTGCGCTTCAAAGAAGGCAGATCTAGAAGCCGACATCAAAGATTACAATCAGTACCATCAGTCTCTGCAAGATACCGAAAAATGGTTGCTGCAAATATCATTTCAACTTATGGCTCACAATTCATTGTATATTTCAAACCGTGAACAAACCGAGGAACAACTAGCCCAGCACGCAGTTTTACTGGATGATGTACAGAAGTATCAGGCCACTCTAGACGATCTCGAAGCAAAAGGTCGGGCACAGATCGAACGCTACGAGGCCACAACACCATCTATCAAGGACACAGTCGGTAAACAACTGAAGAACGTTAATGACAGCCACAAGAGCTTATTAGCCACAGCTCTACAGATTGAACGCCGTCTGAGAGAGGGTTTGGCTAAATTCAAGGAGTATGAAGACACTCTGGAGAGTATTCTGAACAATTTGGATGAATGTGAGCCGGCGATCACTGAACTAGACGTCCCTGTGGATGGACTGGCTCACGGACGAGACTTGCTGGATAAGGCCAGGGTATGTGTTAAGGTTATTAAAATAATAATCTATCTTAAGGAAATTTCTTTATTTTAAATACTTAATTATTTTATACTCTAAGACCAACGATTCATATTTGATAATATTGTTAATAATCATCGTTTATTGAGATTTGTACAAATTATCTTAGGACTATTTAATGGTTGGTTAGTACTAAAAGTATTAAGAAATCTGATGTGGTTAAAAATTCACATCTCATTTATAATGATTAAAGAATTACAATGACATTTAGTTAAATAATAAACTCATTAAATTCAAAATATGAGCATAAATATGTATATTATTTTATATCTTTGGTTTGATGTGTAAATTGTATGTATTATTTCAAATCACATTGAGCTTATAACCACATATAATGTATATTCGTACCTATATATAATTTCTTGTATTTCATTAAACTATATGCTAATTCTATAAGTAACCCTGTCTCTAAATGCATGTGCAGACGCTCCACAATCGTCTGCAAACGGAGAAGTCTCGCCTGTGCGCGGCTGTTGCTGCTTGTAGTGCTGCTGCTGCCTCCGTGTCTCGACCCTCCTCGCCGGCAGATACCGCACCTCCGCCAGTCCCACAGAGAGAACTACACGTTCGCGCGAGGCTGGAGGATCTCATCGACCAGGTAACGGGATCTGATACATCGTAAGAGATCTTCGACCCTTCGTATTTCTTTGTTGTGTTTGATGTGTGATTCTTTCTTGTTTTGGTTGGGCTTCCATTAGATTTACTGGAAATAACAAAGAAAGGAAGAAAATTATATCATCAGTTATTAATTGCTTTTTCCTCTTACCAACTAGTATGATACGTTGGAGACTCAACCATAGCAAAATAACAAAATCTTTTTGAATGCAGTGAATTTTTAAAGATGTTTTGTGTGTTCCTTTTTTATTAACCAAATACTTTAAGATTACCAGGTTCGGAAAATTACAGAACCAACAATTTACATGTATTATAAAGTAACGGTAACCAAGGAGGTGTTTTAAAAACGAGGTAGATACAGAAATGGTAGTTAGAACACGGTAGATGGCAAAGTGTACATAAGCTTTCGTTGGTGATGTTTTTTTTTGCACCTGGTATTAATGTTACGTGAAATGTAGAGAAGTCAAAAATATTTATCAAAACAAAAATATCACTCTTGTTACATTTCGGTTACAGTTGCACAAATATAAATAAATATTTTATAGATGTAAATATTTTTGTAAATATTGAAATTTGTATTAAGAAAAATCACATCAAACAAACTGTAAATATTAGCACTCGTTCGTGTAACACTATTATTGTACTTACGTAATCTAATGTGTGTGACATTCCAAAACTAATAAGCAGCTAAATATTTATTGAAGTTCTTGAGATAGTGTGCGAATATATGTAGCAAATAAACCAAATGAAACATATCATTTATGATGTAATAATTAAACATGTGTACTTTACATTCACATTCATTTCATTACAAAAATCGCACCCTGTCTTAGAACCTCATAACAGCACAGCCGCATGTTTGTTATAGACTCATGTGAGCGACCTAGGTGGCGCACGAATAGACTCCTTAAAACGGACTCTCGAAGCGCCGGAGTTCAGCCAGAAACTTGTGGCTTTCGAGAATAAGGTAAGGCTTTGCTCGATGCACATGGATATGTCACTTGTTGTGAGCTTGTTTACTAAAATGCATACAATAACCGCTTCGATTAGACTTCAACTCGATTTTGAATTTTAAGTTCTGCATTATAAAAATGATATAGGTACAAAGCCACCTGGAGACGCTGCGGGATGCAGTCAGTGGAATGGAGGAAGCTATGAAGCAAATGCAAGAAATCCAGGAGTGGATTGCGGTTCACGCCGCCTTGGCCCACGACTGGCTTTCTAACCCGTCTAAATTACGACCGGAGGCCGCTAAACAGGATATGGCCACAATGAATGATGCACTCGCGTCGCTGGCTGAAAAGCGTAATAGATTGCTCACTGAAATTCCTACAGAGGGTAAGTGTTGAACTTTTTATTTTCCCTTTCGGTATTTACATTGTATTTGAAAAAGACTTAACATAAAAAACATTATTCTAGGTCTGGAAGATGAAATAAATCTTGAAGAAGAACTCGACAAACTAGAACAAACCATTCATCAGGCAATCGAAAGAGAGAAGGGCAACCAGTCGATCATAGAAGATTTTAGACACAAATGCCAAGAGATACATGATTGGTTCGATTCTGTACTAAAGAAAATGTGCCTAGCCGATAAAGGGTCGGGATTGCCTTGTCCACAGAAATTGAATGCTCTCAAAGAATTATCATCTGACTTTGGGCAGAATGGCAAGGATAAAGTAGATGCTATCAAGAATGTCGGGAATAAAGTCATCAACATTGTTAGTAACTTGGAGTCGCAGCAAGTTGAAGAACAAGTGAGTATAACATAACGTTTAAATTATTTATTATGTGTTATCGCAAACGAAAATTTTAGAAATATTAATCCTGTATGTATTGAATAATAAAAAAAAATCTTATTCCCCAGATGAAATCAGTTGAGCGAAGGTACAACGACATTGGTAAACGCATTCAACGCAAATTGCAGATGTTAGAAATAACTTACAAAGCCATAGATGGTACTAAGAATGAGGTCAACGCTCAAAATGAATGGATGCAAAAGGAAATCGACAACATGCTGCATCCGGAGCCATTGAGCTACGATAGCAAGTCTGTTAAAGATAGACAAAAGAAAGCAGCCAACTTACTGAAAGAAGCAGATGGTAAAAAGACTGTTATTGACTCTTTAGAAAAGAAGGTAAGCAACATTCAATCCGAGCTAGAACCTTCTGAACAAATGCAATTAGAGTCCGAGCTTTCGGAATTATCATCTAAACAAAAACAGTTAGCGTCACTCGTTAAACAAGAAATTGAGAGACTGGGAGGCTGCGCTGACACAAGGAAAAAATTAGAAAATGATATCGAGAAAGCTAAGAATTGGCTTAAATCTAAAGTAGCAGAGATAAAGAAACTCGGAGGACCTGTACCCCTTGAAGTTGCTAAAGTTGAAAAAGATATAGCGGTTCATAAGAAACTACAAAGTGAGCTCTCTGACTTCCACAATGACACATTTAGTGAAGTGATGCGTCAGGGTAACGCTGTATCGAAGGACTGCTCCAGCGAAAGCCGGGCTAAGTTGCAAGCTATACTGGAAGATTTAAACAAAACATACACTGCAGCTAAAGTAGACATTGATGACAAACTGGCAGCTTTGAATAAACTTCTTCAGGGAAGAAATGAGTTTGAGGCTGATGTCGCCAAGTGCCAGAGTTGGTTAAATGAAGCTGAAGTAGCAGCTACTCCTGAGCTGCGTACAACTAGTCTACAAGTTTTGGAAGAACAGTTGGTTAAATTTGAAAAATTAAGTAAAGAGGCGGTGGAAGTTGAAAAGAATATTGGTAAAATTAAGGATAAATCGAAAGATATTATGGATTCTTTATCTGATTCCAATAAGCTACAGCTTAAGGAACAGGTGAATGTTTTATCTGATAGATTTGCAAGAATTAATGCTATAATAAACGACAAAAAGAACATTTTATTAAAGCATATCAAAGAATATAAGGATGCTGCGGCAAAGATAGCCGCTGCATTAGAGTTCCTGAACGAAATTCAAAACAAATTAAAGGCTTTGAACAAACCAATAGGTAGCAAAGTTGAAGACGTGCAACCAATCATCCAAGCTTACGAATCTATTCTGGATGATCTCAAGAAAAATAAAGCTATGCTCAATGAATTACAAGGAGGCAACTTACATGACTTGCAAGATATTGTAGCTAAACAAGACGAACTGATGAGCACGATCGAAGACCAAATATCGAAACTCAAACAGTTGTTGCTATTACGTGAACAGTTCTTTGCTTTGGTGAAGGAAATTGAAGATTTTATATCAAAATACACAGATATCACGGCTGACATTGAAAAATCTAATGATTCATTAGAAGAAAAGATTAAACGCTACGATGATATCATAGTCAAAATCCAGGGCTGTGAGGCTTTGTTAGCAACGGCAACAGATAAGGGCCAACAGATCGCGGCAGAAGGTACGGTGATTGATAGAAACAACATCACAGAGTTATTACAATCGCTTAAACAACAGTTGCTAACATTGCGACGCAACGTGGAGGCCAAACGCCAAGAGAATGAACGAGCTGCGGCCGAACATAAGAAATTAGCAGCTGATCTCTCTGCAATACTTCAATCTCTTCACGACAATGAAGCTGCTGTACATTCAAGGCCTCTATTGAATAGAGATGTCGCTAGCGTTGATAAAAAACTCATTGAACACGCAACTCTAGCTAAAAACATCCAAGGATATTTGGACAAGCTCACCAAAATAATCGATTCCATTAAAAGCGATGATGTAGTTCCCGGTACACTTTTGGAAATGATCTCAGAAGGAAATTCTCTAAAAACTTCACTGCCAGAAGAACTAGCAAACAGAGAAAAACACCTACAAGATAATAAGAAATACAGACAATCATATCAACAAATGGTTGAAAAACTGAGTATTTGGGTGAATGAAGCAAATATCAGACTAGGAATGGGCAAAAATGGAACAGACTTTGAAAACATCGAGTCTGACATCGAAGAGCATAAGTCATTCTTTAATTCATCAGAACCGGAAATGAAAGATCTTGTTGGAAAGAAGATGCAGGACATAGTGAACAAAATATGGCCATCCCTCACTCCTTCCGAGCAGGAAGAGTTATCTAAGGAACATCAGAAAAACAACCAGCTTCTGAAGAATACGTTGAATTCAGCGAAATCTCGTCAAGCACAACTGGAGATAGATTTGGAGATCTGGAAAGATTTCTGTCAGTTAGTGGAAAAGATAAAGGCTATTCTGGATAAGAACGACATCCCTGAAGAACCCGTGACTTCTATGGAATCACTCCGCTTGTACGTTGAGAAACTGAAACACGCCCACAACGACCTTGAGGTGAGTTTAACAAACTTTTTAATAACTTGTAACATTAAGAATAATTTTAAAAAATTAGGCAATAGATAGAAAAGAAATAGTTTATTTACTTCTTTAAGACCACAATTTATTGTGCTGTATATATGTACATTTATAGTTAAAAAACATATCTATTACGTTAGTAAGAGTTACTTATTTCGCAGTTTAAATCTTTATATTGGAATGCTTTATATTGTAAACTTATCGATTAAATACTTATTCTTAAACGTTACTTTATGAAATACGAAATAAGTCGCTTATACCTAAATGAATTATCATCAAATGTCTCGCGATCAAGTGGCCTTGTTTCATTGAATTATAAAACAGTGTTAACAATAATATTCCAATTTATGTGTAAAGTGTCAGGTGAACTGGTTCATTGTTAAACTGGTCAATAAACTCTGAACGTATCGCGTTGCATTCGTATTGAAACAATACATAAACTGAATGTAACAAACCTGGAAATAGGATTTATAATAATAACAAATAAATAATATCTATTAAGTGATAATTTTCCGCATCAATAAATGCAGAACTTCTTCCGTTTTAGTCACAGATATTCCGATGAGTTCAATTCATCAACCGACCAAATATAATAAAATGCGTATTGAATTCACCTCATGTCCTATTTAAGGCGATGCCGTATTGATAAAATTATTCATATTTGTACAGGATCTGTTTCAAATATTGTTTAATGTTTAAACAAAAAGATTTGTTACAAATATTATTACTGCCACTTAATAAGGCTTATCAATTTAAAATGTTTTATGATCGGTTTCCGAACATTTGTTTTATGTATCAATGTATTAAATACCACCTGTACATGATGCTTATTTGTTTTGAAACAATAATGAAGTGTTATATTACTAATTATGATATAATACCAATGTATATACAATCGGTAAATAAAAATTGAGACCACATAGGGTCAAGTAGTTGTAATAAACGTTTCGCCTTAACGGATGATGTCATGCAACACTTAGTCAAGGTCCCCCCGGCACTCGTCAGTCGTGGTACACACAGCAATGAGAACGCAACGCTACAATATACATTATTTAACTGATTTCTTATTGTTCAAGTGTATTTACGATACTTAGATTATTTTATTTCGTTGGTACATTTAAGTGTTCAAAATTCCGCGTAAAAGGAAGGTGAGTCTCGATAGGTTTCGAATGAAATTCGATCGTGATGTAGTTTGTATTTATTGAAGACTAAAGAGGTTTCAAACTTCATGGTCTTATGCAATTTATGCGGCTGTTAAGATTGTACCTTCGTGTGTTTCAAAATTAAAAAAAACACTTGTCAAATTTATATAAAATATTATTTATTAAATATATTAAGTACTTACCTTTAAAATATACGAGACCGTAATTACGATGACCGGCGAAGCGTGACTTTACCGGCGTTTACGTGAAAATAATTGTACTTTTTAACCCAAATTATTACAGTATTATAAAATAACAATACATTTCGATTTGTGATTGTTTAAAAAATAAGTACTGATCTAAGCAAGTCCGATAATAATATCAATAAAAAATTCTCCCCAAAATCATTTCATTGCAAAACTCATATACATATATTAACTATTTCCATAGTTTCAACAATATAAGTTCCAAACTCTCGACTTATTTATGTTTACATTATGTAACGAAAATCTAAATTAGGTATGTGAAGTTTTAAGAATGACATCCGATTCTATGCTGCAATTCAAGATTTTATTGAACGCATTGTGTTTCAAGTTGAAAGAATGTGAGAAAAAAATATCATTAGTTCACAAGAATTTCATACTTATAACATAATAGCGTTTATTCTCGTTTGTAACCAATTAGCGGCTAAATCTCATTATGCAAGTAGCGACAAGATACTTCCGACCTATAAAAGAATTCTCTCTTATTATAGAACGTACTATTAGGTTAGGTTTTTGCATATAATAATTGTACATCGTCACACTACTTACCGTCGTACAGACATTCAGATATTCGATTTAAATATATGAGTCACATATATTTTAATTTATAATTGAAATCATATTTATCCTTAATCGTTTTAAAAGGATACAAAATACATATGACTTAAAACAAAAGTATTCTTTAATAATATTTAGATTAAATTATAAATTGTGCAACGTTTTTGATGTTAGCAAGCTGTTTGTGGTCATAGCATCTATTATTAGAACTATGAGTTAACAATGTACGTCAAGGTCATTGCCGATGTTTAACCTTAAAACAGTTTCCGATACCAATTCTGTAATATAAATAAATTGTATTTATCTTAAAAAATCTATGTAATCTGTACTTAAAATAAAACTATAGATAGATGGGTTAGACAAAAGTAAATGTACGTAATATTTTTTTATGAATTTAGATGTTCAAATCTGTGTTGCTAGAAAAGTAGGGAATATGGTACCTACTCCCGATTCTAAGCCGGCTTTACGATTTGATGAAGTGTTGAATGTTAGTGTTTTAAAGAATAACATTTTCGTTGTCGAGTACAGATCTTGAAGATGTAACATAACTGAAGACACGTGAATAATACTTTGATTGTTTTGTAAACATGAACCAACTTTAGTTCAAACAAATCGAGTTCATTTTTTATACTGAACTATCCCTTAAATGTATATAATGAATCAATCATGTTACTCCACTTTGTAAGTAATATCAAGTTTGCAAATTAATCTAATTAAAGTTCATATGTATTGCAAGTCGTTACAAGATTATAATGCAAAAGGAACCTTATCAGAACCTTATCTCACATCACATTACTGATAACACTTGTAAACACTTGATAAGCCACGCCGTTTTGTTTCTTGATACTAATAGAATTTTTGCATAGTAATAAATACGTTCTAGGAATTTTTGATAACATAGATGATATGAAATACAATATAAATATTTTAATGCTCTATATTCTATATATATTATTTTATCAGTAGATAGTTTTTTTCTGTCAATTATTTTATTATCATTATCGACATTTAATAATGATGATATTAATACTACGCGTATTTTAGTATTAAAAAAACACATACTTTGCATCAACCGTGATCACGGGCAGACGAGATATGACTAATAGATATTGACGTTTTACTAGATCACGACATGTCCAGGATACGTTATATTGTCTATTTTACGTGAGCTAAAGTAGTAGTTTTAGATTCATGTTGTCTCATCAGAAGCTATCCGTTGAAAATGATTTAAAGTAGTAGTTTCAAATACATATTGTGGCCCCAGAACCAGCAGGCTCTGCTGGACGTGGTCCGTGAGCGCGCCCGCGAGCTGTCCGTGGGCGCTGATGCGGCCAGTGGGGAGAGGGTCGAGCAGAGGGCGAGGGAACTGGCGGACCGCTGGGAAGTCGCCTGTGAAGGTATAACATACATACATAAATACATAGAACATCATCATCATTAACCTATCATAGCCCACTGCTGAGCAAAGGCCTCTTCTCAAATAGATAAGGTTTGAGCATTAATCACCACGCCTGTTTAAGACTGGTTGGCGATTTCAAACCTATAATTAAACATATATACATACATTTACGTTATTAGCTATATAGGGTGAAACCGATAGAAAGCATTCAAAGTTTTGAAAGTGTGAAGCTAAAGGTAATGAAATCCCAGGTCTAGCGAAACGAGCTGCAACAGCTGATAGCCAGCTGCAGCGTTGGTCGTCTTTGGAGGACACACATCGTGCTCTATCCGCGGCTTTAACCGCTGCAGCCGACCGCCTGCGACACCTGGACACCAGCCCGCCGACCAGGAGACGAGCGCTGGACATCAAACATGAGTTACAGGTCAATAATTATTCCTCATCCCATACAAAACATCCGTATGTCCAAATCCTAAAGTTTTTATACCGCTAACAGGAACTACAAAGCGATGTTTCAAGTCTGGAGGAGAGTAGAGATGATCTTGTTGAACACGGAGACTTCGTCGTATCACTGTTGAAGCCACACGAGGCCGCCGCTGGTATAGAGAGAGATGTCAGGGAGATGGTGGAAAACTATGAGAAGTGAGTCTTGTGTTGTGTGGCTTGGAAGAATTCTAAACAATCATTATTATAGATTATAGTCACGTCTATATACTAATAACCTTGAAATTAAAATTTATTCTTGATGTTAATTCATTCACAAAGTAATGTCTAATAGTTTGTGTATAATAATGACGTAAGTTAACTTATGGTAAGTAAGAAAACTCATGTGAAGGTTTGTATTTAAAATTTATCTATATTGACTATAGACTAGTGAAGCTTCTTTTGTATTTAAAATTTATCTATATTTAAGACTAGTGAAGCTTCTGGCGACGGGGAAGTGAAAGTTATTATTGCTCGTTACAATAAATAAAACATATTACGAAATATTCGTGAAATAGGAACTAAAATTAGTATTTACTAAAGCATAATAAATATTAAACAGATCATGTACCCAAGTTGAGAGTAAAAGATGACTAGATTTCCATGTAAAATAATGTAAAATGTATTCAAAGTTATCTCAGTTAGGTACAAAAGCGATGAATCAACGCGGTAGGTTAAGCAACGGGCCGTTTTTATGGTGACAACTGTCTCTATTGTGCACGGTCAGGCTAAGTGCACTTCAATAGACGAACACAGAATAGTCTTTAAATAACCATTTTATGATCTTTATTCCAGAATTCTCTCTAAGTCATGAGTAACATGTATTTTATAAAATTATTGAGGCTATGAAACACGTGCAAGTCATTTATTAAGTAATATGTTGTGTGCCGGAACCGATGTTTGGCTCGGGATCAACTTACTGTAGACTATCCGTCCATCCTCACCACACTGTAGGAAACAAAAACATTATTACAATATTTATTCTATATAGGTATTACACAATCGTAATCTTATTTGTAGCACAACTAAACTCTCATCTTCTAGTTGATGTTGATATAAAAATCGATTCATTTTGTGTTAATATTGCAATCTCTATATAATTATTAATATACGACAGTTGTTTTTACCACATATCCTTAAAAAGATTGTGTTTATGCAACTTTAGAGACACTCTAATACCATATTTGTTGTATGAAATTCAATTTTATGCGTTAAATAAAATATACCATACAAAATCAATTACCTCGGGGTATTTTGTTAAGTGAAGCTCATTAAAATTCTGTAGGCGCGGTCAGGTCTGCTGACCAGTTTGTTAACCACATTTTGCAAGATCTCACACAAGGTTACCGAAATGAACCGTATCCCAAGGGAAAAGGGTGTAAGCGAAATTCAATTGAGAATTCTTGATACACGTAAAATGTCAAAATATATATCCAATTAAAAATAAGCTTTATCAGCACACGTTAAAGGTGAATTTAAAATGTAATGGATCGCAGTGTTTATAAGTTTGACCGTACACGGAGCAGTCAAGGGCGGTCGGTGTTTGTCGGCGATGGATAATATCGTATTCTGCATTGAACGACGCCATGAAATTTGCACTTTATATGTCTAGTAGAACTATAAATAGCAGCAGTTTTAATAACGTGTCTGTCCTACACACGCTATGTTGAAATTTATAACTTACATATATCTTTATATAATATTTGTTATAGCCGCTAAGGCTGTTCTTTCAAAGTTTCTTATTGGTTTAGAATTTTGTCTGATAAATTATATTATCTATCACATGGCCCACATACAAATATTCTGCAAATAACTTTACTTTAAATAGCTCCGTAGTGTTATACCGATGACGGCGTATCTTTTTCTATAATTCCGTCAGTGATGTCATTTTTAAATTTGTCGTAATTTGCCTCCAAAGTCCAACAATCCTGATACATGTGTCATTACAAAATCGAGATTAGAATATTATTATTTCTCTTTATACTTCTTCTTGAAATAAATGTTATATTAATTTAATATAAAGTCTTAAAACCCATTGTTATTTCAATATAATATTAAAACGAGAACAAAACTTTATTTTTATCGAACGAAACGAATTTGTCTACCATGAAGTGACGTCACCCATGGCCGACTATGTTCAGAGCGAGACCAATTTATTTTTGATGTACCTAGTCCACATTTTTGTAAAGTTGCTCATGTCTCTAGACTTATTTGAACATGTTATAAATTTAATAAAACCTCGTGTCCGATTCCTAAAATAACAGGATAACGTAACGGCAATACACATGCGGAAATAAGTAGTAAGTATGTGTATCCTTTGAAGAACTAAAATTTATAATGTTATTTATACAATACAATGATATTGTATGCTGATATTGATACATGCTCCGTGGCTTGTTTAAATGATGGGGAAACCGAGGGGAGTTCGATAGTACAAATTTTTTGCTTCGTAAAATCCACCCCTTTAGTACTTAGTCACCGGATATATAAATACAATGTGGCTTTGCAGTATAAATAAAAACAACTTTATCAAATAAATTAGAAACTTTAAATTACGCTTGATTTTTGAAAAATACTTTTTTTAATTAATTTTCTAAAACCTTAAAGTTTTTTTAAAGTTATTTTGTATAAAGTTTCGTACGTCGAAACTATAAAGGTTCAACAAAGTTTAAAAACATGTTTATAACCAAGTCCGTTATCAGAACGCCAATTCAAAACAAAAAGATCTTATGTATTCCATAAAAATATAATAATAAGACTTGCGTCGTCCCCATAGGGGTTAGTTTAAATCGATATTCACCGTAGACGGGCTCGGGGGATGTCGGCAATCGTTACGTACATACTTTGGCAGACTTCTATTTCAAATCGCAACGCGCCTGCGTACAGCGCGCCGAACGTTATGGGTCAGGGCCTCTCGATGTGTGCATTAGAGGGTTAAACTTAGAACGGTCGCCATTACTCACCGCAGTACGGATTTTCAAGACCGAAAAGATGTGAGCGATGCACGAGAAAGCAGGCCAACGACGCTTCCGCGATGAAAACTCCGCTGAAAGACCCAGTTTACAGATTATTACTGACTATATAGATAACGACCGTACATTATGTTAAAACAGTGGGTGCGTGCAATCCGCGATTGTATTGTGAGGAACAAATAGCGTGGTCTTAATGTGATAGTGCATAACCAACCGCGGTGAGTCACGCTGTTCGCTTATAAGCAATTTAGAATCGTAAAATTATGTGGAATTTTAGTTTGATATCCCGGTTGGCAGCGACTCTATAAATGTTTACGTCGCCCACACGACACGCGCTGGTGCGGCGCCGGCCGGCTTCGAGTGTGAGGGTTCGTTAGCGCAATTCAACGTAGTTGCGCAATAGGCATAAGCTTATAAATGCTTCGACTGTCAATTCAGTCACAAGGTCGAAAATGTCACGTCACCATAAGATGAACACCAGTCGGTAGAGAACGTAAACACGAGTGCACCGAAAACTATGCTGATGTCATCGCAAACATAATATATGTGAAATAAAATTAGATTCGGCCGACGAATCTACTGCGCGGTTCATTGAGCGACGGGCTAGCACAGCGAGCGGAGCGCCGCAGGCCGCTGCCTCGAACTACGAGGTACTATTGCAGCCGACCTTGCGGCGTCATAATAAACACGTCACACCGCGCCGCCGGCAGATTATTTTCGTCGCCTTTTGGCAGCTCCTCCTTGTTCGCCAGAAGCTTTACCGACCGATTCCGACGTAAACGTGCACTAACGAATATCTTTTTACAGATTGCGACAGACTCTTGCGGCGAGACTCGCGGAGATCGACGAAATTGTTTCCGAATTCGATCGCATTTCGGAGAAGATCGATAAGCTCCGACAACAGATCGAAATCTATATAACTAAAGTAAGAACCTTCTACGTATTCGGAGAAGACGACGAACAGGGTCTACGACAATTATCAGCTGAGGTCTCGGATCTCGTCGAGAGTACGAAGACCTTCACTGAGGAGAGTCGGAAACGCTACGGGGGTTCTGCGCCCGCGGACATTGCGCAGGAGCTCTCGGCATTAGAATTATCCGCGGAAGCCCTGGCCGCCGCTATGGAAGAAAAAGAAAGGGAGTGGAAACGAGCCAAGACTGCCCGTACTGACTACGCAGCTGACGTGGACAGCGTGCAAGCTTGGGTCCGCGCAGCCGAGCTGACGGCTCGTGAGCGCACGTTACCACCACAGCCTTACCGTGAAAGACTCGTAGCCGTCCGTTCTGAGGAGCCAGGAGTGGCTGATCGCGTTGATCGCCTCACTAGGAATGCGCGGACTTTGGTGGAGGGCAGCCGCGACGCGGATGACCGTTCACTAATCCAATCAACCGTTGCGGCGCTCACAGAGCAGTTTACAGCCGTGTGCTCGGAGCTGGAGGCACGTCAAGCTGCAGTCGAAGATGCTTGTGATGCCGTGGCTCGTTTCCTGGCACTCCTAGAAAAGGTTCTACTCTGGGTGGAAACGCAACGCGCTTTCCTCGCGCGGCCGCTGGTTTTGGCCGACTTGCAGGAGGCGCAACAAAAACAGACAGAATACGGGGTTGGTTTTATAATAAAACACAAGGTCTTAGAAATATAATAAAACAAATTTTACTCATTTTAATTGTTATTATTATTTCAGAACGCCCTTAAGAGTTGTAAGCAGCAGGCTAAAAATTTAGCTGATATGACTAAAGAACTGGAAGCGATTGAGCGTGTGACTAGTCCAGGAGATTTACCTTCAAGATTGGAGGCCGCCGAGAATGCTACAGTGGATGTAGAAAAGCGTCTAGCCAAGACAGTCCGTACTCTTCTAGTAGCGATTCGAGGGATACTGCTGATATAATTATTTTATTTATTCTAAACTTTTTATTTTTTTTTAGAATGGTTTACTACAAGAATTAGCCGAAGAGTGGGAGCGATGTGAGAAGAAATTGAAGGACGTTGGCCATTGGCTCGAGGCCACAACTAGAACTCTAGAAGCACCACAGAACGCGAAAAAGCCTCTCCGGGATAGATTGGCTTTTAGAGAAAAATTAATTAATGATATATCAACACAAAAAACTAAAATTTCCTACGCTGTAGAAAAACTCAACGTGAGTGGATCAACGAAATTTTCGGAGCTTTAGTTATTTCGTTGTATTTGTTTTTTGTTTCTGAAATATTAGGTGGTAATTCCGTATTATTTGGATTCGTGACGGTACGTATGTTACGCAGGTACACTTCGGAGCTGAGGGTGTGGCGGCGCAGTCGGGTGCACCATCCGGTGTATCATCGGCAGCACGTGCCTTAGTCGGCTCTCTAGACGCTCTGGGTGCTGCCACAGGAGCGCAGGCTACGCAACTGGCGGCCGCTCTGGCGCAGGTGGAGGCTTATTGCGCGGACGTGGCGCGCCTTCGTGGCTCGTTGTTGGCAGCCGAGCAACGCTTGCGCCATGCTGCCCAGCCGCACTATAGCCCCGGAGACCCCGAACAGGCTGCTCGGGCACAACAGGTGAGACTTCCTAACAAACGCAACTCTGTTCGCTTACACTTTCACCGGTAGGCTAGCGATCGTTCTAGTTTTGTTTATCGGCCTCGGAGGCTCTAGTTAGGCATTACGGATTCACCACCACGTGTATATTGTCACCGACCACGCGATTCATGTTTTGTTTTCTTTCTGTTTTCCTTTCCTCGTCCACTAATATGTCTGACGATATCCTCTGATAGGAATGTCGCGAGAAAGTTAAGTCACTGCAGAGCAAAATACAGGCGCGGAACGAAAGAATCAAACTTATTGTACAACGCGGCGGTCCGGACGCCGATCCGCTGTCGGATGCCTAGTTCAAAGTCGTGTCGATTCTAGCTTTAAGTCGATTTTGAATCATAAATTCCTATTATATATATATTTTTATCGATAATGAACGAAATAAACGTTTTCGCCTTCGCATTCATCGTCGTTTCTTTTCATAATCTTCAGTCCCCATTGCTCGAATATCCGAGCTTGCGAACCTACTCTAAAACATGTATGTCCATACTTGCGTATCAGGAGGTCGAGCGACGAATCGAAGAGCTGACTTGGAGCATCTACGAGCTCGACCCGTACTACAACGAAGCTAGCGACGACGAGCCGGCCGCTACGTTGGCCATGCTGGTGTCAAGTGCGGACCGTGCTCGGGCGAGTCGTCGCTCGCGCGCGGTCCCTCCGCCGCCCGCACGGCTCGTACCAGCCGCACCCTCACCCGCACGCCTCGCGCCTACCACCTACGCCGAAATAGTCAAGGGCTCGGGTTCCCGCTCGGTCTCTCCACCAGACCGTCCAACGCACAGAATGCCACTAATATCCCAAGACAGAGAGGCTAGCCCAGAAGAGGATACCAAAGTTGAAGTTCATGGACTGACTAGACCTCGCTCCTTGGATGATCGGGTCGAATTCAGTGAACCAAAAAGCTCTAGTGACACAGAGTGCGAAATGAGTGTATGTGATACGTTCCCAAGTGATGTAAACGTTTATAGTAGGGAATATTCCCATGAGGTATGCGATTACTATGTAAATCCTACTGTGGAATGTAATGAAAAAGTTCCTGAACTTAATATAGTGCCTCAACAGCCTTCAATTGTTGAAGAGACTCCAATCATGACTACCACAGAGTTACGTCCACCAGATTGTCACGATAGATCAATGAGTCCCGCATCAAAACATAGGTCTCAAGAATTATCGTATGCTGAAATACTAGCACTCGGCTTAAGCAAACAATTGAAGAATTCAAATGTTTCAGTACTACCTAAACCTCAAGTGGCGCAGGTCGAAATGGTGAAAGAAATTGTTATCGAAATGGAAAAATCGCCATCATTACAGCATGAGCAAAAATTGAAGTCGAAAGACTCATTGAAATTAAAAGGTGTTAGACCAGAAAGACCTTCACAGCGTAGTCGATCGAGAGACATGCCAAGGCAACGAAGAGCGCCTGAGAAACGATCGATGAAAACAAATGATGCGCAATTGATAAAGAAAAAGAAAACACCAAAAAAAGTATTAGAAGTTCAAGAATTTGATGATAATCCTGAAGTAATCGACGCTGATGACCCTCCATCACAGTCGACATTAGCGTTGAAACATAAAACTGATAAAAAGTCAGATTTTGAAAGTTCTAAAATGACTGTAAATAAAATTGAAACGGAAAAAGAAAAGCCAATACATATCGAAAATTTCGAAGAACCCATTGATGCTAGTCCAGAACAAAGTGTCGCAGAAACTGTCCAAAAGAAATCTAAGAAAAAAAATAAAATTAAGAAAGCTCAAGGAACAGAAGACGAAATCGAAAGAGCCCTGAAAGAAATAGAGGAGTCAGATAAACAAAAAAAGAAAAAACACCGAGACCTTCGTGATAAGAGCAAAGAAAAAGTAATAGAAGTAAAAGAAGTTGTTAATGAAAGTAGGAATTTGGATGTTATGTTAGAGTCAAAGGAATCTATGTCCTCAAAGTCTAAAAAGAAAAAATCTCAAAAACATCAAGTAGTTACTTCACCTGTTGAAAATATAAAGGAAGAAGAGCAGAAATTTATTAACAGTAAATTAAAGGAAACACAAGAAATATTCCTAAATGATATGACTCAAAATGAGCTAACTCGTGAAAATGTAACGAAAACTTCAAGTCTAAAATGTGTTTCGCCAGATTTAAATATATCTGCAGACTTGAATGATGCTGTTAGTGGTATTGAGTTTGGTTCGATTAAGCAAAAGAAGAAAAAGAAATCCAAAAAGCAAGATAAAGTACAAGATACAGAAATAAGGGTTGATCCCACGGAGGAAATTAAAAGTTTAAATGAAAATACGGATTTGACTAAAAGTAAAGTTATTGATAACACTGATTTCAAAGACATGAATATTTTAGAAAAAATACAATCAGAACAAAGTTTGATAACTGAGGACAATGAATCAAGTATAAATAAATCAGATGAATCCTCGAACAAAAGTAAAACTTATAGAAAGAAGTCTAAAACTAAAAAATCCAGAGGTACAGATAATGAAGAAACAGACAAAGCTATTAAAAAAAAAGAACAAGATGAAATAATCAAAACAAACAAAGATAAAAAATCATTAGAGACAGTTGTTGAGTCTATGGTAGATACTAGTTCATCACAACTGAAAATTGAAAATGCTAGCGTATCTGAAATTGCTAAAAATAAAATTATCACCATGGATTGGAATGCTTTGATGGAAGAGGAAGACAAGATTCCTGAATCTGCAATTGAGCCAATAACACTCGATAAAAACCAAATTGACATAAATATAAGCTCGGAACAAATAGCTTCTGAAGTCACCATCCTTCCTGAGGTGACGACTGTTTTGTCAGAATCAGACATAGTTGATTGTGTGAAACTGTCTGAGAGTTGTGAAATTAACACTAGTTCTGACCAATCGGTAATAGAGAATTTAAATAAAACAACGGCAACTGAAAATGAACAGAATAATAATGACAAATTCTATTCAGACGTTGTTAGAAAGGAACGATTTATCAACGTGATTGAACAAACTACTACGTACAGACCTATAGATGACGTCGAGACTCGTACAATATATCTTATTACTCATGAAGAAAAGAAAATGCCTCCAATAAGAACTGTTAAAATATTTAATAGTAAAAATAATTCTTTTGAAGAATCATGTAATGAAAAAACAATCCCGATCGAATCGGAGAAGGCTGAGAACGAGGAAGAATCACTCCAGAGTGATAAAGTAGACGTAGAAATATCAGACCTTGATTCTATGAACAAGATAGAGGTTCCCGAAAAATCTGATACCGATAGTCATGTTACCGAAGAAACGTTGGATAATTTCCAAAACATGGGTGTAAAGAATACCGATGTGGTAGAAGAATTAGAAGGTGTGAATATTCAATATGATCATAATGTGCCAAACAAAATAGATACTAAAACACAACATGTTGCCTATCCATTAGAAGACTCGTACAAGGAAGACCAAAATTTAGTTGTTGTCATGAATATTGAAAAGGAGAGTAAAAATATAGAAACATCGACAGAAATTGAGTCGGATGATGTTTTAATTGAACAAGCTATATTTGGGTCAGTACAACAACGTAGGAAACCAGTAGAAAGATCAGAGATTCCTGGAGTTGTAATAAATGAAGAAGTAAAACCATATATGATTGGACTCGATTTTGAGCAACTGGACTATAATTATTATCAATACATTAGCAATAAAACCGGCAGTGATGTAATTACTAGTCTGAAGGAGGGACAAGTCGATAATGATTTAAGCAATGAATATAAAGAAAAAAATTATATTGCGGAGTTAGAAAAGCAAGAGGGCTATAATGAGGAGCATGTTGAAACAAATTCCATAAGTGAGAAAATTCAACAAGATCAAGCAAGTGACAATGTACATGTAAAGGAATTTAATTCAGGCATTGATGACATTTCTGAAATTATAACACCTTCTATAAAGGAAACAGGGCTTTCTGCTGTACATGAAATTTCACCAGAAAAATCTGAATCCCTTGCTATCCTTGAAGACATGATGTTAAAATATGATTATCAAAATTTACGAAATGCTGAATATAATTTAGCAATTCAGACTACCAACAAACACGCTTTGAAATTGAATAAATTAAACAACACAAACGTCATTGAAAACAGCATAAGCGAGCGAGAAGTAGAAGAAAATTCTACAGAAATTCTGTCAGCTGACAATAAGGACATAATGACAAAATCGTCTGAAATTAAAAACGACACAACTGATTTACTTATTTTTAATTCTTGTACTCAGTTAAAGTACAATTATCAGGATATTATTGATGCAGAAAACAAAGTTATTAAAGAAAATAGTTATAAACAAATTCAGGAAAATACATTAGCCGTAGATGAAAGTTTAGACGAAGCTGTTAATGCAAAAATAAATGCGTCGATGAGTAATACAAATAGCGAAAATAATATGAAAATTCTAAATGTTACCTCTATTGAAGTACCCCGGCATCAATATCAGGAATTGTCGGACGCTGAACAACTTTACGCCAACATAAAATCTTGTCAAGATAGCCTAGAGTCTGATATATCTTTTAAAAATAATGAAAGTGAAAAAGCAACTAATTATGAACCCAGCATAGATAAAGAATCTATTAAACATGACTCCCATACAACTGCAGATGCTGACGGGTCAAAAGAAAGACCTCAAAGTTTCGATACCATTACAGATATAAGGGATGATGATATTTCAAACGTAACTAATGACTGCAATCAAAACGAGATGAAATTAATATATGAAATACCAATGTATTCGTATTCAGAATTACGTGATGCTGAAAACCTTCTTATAACGAGACTAGGAAAAGAGTATCAGAGTAAAATTGAACCTACTGTTCAAGACGATGACAGTTATGAAAATAAATTGATTGAACTAAATGTGAATTCCACATCTTGTGAAAACATTACTAAAGGAGTGAGAAAAAGTAGTGAACACGAATATTTTATATTCGAAGTTCCTGGACAGAATTATAAAGAGTTACAAGATGCAGAATACCTATATGCGTCCCTGTGTTCTAAAAACGCAGTTGATATAGAAAACAGTAATAGATCAGATGTTCTATCAAGTAAAGAGAATCAACGAGTGCCTTTGGAAAACAAAGACTTTAATGATGATTGTATTGGTGGTGATTTTGATATTGAGGAAAAGAAAGTACTGGCGTCAGTTGATACTGAAATTGTAGAAAATAAACCAGATTGTACGGTCGAAAATATAATAAAGAAAGGGCTTGAGAAAGTAAATGATGAAAGTAAAAGTCCTGAAGATACGATTCTCGAAGTTACGATACAAGAAAACATCATGCCAGAAAAAACTGAAATCGCGTATACTATTGATCTAATTAGTCATGAACAATCTGTCTTAGAAGAAAATGATAATATCGGCAGCGATATTGTTGGTCAAATTGATAAAGAACCTAATAACACTACAGACCTTAGCGTTAATATGAGTAAACTTGAAAAAGACACTCCTGAAGAAAATATTAGCAACTTTGAAGATGATTATGCTAAACAATCTCTTGTTCCTCTAGTTTTCGATACACCGAAATCGGAAAAAGGAAAAAATTCTACTCTCGATGATTCACCTTTAAACGTGAAGGAGGACGAGGAAGAAGAATTTGTTATAGTTGATGTAGTAAAAGATGTGTCTGAAGAAATCGTTAATGTGTCACCTGTAAACTTTGATTCTGGAACTGGTGATATTCCACAATCGTTAGCAGAAACCGAAGAAGCTGTTACGGAGAACAATAAAAAACAATATGATCAACAAATGACCGACAGCATTAACTTGCGGACAGACGAGAAGTTACCTGATTATCGTGACAATCTGCCACTAGCTCTTGATTTTGAAGTGGACTGTGAAATTATAAAATCAACTTTGGCATTTGATAAGGAAGAGGAACTACTCCAAGCTAAACACATAAAAGAGTCCTCTATTGAATCTAATTATAGCTCAACTGAAAATATTTGTTTACTACCTGATACTACAATTGAGTCGCAACCAATTGATACGCAAATAAGACATAACATACTTAGCACTGATGAGAATATATCAACTTTGAACTTAATAGAATCCACCTTAAACAAAACTAACGAAAATTTAAATATTCCTCCTAATATAGATTGCCTTAATACTGACGAAGAAAATGACATACCTCGTCCTGAAAAATCTCCTATTCATAGCTTGCATGATCTCCTTCCTGAAATTGATTCTATTCCGGAGTTTAAACCTGCATATTCCTCGAGTACTGTTCTATATTCAAAATTATCAGCTGATGCACCAGAATTCAAACCATCTTATATGTATTCGCTCGATGACAACAACAGTTCAGAGAGCGTTTCAAATATTAATTTGAAACAAAAGAAGCAAGATACCACAAAATCACGAAATGATGTAGAATCTACTCCTGGTCCCGAAAATACTTTGGAACCTATAACAGCTTCATATTCTTCTGTGTTATTAAGTAAAGCGAAGGAACCGCAAGACAAACCAAAAACAACTTCTCAATCACTAGAGAAAAAGGAAAGTGGTTCAAAACCACCCACTGTCCAAGAAAAAGAAGAACATCCAGATACAAAATCAAAACCAAAAAAACGCAAGAAGAAAGATCTAGACAAGCGAGATTCATCTTTGTCGTTTGCATCTGATACTGATAACACTCTTTCTAATGTAAAACAAAATTTGGAAACAACCAATGTATGGACTAAGGCTGCTGAAGAAGGCAAATCATACGCAGAAGTTGTTGCCGAAGGGTTAATTGGGGATGAACAAAAAGATTTACGTACTCATCAACACGTAGACCCGCCTATTGTTTCTGATCAAGAAATGATTCCAATTTTGTCTGATGATTCTCTTCAAGTGGTAGAAACAAAACAAGAAAATCCTAAAGGAGCAGATGAATCTCAAACTTCGTGGGCCAAAATTGTGGCAAGTAATCGACCCTCGCCAGAAAGAGTGAGTAAAGTAAATGAGCCAATTGTAGAGATCACAAGTTCTTATAAACCTCCCGTTATATTAGTTGATGAGTCCGATAACGAGATTCAGCGTTCTGACGTTCATGTAGATGATGACGGTTTTATAAAAGTCGATAGAAATAGACGTTCACGTTCAAGATCACGTGACAATCGCAATCGGTCACCATCGACATCTAAAACTATTCATAAACAGCTTATTCCAAGAGACAAGTCGGAAAATAGATTTGAACCATTAGTAAGTATTCTTAAAACAGAAGAAGAATCTCAGGATGTTGAGTCTGCTATTGAAAAAGAGACAATAACAAAGGTGAGAAAAAATCGTTCCTCTCTACCAAAAGAAGAAATAAAAACTAAAACAACTCACATTACTCCAAATCCACCAGAGGAAGAAAAACAACAGATTAAAAAAGATAAAAAGAAGAAAATCACCAAATCAAAAGATAAAACATTAAAAAGTAATGAAAACAAAGATCAAATTGAACCGGCTCTTGATAGAGTAATGGAGGACAAAGTGGAACCAACTAAGAAAATAGAACCTCAAAGTCAAAAGAAAAATAAAGGTAAGAAGAAAGATAAGAAAAATTCTCGTGTTATTGATGAAGCAAATACTCCTGTAGAGCCAGGTATGAGTTCGTTAGAACAAGAAAAGCTTATGGGAGTTGGCACAAGAAAAGATTTAACCCCTGTCTCGACACCGGAAATTATGCAAACGCCTATTAAAGACAAACCATATTCGGAAGCTCAATTTTGGAAGATTGACCCTAGTGGAATAGATGAATTAAGCAATTTATCGGAAATTTTAACCATTGAAGTTAACAAACAAGAAGTGCCTAAATTACAACTTTCAGTCCCAGAAACAAAAATTGATGAAACTGTAATGGATGCTAAAACCGACACTGAAACTTTATGCGATGTGGGTGAGGATATTCAGAGTCAGATATCTGAAGAGCAGTCTCTTGAGAATAAAATGGCGGACTTACAACGAGAAATAGAAGAAATGCTCCTGCCTGAAAATGATAATTCAATAACGAGTAACGATGACATTCAAATAGAATTAACACAAACAAATATTTCCATCGAAGAACAACAAGATGAAATACCAGATAGTATAAGTCCGATGCTTGCTTCCCCAGATCCAGAAGATATATTATTGCAAACAAATGATTGTTGCAAAGAAAACGTAGATGTTTCCAAAAGTGATCATATTGCCGTAAGCATGGCTGACGCTTTACTGGAGGAGTCAAATTCAAAACGTATTACAGACAAAACAAGTGATTATATACCACAACATGAAGTGCTTGAAGAATTATCATTAAATTCGACAACAAATACTATAGAACAAAATATTCTTGAAAACCGGACAAATGATAACACTAACCTTCTCGAACATACTAACAGCTCCGCAATGATTACTAACAATACCATTTATTTAAAACCAGAAAACTTTCGGCTAGATAAGTTTGTCACGGACGACGCTGAAAAACGTTTAGCTGAACAAAACAATTTAATTGTCACTAAAGACGTTGACGAGAAACTAGAAAAAAATCTTATGAATGATAAATTGTTTTGGCTCGAGAAACATTTGTATCACGACGCGGAATGCCAATACTTTATTTCGCTTGCAAACCAATCAAAAGAGTCTGCTAACATTCAAACCGATTTAGAGACCAAAGACGAAGATAAAGATCCGGACGGCGGATCAGGATTCTCGTCTAATACAGAAAATAACATTTCGCAAACCCGGTTCGGCTCTCCCTCTGATTCCAATTACATATCCATGGATCTTCCAGGAGGGATATGTAGTTGGAAAGACCAAAGTTCATATCTAAGTGTAGAAACACCGACGGATTCATTGAGTCAGTTAGTTTCCGACATCCCAGAGGATACACTAACACCCCTGTCTCCCGCGCAAGCCGCGCCCTCCCCCCTCCCCCCGCCCGCACAGGAGCCGACCACACCAGAGAGGATCCCGAAGGCTGCCAAGGTGATTGAGCTACAGTCTTATTGTAAAATATTTCACTTTTTAATTTACGTTTGGCATGATATTCTCACAAAATTTTTAATTTCACTTATTACCAAAATTTGTATCGTAAATTGTAGTCTGCCAAATCTTCCGCTCGTCTTGTAGTAAATTGAATTCTTGGCAATATCTCCTACTCGCTTCGTGTTTAAATATATCGGTGTAGTGTGTATACTAAAATCAATTATCTTTGATTATCTAGTCATGTCTAGTCAAAGCTATAATTTATTACTAACGAAAGTGTTGTTTTAAAATAAACGCAATAAAATATGTTTGAATCTTTGTTTTATTTAAAACAATCGTAAATTATTTATTTACCCTTTTTAAGACGTTGAAATTAGTTACAAATATTGTCAGAATTGTTTCTACAAGACGATCGTTGATATTGATGCTTTTACTATTTTAGATGCTTATTTTTGGGCTTAAAATTGTGTATAAAGGATAAAGTAAATTTCTCACATGTTTTGAGCATTTCCAAGAACACCAATTTCATAATTGGGATCCAAAAGAAAGTTTGATGTATAGCTGAAGACGCGTACTTGTAGCCTTCTCTAATTTCAATTAAGAAATGAAACAAAAGGTATTAACTTGTTTGTTTTACGAGTTTATTTATTATTATATCGTAGTACACTTCTTAATGATTTGAAAGTTGTAGTGTAGTGTATTTATTGTTTTGTTTCTTGTTTTGATTTTTACTACACTGTTCCGAGCAAGCCATGCACTCTTCAAATTGTTATGTATAATTATAATACGATTTTTACTTGTAGATTATTTAAAAAAATTGGTCATTAACTTTATTGAATGTTGAATACGCGAATGTCAAAGAGTGTAATTTGTGAGTTTTAAGCCTGAATTTCGAAGTAACATTTCACGAATACTAAAAACATGAAAAGCATGTCATGCCAAGATTTGATGTTAAGAAATGAATTTTTTGTCTCTTTTGTTTTTGTTGTTGTCTCTATGTTGCTAACAAAATATCGGTTTTAGGAAAAGAAAGAAATTATTTTCTGTAATTTCCTAATATCGGTATTCACTGAATAAGTATGCTGTTTCGGTGTTCACCATTTACCCAAAGCTTGCTAATATCACGAAAATAGATTATTATATCATATATACATAGTTTGTTATTAAACACAATGAAATTATCTGACCGATACGTCGGTGATCAATCGATCAGTTGTTGATCAATTTATAATCTATTTTCGTATCACTGTCACAGTAGAGTACCTCGTGTGGCTAATACAGAGGTGTGTTCTCAGGATGACTTGTCTAACGATATTGAAACGCTGCTAGAGGAAGTTAAAATAGTACAATCGAATCTCTCCGATCTTCCGGACGGAAGCCTCGACGCTATGGAGGAAGGACTTCGGGTAAGTCACTGTGAATAATATTCATACATTTTACCATTCATTATATCAGTACTATATTAACAGATATATATGTTAGTTATCAAGAGATAGTCAGATATTGACCACCCACTTGTTGCATGTTGCAAACATAAAATCTTTTTTACAAGACAATGTTTCTGTAGCTTTTCGGGAGACTAATTTGAATGTAGGCCACGCTTGAGGAGCGAACTGTTCGCAATCCGATATACTATTCTCGGATATGCTATTTGGGTCCCGAATCTATTTTTATTTAGTTTCTTATGCAATACTTTAGAGATTTGAAAGAATTTGAATTTGAAATTTAAATATTATTCTTAATTGAAGCCTCAATTTAAACAAAACTAGAATCCTTGATTGTCGTTACTCCCTTAGAATAGTCATTAATTCCTTTATAAATCATTTATATGTACATCATAATTATATATCAATATAATGTAACAAAAAAATTGTTTTAACCTTTACTTAGATGTTAGATTGTCTTATATCCTCTTGTTTACGTTTAGTCATCAACCGGTCACGTTGTGTCAGATAAAATTTAACATAAAAGTGACATTGTCAACCATAGATGCATTTTGCTCATGAAATGATGTCATCGCACGTATTACACGAGCGATAAATATATGGATGTGTTGTTTGGCAACACTCAGTAGGGCACTGGATCCCGATACATCTAGCATTCTCTTCGATTATAAGAAACGAAAAACGAGCGAAAAAAAATACGAAAATATTAATAAGTAACTGGATGTGACCGTGGTTTCATAAGTGATATCTCTGTGGTAGTTTTTTCTAATAACTATTGTGAGTAATTAAACATATTTTGAAATACTTCTACTCCTGCAGAACAAAGCCTTTCCATTTTTTTTCATAGCCACAGTCTCGTGTTACAATCTCATGAAACCCAAAAGTGGACTTCGTTTAAGTACCAGTTTTTAATGAGATTTTAAAAATATAGGCTGTAAAAATACTATAACAATAAAAGGCATCTGTAAAACGTTAACGCTCAGATATAAAAGTTAAAAGCCATTTTAACACGGACATAAAAATAAAAAATATATAAAAATCAAAATTTATCGAACATTTATTGACATAATAAATGGTCAATCAAATGATGTTTAAAATTTAATAAAATTATTTAATTTAAGAAAAATATTTTCAAATTATTAAACCATCAGTTTTAGATATGACGTCATATCCTGTTTCAGGTTTTATTCTCTTTGAACAATATGTTTATGTGAGCTGCAATTAGTATTACAGTATGACCTCATGGGCATGGCAATGAAGTTTTGATCATCGATAAATTTAGATGATTTGATCACTTTTATGACAATTTAAATATTTCTTTAGGAATAATGTGTACTTTGCAAATATTCATTATGAATTTTTGATTAGATGTCTAGTTTGTTTAAAGCCTGAGTAAGAAAACCTGTGTTCAAATGTTTTCGAACTATAAATTTGTGTTTTTAAATGTTAGTAGAAAACTGTTTTAAAGAATCTTAACAGTGGATTGTTTTTTAAATTAATCTAAATTTATAGTTTCAAGAATAGTTGTGATCAAAAGTATGTTTGCAAGATTTAAATAATGCCTTTAAATAAATTGTCTCGATCCGCCTTTATTTATTTTTAATTAATTAATCCAATAATTGTATTTGGTATTCCAGGAGGGAATATCAATACTGGAAAAGTGTGACGAAGCAGCCGTTTTGTTAGAGCAAAAAATCATGGAGTTCCGAGAGGAGCCTGAGGTGAAGGCGTTGCTGCGTGAACTGGTTTCAATAAGAGGACGGATTGCGAAGCTTTTAGTACAAGCGCGCCAAGGATTAAACACCATCCAGGTAAGAAAGGTAACTTTATAGTTGTTTTTAACTACTTTGATTAAGAATTAATTTTTTTAATAAACTCGTATAACGTCACTTATTAATGTTTTAATGGTTTCAGGACGCTAGAGTTCAAGTCGCGAAGCAAACCAAAGAATTGGAGGAACAAAAGGAAAAAGTAGCAAAACTAGATCGTTGGCTTGAAAATATTAATGAGGAACTAAAGGAATCAACACAACAAGCCGATGTGTTAACTGATGAAGATATTGTTAGGTATATTGAAATTTACGAGAGATATATTAGAGAATACGAAGAATATGAAGTTTTGTTGAAATCTGTGATAGTGGTAATTTATGATGATTCTAGTCACTTAAAAATGAAATTAGACGTAACGAGGAAATCTCTTGAAACAACAAAAGATCTAGTCATTAAAGAAATTGAACGGTTACGACAATTACTGATACAAATCAGAACTGCGCCTGAAGTAGTCGAAGATGATATATCCCAGACAGATAGAACTATTGACTCTACTTCCATGCCGGAGGAAATTGTGTCACCTCGGGAAATGAAATACGTTCCGGAGACAATAGTAGCGGAAGTAAGTATTCCAGAAAAAAAGGAATTAGATGGCAAAGATAAACAAGAAACCGGTACTATCATTGAAGACATCCCTGAACAGAATGTAAAATCAAAAACAATATCGAAAGAAACAAGTGAGCTCAGGCAACCGAAGACGCAAATTCAAGAAGTTGTTATACAAGAGCAATCAAAACCTAGTGCTACAATTGAAACACAAACGGGTAAAAGTCTTCAGTCTGAAACTCCAGATCTTGTCGACAGATCCGTTACCTGTGCTCCAGAGAAAATAATTACACATGACGTTTCTATAACGTGTATACCGCAGGCAGAGGTGGAAGTACAAACTAGTGAACCCAAGAGTCTTGAAGAAATTTTAGAAAATATACAAGTAAAACAAACAACATCCGATGGGCATGAAACTATTGAAATTGCCAGCCGTCCTGTTACAAGGGAACAAAAAATGGATGAACAGTCATTATTTGTTGATGCTCATTATCAAGACGATAAAGTACACAAAGATTCTCATCTCAATATAGTCCACAGCTTACCACAATCCTTTGAAACTGTTATGGTAGAACCCGATGAAACCACAACTGAAGTTATTGTTGATGCCGATGGAACAAAACGTATAATCGTCAAAAAAGTGAGAAAAACTCTCGTCACAAGGCAACAAATAATACAAAGCCATCAGCAGGAGTCTCATGTACTATCGACTGAAAATATACCACAACATTCTTTCTCACAGTTGACACTTGAAGAAGAAGGTGGTTCAAAATCTTCTCTGCTGGAAGATGGTGGCCAAAGACACATGGAATATCAAATATATGATGGAAAGGTTATATCAGCATTACCTGGTAGTGAAGTAACAATCGAAGAAGTGACATCTCGACCTGATGTGACTATCGCAATAGACCAGGGAATAAGACCCGAAGAAATACTTCAACTTGCAGAAGGAGAAATACAACCACAGATAAAGACATCTTCCAGTGTTACAGCTGTAGTTCAACAAATTACAAAAAGAATTGTTAAAACTAGACGTAGAGTTATTAGACGTGTTGTAATTATTGACGGAAAAGAACATGTTACAGAAGAAATAATTGACGAACCAGATAACGTGGAAATCTTTGAAGAAAAGATTCCTAGAGTTTCCATTAATGTTAAGGAGAGTGAAACAAGTCATGAATTTACTGTTGACCCGGATGACAAAGACAAATTTCCGCCAGAAGAATCACCAAATTCTAACGAAGATACTAAGAATCTCCAGTATGAACGAAAATCTGAAAAACATGAGTCGCCCTTTAGAGAAAGTTCAGAAGACAAAATATTTTCCCAAGGAGACCAGCCTTTAGAAAGTAGAACAACTAGCAACATTACGTATCCAGAAGATAATGAGGTTATGAAAAGACAGCTAAAGGAAATTATACAAAAAGAGTGCAATGTTGTTTTACCAGGAGAACCAAAATCTTCCACAGAACCTTCATTTACGATACCTGAAACTGTAACTCATATTGTGAGTGATGATGAACAAATTACCAACATACCTAGTGATATTCAATCTACGGAAACTACATCTTCGGCTACAATGATTCAACGAGTTATTAAAACAGTAAAGCGAAAACGGCGTATAATAAAACACATTCAAATAATAGATGGAAAAGAACAGGTAACCGAAGAGATCATAGAAGAACCAGACGACGAGGAAGTGGTCGAAGGCGAACCAACAATTACTTATACACAAAATCCAGAATTTTCAACTAAGTGCATTAAAATAATAAGACAAGTTTGTGTGAAAGATGGCAAGGAACATGTAACCGAACAAATAGTGGAAGAGCCTGAAGATGACCTTTCAGAAGCAACTAAAGTAATAACTATTGAAAAACCAGAAATTTCTGAATTTAAAACAATTGAAGAACAACATTTTAACATACACAAAGGACTTCCCCGAGACCAAAATATTCCTGAAATTAGCAAACAATTACTGGGTAGTGAGATAGATGTCTCGCCATCCCAAATACAACATTCAATACCAAATATGAAAGAACAATCTCAAGCGTTTATAGAAAATGAACAAATAGACAATTCGCCTCGAAATGATGAGAAGCGTGATATATCAACATACCAGACCCCTGTTTCAGGAGAAAGAAGTAAAATAAATAAACAAGCCGTTGAATATCATTCTGAGACACCGAAAACAGAAGTCACCAAGTCTCAGGACACTGAAGAAAGAAGCTTTGACATTGGCCTGGCGGAAGTGGTCTCATCAAATAAAGAAATGCTATCGGAACCTGACCAAGATACTAGCAATGACAATGTCATTACAAAAATTACGAAGAAAAAAACGCGTGTAATAAGACATATTCAAATTATAGATGGAAAAGAACATGTAACCGAAGAGGTTATACAAGAACCGGATGAGGTGCAATTTGTGGAAGGTGATCCTGGTGATTCACATGTCCGTCATGACGAGTTCGTTAAAACAAAGAGTGTGAAGATTTTACGTCAAGTTCAAATAATTGACGGTAAGGAGCATGTTACAGAAAAAGTTATTGAAAGTTCCGATAATGAGTATGTTCCTGAAAGTACTGACTTTGACTCCATTCAAGTTCCGGTACAAAAACCAGATGTTGTTGACGTTCCACCACAATCAATACCGACTAATGAGACTATTATTTTAGATGAAGCATCTGAAGGGTCAACAATAACAGAGGAACCACTTAAAGATAAAAAAGAATCAAACCTGAGCATAAATGAGCAGTTTCTTAATAAACTAGAGCCTAAAGGTATTAGTGACATGCCTAATATAATTTTATCATCCAAATCTGTAGACGAAAAACCTAAAAGGGATCTGACACAAAGTTTCCTAGAAAGGGAAATTGAACATTCAAATCTTTACACCATGCCGAGAGAGGAAATAGAAAAAGATCACGATAGAAAAGTATTACTTAAAAATGAAGCTGAAATGGCTGATGTTAAGCAAGACAATTTAATATTTGATACTAAAGTAAGCAAAGATATGATTCCAAAGGAGGAAATGGATCCTAAATCTCTTAATATTGTAATTCAAACCCAAACCTCTGAGCTTTCGAGTGTCTTATGTGAACAGTCTCCAACTTTGGATTCACAATCCTCTAAAGATTGTGTCAGCTCTCAAGATCCTAAGCCAAGAGCCGAAAATATAATTCCTCCTAAAAAGCATCTTCCCGAATCCAGTCTAACTAAAGTTTCAACAAGTGATCTATTAAATGATACCCAAATGACTGATGATAAATCTGTAAATACCGCAGTTACTGAAATTAATAACGAAAATTATGATACAATCATTGATAGTGCAGAACCATTGGATTCTGCACATTTTGCTAAAAGTGAAAGTGAGAATAAACAAATACCTATTGGGCCCAGTAATTTGAAATCAGAATCAACGGCACAATTAGAAACCACAGATATTAAAGAAAAAACTGCTCATTTAGAGGATGACATCGTTCCAGATTCAGGAAAGGCACCAAAAAGTTATATTACCACTCATCAGCAAACTATTGAAACACTAGATGACCCTTCAGTGGACTTAATAAAACATTCACTTACAACGATTACGAAGAGAAGAAAACGTATTATTAAACATATTCAGATTGTAGATGGAAAAGAACATGTCACTGAAGAAGTTATTGAAGAACCAGAAGAGGTAGAGATTGTTGAGAGTGATCCAACTCCTCATGCACATGTGTTACAAGAGCAGGGTATTAAAACCAAAACGTTGAAAATAGTACGTCAAGTACAAATAATTGATGGAAATGAGCACGTTATAGAACAAGTTATTGAAGATCCCGATGATGAATATGTTCCTTCAACTACTGTTCTTGCTGATATAGAAATTGGATTGGAAAAGTCTGATTTAACAAACGTCCCGAAACATATCGGTGATGTCACACAAAAGCTTCTAGAAAGTGAAATCGAACATTCAAATGTTCTTGCTGTAGAGCCTAAGGATATAAAACAACCCGAGGAGATAAGAGCTGCAGAACCCGAGGAAAAAATATCCACAGATCAAATACAGATATCGGAGCCGCAATATATGATTCAACCTCAACCAAAAATCTCAACCACAGAGCTACTAATGCCCATAGCTACCGAAGAACAAGAAGTAGCGAAGGAATGTTTGAAACCCGATGAAGTTGACAGTCACAATCTGGACCTAAAAAATTATGCAACAATGAAAGTAGAGTCAAACAAACAAGTTCAAGTGCAAAGTGAAGAAAAAGTAATACCAACGTTTATTGAATCAGAATTTGATGATGGTAAAAGTATTAAACAAAAACTTAGTGAGGAACATATACAACAACATATTACAGAAAAAAATACTGAGGAACCAGGTTATGAAACTGTTGCTGCTGCCACTAAGATAATTGATACTGACTTAGAAGGCGCCATCAATCAGGAAGCAGATCAAACTTGTAATTTGAAAGAAGCATCATCTAACATAGTAAGTAAGTTTGAAGATTCATTTATATCAAAAGAAAAAGAGTCATTGCTGTCTGAACAAAACATAAAAAATAAATCAACAGACCCAGAATTGGGTAAACAAATACCTTCAGATGAAAAAGAAGTCGAATTATTAATAGAAAAAACTGGTAATACTGAGGAAATTGTTAAAAATACTGAAGGTTCCACTGATATAGCCAAGGAAATAAGCTTGTCGTCAGCCGACCAGGGTAAAAGAGAGGAAAATAAATCTGGCATAATTACAGAGTGTTACACTAGTCAATCAAAAACAGAAGTGGAACCTGCTAGAGAAGGCACGGTAATAATAGAAAGTGATGTAAATTTACAAACCGAACAACCAAAAATATCATATATTCAACAATTCGAAACTGTTGAACATGAACAAAAGGATGAACATCCTACGCCTGAATATATCAAGCTGACAAAAGATATTCAGACGCCCGAGAAAAAACAATTTCAAAAGGGTTCTGATTTAAAACATGACACTAATATATTTATTCAAACAGAGAGATTGGACACGCACGTGCCTGCTTTGGTTGGTAGTATTTCATCTCCTGAAATCAATAACAAAACGTCTAAAAAGGATATACCTGATAAAAATTATAAATGTGATTTTGGCAGTGAAACGGAAAATATTTCACAGACCGTTGACATAGCTATGTCACTTGTGAAAACAGATGATAAGCAGGAGACCGAACCGAAAATTGAAATGGAACTTAAAATAGAAAACTTTGAAAAGACTATGCCTAGTGTTGTAAAAAAAGATATAAATATTGATTTGCCAACTCGAATCCATATTACTGAAGAAAAACAAGAAGATTTACAAGAGAATCTTAGAGAAAACATTAAAGAGAAATCAGATAAATCCAAAAAGGACCATAAAAAACGTAGTAAAAAGAAACAAAAACAACATGAAGAAGAAGCAAGTAAGGTTTTGGACCCAGAACCATTTTCTGAAACGGAAAAAAGTATAGCAGATACGGAGAGTTCATCACTGGGACATTACGTCCAGCTGTCATCGCCTACGATTGTAGAATCACCCAAGCCTTCCGACTCTTTACTAGAAATGCCTAAAGAAAGTGAATGCCCAGAAGAGAACATTTCATTGTCGATGGTATCAGATCACAACACAGAAAAAGGCTACGAGCCTGAAGACGTGTCCGTAAGTCAGGAAGATAAAAAAATGGATAAACAAAAGAAACATAAGAAACGTAAAGCTTACGCAGTAAGTGAATCAACTACTTATCCACATCAAACCTCAACTGGAGATGAAACTGCAGTATCAACACCTGTCGAAATGAGTGAGCCAATTCAACAAAGGGTAATTAAGACGAAAAAGGGAAAGAAGAAGACCTCCACTGAAGATAAACAAAAGGAAGTAAAGTCAGAACCAGTTATCACACCTATCAGTCCAAAGGTTGGAAGTGAAATAGTTACTTCTTCACCCCGGGATGAATCATATCAAACTTTAAGTGAAACACCGGAAGCCAACACTGTAAAAATTGTAGAAGAATGCGTAGGAAGCAGCCCTGAGACCATTAAACGTGAAATAAGTACCACAGTCACTTATCCAGTAAACGTCGTTGAAGAAATTGCTACCACAGAATATTCTATGCAAACTTCACCAGAAATTAAGGAGTGTGAAATAGAAGAAAAGGTAGATATTTCAAAAGTGGAAAAGACAGATTCGGAGTTGCAAACTTCTCCAACTCCTGTAAGTGAAATTTTGATACAAACTGTACCAATAGAGGACAAAGAAGCCCATACACAAACTATGGATAATATTACCATTATAGAAAAAGTTGAAGTATCAGATAATCAAATTCAAACTAGTAGATCTGAAACACCGGAAGAAATTGTTAAAATAGAAATGACTACTCAAGTTGCACCAAGAGACATTGGCTCTTCTGATAATAAATTTTCACAAACATCTTCTCCAGTCGTTGAACAAGAAATAAAAATCAAAGAAACTGACAACAGAGATGTGCAAACTTCTCCTGAACCACAGGTTCAAAAAGACGAAAAGAGTACTGAAATCGTTATTGAAACATTAGATACTGACATACAAACTATTAAACTTGATAATGTAGACCAAGAAACATCAACTTCTCCTACTGAACTTAGGAACGTAAACGAAATTAGTATCCAGACACCAGAAGTATCAGTTGTACATAGTTCCACGCAATCAGACTTGCAGAAACCTGAAAAAGTTGAAGGAAACATAGGAGAAAAATTAGATACAAAAGATAAAATTACTACGGTTGATAGCAGTCAACAAACTTCACCCCGTAGAGACGATGAACAAAAACAAATCGTTGATATGTCTAAACAAGAAGTTGAAAGAATTGACAGTATGCAGCAAACTTCTCCTCGTGATGACTATAGCGCACCAAAACCTCACTCACCTGTACAAGATATTAGAGAGTTTGTTTCCGTAAATGTATCGCAACAAACAACACCAAGAGATACTTTTGAAACCCAGCTTCAGATCAAGGAAACGATAGTCAAAGATAATATTACAGTAGATAATACACAACAAACGTCTCCAAGGTTCTATTCAGAAGATTCTATATCAACATCCACAGATGAGCCCTATGAAGTCCACTTAAGGGCTCAAATATCTGTTCCTCAAATAGCTGACGATTTCCTAGAAAACGAGCGCCAATCACAAATGTCTTCGCAATCAATTCTTGGTGATCCACAAAAACAAAGGAAGCGAAAATCTAAAAGAAAAGCTGAATCTCCGTTGCAGTCTCCTGGTAGTCTATCAGATCCTATAAATGCTGAGCTTTCTCTGTCTGTGACGCCCTCAAGCGAAGACTTATCCAGTAAAGACGTATCATCTATAGATGAAGGCATATCCCAAATAGTGAGTCCTATTCACCCTATCTCTCATGACACAAATGCAGTTTCTAAACCGACTTATTCTGATGTCGTTCAAAGATCTAAGTCAAAATCACCCTCTCCATCAAAAACGGTGATTACAAAACCACATAAATCAGAAAAAGAAAAATTACTTGAAACATTAGAAAGAAGGACTCAATCTATACATGTGGCTCAAAAACCATCAGATGATTCAATGACCGTCGCACTCATAGAACCATCAGTTGAAAAATCATATGATTTGGTCGTCAATAAAGAGTTGGAAGAAGTTGTAAACGCAATTAATACCAATGACCCTAGTAAAATTGACAAGAGCGTAATTATTGTTATTAAAACTATATCTATATGGCTAGAAGAAATTCAGTATAGAATTAGAAGAGAAATTATAACTGGACAGACGTCCTCTGATGACACTGAGCGCATAAAACAATTAGAAAATTTCGTTAAAAGATTAAAAGAAACTATCTGCATAACGGAAATTCACGAAGAAACTATAACGTTGATTGAAACACTGACTCGACAAGTGAGTGCCGTTAATACACTCAACAACCAAAGGCCATTAAGATTAGACGAAGAAGAGAAAAAGTGGGAAAAGTTTTTATCTGAAGTTGACAGGTTAAAACATTCAGTTGATAAAGTGAAATCTAATCTTGACGCTTTAATTATGTCAGAAGCAACCACTCAAAAGAAATTAGAAGATCTGGACGATATTGAAAACGATAATAATGACAATGTTGAAAATGTAAAGAAAGCTTTCAAACTTTACAGGAGCCTTATAGAATCAAATCCTAAACTGGAATGTCCTGATGTTCTATATGTTTGTGATGATAACACCAAACAAGTGGAAAATACTATCAACACTGAAAGAGATCGCCTATTACAACTAACATCTTTGGCTGAAGAATATGAACAAACATTGGAGGACTTTGGACAAATTACGGATGTAGCTGAAGCATTACTTGACGGTAAAATTATTGTATCTAACTTAGATCATCTTCACGAAGAAATACAAAAACACAGAAAATTCTTCGTAAATCTCAGTCATTGCAGAGCAATTCTTGAATCTCTAGAAAATAATCTGGATAACGAAACTAGAGCAAAATATTCGGCTTTACATCATTCCCTACACGACAGGGCAACAACCATTATAGATAGAGCTGCTAGCCGAGCCCAACAAATGACTCTTGCAGCCTCGCGATGGAGCACTCTTGACCAAGGCATGAAACAAGAGCAACAGTGGCTTATAGTAGCTCAACAAAGAATTCCAGATTTGTCAAATGTGACTTCAATTGATCACGAGCAATATATAAACCTTTACCAATCGATCAGTCTCGATGTTTCACATCATTACGCGAAAATGTTAAGGTTAATGTCGATAACGGAAGGGCTACAGGGATTAATTATTTGTTCAGGATTAGAAAATGAGTGTTCGACAGCACTTGACACTCTATTCAAGCTCCAAGAAGACATTGATTCGCGATTAACACGTCTTACTGCTTTTAAAGAAACTTGGATAACATACGACCATCTCATAGATAGAATCGAAGGCTGGATGAATTTAGCGGCTAAAGAACTAGAACACATTACTCCTGAAAATATTACAACTACCAGTAACCTCAGAAGATTCTGGGAATTAAAAGCTCACCATGAAGTACACAACACATTAAAAATTGAATCAGGTATTCAATTTGAAAAAGCCTTAGAAATACTACCAATTTCAGATGAAATGGTTCAACGGCAATTCTTTTCAAAGATCGAGGATAAGTGGCGGGATTTATCAACAAGGATTAGCAGTATTCATTCGTCAGCCATTCAAACTATATCTGATCGCGATGTACCTTCCAATGAAAAATTAACAATACTCGAGGATGAAATGAGAGAACTGGCCGCTATGCTAGATGGTTTGAAAGGCGTCATAAAGAGTGAAGACGAGCTCAACCTGTACATTGAACGTCTACAAGTTATGACCGGACGAATAGACAGAATACAGAACGAACTCGGCAGATTGAGTTTGTTGCCGACAGCGGATAGTGAGAGTCTCAGCGCACTGTTGAATCAATCCAGCCTATTGGACGATCAGATATCAGAAGAATTGGAGCGGAGTCTGCTACTTAAAGAAAAACTTGTACAAGTTCAAGCCGGTATCTCTCGCTGTCAAAAAAGTCAAAGAAGGGCTCAGCAAATTTTAGAAGAGTGTGAATCTGCCGAGCGTCTAGAGAGCGATGTGGTGGAAAGAGCTTCGCAGACCTGCGAGAAACTTATAGAAGATCTATCGACACAGTGGCGGGATATCCTCGCGCTGAGGCAGGCGCTTCACACTTTACCAACGAGTTTACGCGTCTGTATGTCACCACTAAGTGTAGAAAGGGATATTTCTGCTTTGCAGGTAAAGATTTTATCTTTTATATTCAAATGGATTCTACTTTATTTTAATTACTAAACGAATAAAATAATCCGATTTATTAATATTTCTTAGGAGAGCCATTCTTCCCTCGAGTCAGCATGTAACGACTTGAGCGCGCGGCTTCGTGCCCGTGTAGCGCTGTGGCGGCGGTTCGAGCGGCAGCTGGAATTATTGCAGGGAGCCGTTCGGGAGGCCGACTACATGGTGGAGCTGCTCACCGTACAAGGACAAGTGGACTATGACCGACTGCTCAAGGCCACGGAGAAACTCGAGGTAGGTCTGAGGAGAACACTCACACAACATTTTATAAAATAAAAGTCATCTTAAATTGTTTATTACTTTGTCTTCTAATCATATAAGAATTAATTATATTATTCTTCATCTCTGAAAGAACCTATTATGACTTTTTAATAAACTTGTGCTATGACTATAACTACTATTAATGTACAATCTCTGTTAGACATTAAGCGACTCCCTCTCCCAACGTAACGGCGAGCTGGTGGGAGCTCTGCTGGAGGCGGCTCGTCCTCTGCAAGCCGGCGTCGAAGACTCAGTAGCAGCAAGACTTACCAAAGACCTAGATGATGCCACGGCCGCTTACCACGCCACATGCGCCAACCTCACGCAGCTCTGTGAAAAGTTAGTTGCATTATAATTATATATATGTGAGAGCGAGGGGATCCTCGTGGAACAGAGACCAAGACCTTAGTACCTTAAAAGGCTTTCGAGTCCGGGCGTTTAGTACTGATGACGATGGACGGGATTCCATTTTGAAGCAAAGATATAGTCTTTACTCAAAATGATAATCGTTTATTGCTTAACAAATTAATAATTAATGATAATACTCAAGCCTCTAGTAAACGTGCTATTTTTATAGAAAATAGTAACCAACTGTTCATGTCATGTAATTATATCCGTTTAGGTACAACAAGGCGGTAGATCTATGGCGTCGTTACCGCAACGCCGCTGCAGGCGTGCGTGCGGTAGCCGAGAGGCAAGAAGCAGCGCTGCACGCTCTCAGACCACACGACGCTCCCGCCGCGCACAGGGTATGTACCTACGACACATACACACACATAGTTTCAAGTTTAACATACCAAATAATAATAATAGCTCAATAGAACCTTTTCACTATTAAATCAAAGAGAGTTCCCGTAACTTTATTCTAAAGTAATGAGATCTAAGACTTTCGCGAGTATTCATTTAAATGAAGTAATATTTTCGGATTATTACGCGTTATATAATTAATTATTTTGCTTACATACTCCCGACGTTTCGGTTACTTTGCAGCAACCATGATCACGGGCAGCCGAGATTTTTTTTACATAAAAAATGCATATTTATTCCAAAAATATTAGTTTCGTTTATTCTAAAGAAGGTAATAACTTATACATGAGTTTGTAACATTTATAAATATAATTTCATAATATACAAATCTAGATATTATGAAAGAAGTAATACGTACGGAAATACGGAACTACGGAACTTATATAAAGTTAGTTATAACTTCAGCCTTGAATCAATTATACATATATGTAGTAAAATAAAATCAATACAATATTAAAAATATTATAATGTCCTATGTGTATTCAGTCATTGACATCTCTGTACGAAGATCAGACGGTACACGAATGCAAATGAATTATTATGTGCGGTCCAGACAAATAAAATTTTGGCAATCCATTGTGTGGATTTAAGTTAGAACACTAGTTACACCTCCAAGATTTACTTCGTATTTAAATAATAAATCCTGACTAAAAATTAAAACTATTAGGTATTATTATAAAACGTGTACTTTATTATTTTAAAAAACTACATATATACTCCCGACGTTTCGGTTAATTTTCAGCAAGTGATCACGGGCAGACGAGGTGCCTAGAAAAGTCTTAGATCTCACTATGACTAAAAAGTATTTTAAGTTTCTTATAAACACAGTTTATATCCACGATTTAATGATGTAGAGAAAAAATATAAAACTAGTATACTACAACTACATAATATAAAACAAATTGCTAACACACAAAACGTTGACCTCTCGCTTTAATAAACCGTGATCTCATGTAATCATATTTTTGGCTTGCTAGTCAGCTAAAATATTGAGTCTTCTTTTAAATATTAATTTCGCTAATATAATATAGACTAGAAAAATTGTACCTGTATTATGTATAATCTGTTATAAAGGTGACATATTGCAATAGCGGTCATAGGTTCCCACGACTCTTGTGTTTACTAAACTTGAAGGTTTAATAAATATATATATTTATAACTACATGTGTATCATGAAAGGTGTTTACAATTATTTACATATGTACTTTCAAATCTAATAATAAAAATATTTTAATTAATACTTAAAGTAACTTTTTTATTAAAACAAAGGTTAAAAAGGAATAAGGTTATCCTAAGTCAAATAAAAGTCTTCATACAATTTTAATGGTAATTTAATCTCTAATAACTCAGTCAGGACTTGAAATACAACGGTACATAATCCCGCATTGCAAAAGCACAAAATTGTTTCCGCTTCAGCTCATAAGGACTGAAATATGAGAGTAGTTATTACCTTATATTATTTCAGCTTTGAGTTTTGACTCATTAATTAAAAAATAAGCATACGTTTATTTGCACAATTGATATAAAACGGTTATCACTTTCGAAAACGGCGAAAATGGAGACAATAACATTAGTTAATGATAACAGTGTGATAAGTTTTAACCAACCGGCGAACGACAAACAATACGAGTGGCGCCTCCCGTGGCAGTAACTCCGCGGATGTCCGATAGAAAGGACGTCTTGACGAGCGAGTGAAATAAAAACACGCGAATAAACGAACACAACGAAATAATGATCGAATAGACGAATAAATCATCCCACCAAAATAGAAGACTTTGAACCGAGACTTCAAGGTGGCAGTGACATCAGACAATGCAACCGAAATCATCGCCGTATGCATAATTCGGTTACATTACGTTTAAAATAATGTCAAGTCGAGAAATAATAGTCAATATTAGACGTCACATCAATAAATTGACATAAACTTCGATCGTTGACCGACCTCGTATTCAGGACTTTGGAATGTTAAAAAAATCCTTCAATAATTAACTGGCTGCGATAATGAAATAACAGTTAATTCATCCTTGACCCAGAAGTCTTATCAGTGTTTAGTATCAAGCTACTATCATAGTTTCAGTCGACCTCCCTAATGAATCAAGAATGTGCAAAGTTTTGAATAAAACAATTCCGCATTTGGGCCGACACATCGAGTTCAATATTACGTCACCGAAGGAGCAATCTGTTTTCCGCTGGAACCGAGTCAGGACGTGCATTCAGACCGTACATTAATATTATTATATTAAATAAATCATGCATGCGATTATATAAAATAGTTGAGTGTAATTGTGACAAAATGACATACAGTTTGTGATAAATATGTGGTGTCACGTGTAATCGAGATGTCACTTGAAGAGGTGAGGCAGATTTAGATCTCAAATTATTACTTTATTATAAAAATATACGATGAATGGAGTCAGTAGGAGATGTTAGGTTATCTGTGATGAATTGGTTGTCGTAATTTTATCTAATCTAAATATGGAGATACATATTCAGAATTTAGGATATTATTATTATTATACCCTCATAAAATTACTTTTTAATAGTTGTAAATTCATTTGATTTTTTTAAATTAAATAACTTCTAAATTATATTTCAAATTAGGACGTAAATATCTCGTACTTTTCCTTATTTTGATCGAATATTTTTTCCTTTATTAACGTTATCTACTCGTACATAACTATTTAATAATTGTAATAAATAGTGTATTTAAAGTTTTTCCTATTGTATAATATAATATTATTGCGGTAAGATTACATCATCGCATGATGTTATAATATAGTCCTGTAGGTAATTATAATTGTTATTAATACTACGATTTGAATAATAATACTTCGGTTTCTTTACATGCGCGTCTGAACGCGACCAAGTTTAGTATATAGAAGTAGTTTTTTATATTTTATTTTAGCTAATACACTAAATAGTTTTCATTATTCGATACTGTGCATAGTAGTTCTAAAACAAACGAAACTCCATGTAAACGGTTAAGCGTTAATTGTAGAAATTTCGTACATTGGTGCGTCATTAGCGTCTTGCTTCGTTTCCAAGGACACACGTCATTTAGGAAATGTAGAACGAAGAAATTTAGTACGGATGCGATAAGTTACATATACGTTATTATTTAAAATATATACATGAAAATTAATTATTGGCATAGTGTAACATAAAAAGTCTTCCATTAATGAGATCTAACTTTCATTTGAATGAAATTAATATTTCTACGCTTTAGTTTAATTTAAAAAACATTTGTAAATGAAAGTAAAGAAGGTTTCTTGCAATATTTTATTAAAACTAAAATGGCGTGTATTTATATTAATAAAATAACGTTTAAATTAAATGACGATAAACATTCAGCCATCTACATTCTGACTCACACTCTAATAAGTTGGTTAACCTCGCAATGAAATTGGAATTAGACTTTACATTTAGGTACATATAAGCAAAACATTTACAAATAACTCTATTATCCATTTAATTAATTATATTGAACAAATAATTAAATGAAGATTAATGTATATAATCCGTTTTAAAAGGTTAACTAATTATATTTTAATAGCTCGTGAATTATCTAAATTGTAAAGCGAATAGTTTGTAAATCAAACATCAAGCTAAGTTTCTTGATAGCTTCCAAATGGCGCGCCCTCCGAGTTCCGACCACACTGAACATTCAAAGTTAACACAATCAATAGTTAGGTGTGGTTGCTTACTTGTAAACATCTTGTGGATTCTTCGTGCAAATAAAATTTAATTTATATTTTAGTTTAAGTATCGGTTAAAATGTTTTATTGAATTTATACGTCACATCACTATTTGTTTCTCGGTCAAAAGTCAATATACTATTTATAGGTACTTAACTTTTTATTAACCGTTGGTGTATTAATTAAAATTAAAAGAAAATGTTTTAAATTGTAAAATGTTCGAAAATTTCTATGCCATCAAATTCATTCATTATTTTAACACAAATTATTATTTTTATGTCAATGATGATTTCAATGTCAAATATTTATGTCACAATGTCAAGTTTGACAATATATTTACAATATTAATAATATGAGAAATATTTTTAATTGCTAATTAATAATTATTCAGTTTTAGGTAAATTTTATTTACAAAAAATACCTACACAAATATATGAGTATTATTAATTTAAAAGCAGTTTTTAAATTTTGGCGTCTTTATTTATTTATAATCTGTAAACATTTTTAAGCAAAATGTTATAGAGGTCAACGACCTTATACCTCTCAATATATTTACCTAGCCGAATGAATTTACCTTTCTGTTTCTTGAACATAATAAAACTAGTATTGGAATTGTAAATTACCTTATATTATTTACTTATAAATATTTCTAGCATGTTATTAACCTGCTGTTTGCCGCGGTTTTTACATCTGTACGTCACCATTTTTTGCGAAATTTTGTTTCCTTTAAAATGTTCGTGTAATAGTTATCAGTCAAAATTGGTACCATTTTGTGAGTAATACATAGAGTAAGCAATATAATTATATTTAAATATACAAACTAAACATTATTTTTATATAATATTTAATCCAGCGTCTAACGAGGTCACTGTTTTATTGTACGTAAACAAGTTTCTCAAAGAACACATTTACTTGTAATGTTTTAATATAAACTTAATAAATTTAATTTAAGTCTGTTGACTTTCACAACCGTTTCAAAAAGGCTCGAGAGTTAAAAAGTCCAAAATACCTTCCCTTTTAAGTCAAACAATAAGCTTGCTGAATTTATAGTCTGGGATGTTTATGAAGCAGCGAATCAAATGTGACTTTCACGTGATGACCATAGTATAGCGGATTTACCATCATAAGCGGATGTAGTCACGCGATTTTGATCCCGTGCTAATTGTTACTGTATTCTATACTATCGTTAAATACGCATTTTTATTCCATTGATAGATTTTTTTTATCTAATGTATAGTGTTTGTAAATCTATATTTAAACGAAAGTCGTGTTAGTTACACTTTATAACTCGAGAACGGCTGTAGGGATATGGTTACAAATTAGTGCGGAGATAGCTTAGTACAAGGCGTCTCTTAGTAATTCTAATATCTGGTCATTTAAGGCGACTAGGACGGAATAGTGGTCGCTCGGTCTTCTATACATATATTACAAATTCCGAAACTAAAGCGAACAAAGTCGCGGACAAAAACTAGTTGATAAATTTTGATTGATTTTTATTTAACGTTGTTTTAGTACAGTTGGTTGATATCGTGAGCGGCCCAAGCCGACTTGTTTACATTACGGATCTATTTTAATTGATTTCAATTATTTATCTTAATGCACAGACACGTTGAGGAGAAACAGAACATTCAAAGAAACGATAATGGAAAGCTAATCAATTTAACTTTTATGTTCGATTATTTTGAAAGCATATATATTACGATTTGTAATACTTTCGTAAATATTCTTGTTTGTATGCACGATGGATGGTTGAATGTTTTATTTACGATATTAATGAATCTCGTTTTATCTTTATATTGGATATTTTAAGCTCTAAATGACGCATGTTAATGATTATTTTAGGTGTGGGTGGTGCGATGTTTTCATCTGGTAACACTCAGCCTTGAGTACATATATTATACAACATATACTTATAAATTTTTCAGTTTATGCGTACAGCTATAAATTATTTTTACATGTTAAATAAAAGACTTTCCGTTAGATGTGAGAATCGCTTTTGTCCGGAATTAATCTGTAGCTTGTAGGTGAAGATTAGATATAACAATAGAATTATGTGGGATATTAAAAATAAACGACGATTATTTTTGCAGAGAAACTAGAATGAAGATCTAGATGGAGAATATAACACTTAAAATGACGCGCAATTTTAATGACATTAAAAAAGTATTATTTAATTATAATAATAATTAAAATAATGAGCCTATTGTTTTATATTTCCTGTTCAATATTATTAATGAAAGGATATATTAGCTTGGAATATATCCGCTTAAGAACAAGCAGTTGTTCGTCAAATTAAATCCTTTACAATATAGCTTTATTCTTATGGACATACTCAAATACACATGCAATACTTCAATTATTTATTAATGTCTGCCTAAAACGATCTTCATTTCTTTATTTGTTCTGCAAATATTTAGAATATTTTAAAAGTTATTTTAACTGGCCCTTGAATAATATCCCGACAAAGTTAATATTACTTGTCGTTACTTCGTTATAGAATATAAAAAGATGTGTTATTAACATTTCCATATATGTAATTGTGTATATTTTTTTATAATTATTTATGTCTTTTTTTCCATAGGCATGTCTCGAACAAGAGGCCCGAGTTGCAGAATTGCGCTCGTTGGCTGCTCGAGTTGCAGCTGAAACTGGCTCTAGAGCACTCCAGGCTGATGCAGACGCGCTGGCCAGGAGATTGCAATTAGTCGCCGGTGCTGTACAAGCTCTGGCGGATCTGGGAGAAGCTAGACAGTTGGCTCGAGCTAAGGCACAACAGGCTAAGGAAATGTTCTGCGATATGAAACAGGTAAATAAATTGAACCTAAAATTACAGTATGTATTTGCTTAAATAAGCAATAATTGTTACAGTTTTATGCTATTAATATTTTCATTAACTACCTGATGAAAATCCTGTATTTGTTTAATTAATTTAAAAGCTATGTCATCGTTAAAATGTGCTATAAAAATGAATATAAAGCATAACGGTGTGTGTAACTGTATTATGGCACCGAGTCACGCGTCCCAAATGGGATTGCCTTGTGAACGGGATATAACAGCCTTTTTAGGCGAATGAATTAATATTATATATAATGTATTGTATTACTATTTATTAAGTTACGTCATGCTTTGAGAGTAACAGCAGCTTGTATTTGGATTTGTTTCATTGGTTATTGCTTAAAGTTTAATATCTATTACAGGATTTAACGCCGCTTCATGAGGACGGTGAGATAGTTGAGGATAAATTGATAGCGCTGAGGGAAAACCTTATCGCGCTAGGCAAGAGTGAAGCTGATATAGCTCCGGCGAAGGCCGAGCTGCCTGAGATTGATCGGGAAGTTTCCGATGAACATTCCATCGTGAGGATCCTGGAACTATGGCAGGCCATGTTCAGAGATACCTTCCTTCATTATCACAGACTATCGACTGCTTTAGTGAGGTCGGGAGATGCTGCTACTGCGTTGAGACTGTGGCATGAATACCTATTGGATTTACAGTCGTTCTTGTCTGGAACCGTTCCAGCAGACTATGAGAACTTAACTGAACACCGCAGACTGTGCCGAGTTCATAGAAATCTACTGGCTTCCCAGCGCTCTGTTCTCGTAAACGAAAATAGGGAGACGAAGAACAAAGACCTTGCAGATAAATTTGATACCCTGACTAATCTGCATAACGAAACCTTGGCCAGAATTGTTGAAAGACATGACGAAGTTTGTTCACGTATCGCGGCTTGGGATGATTATAGAGAAACAAACACTGAACTGCTGAGATGGCTTAAAGAAATCGAAAGGGAGAAAGAAAAGTTACAGCTGCGTTACGTGCATATAAAGAGGATACACAAAATCCTTGCCAAAATCCAGAATCTCTCAGAAAGACTTCCTGAAGGTAGGAAACTGTCGGAAAAATTACTTAGTAATCTCAAAAAGGTACTGGACTTCACGGAAGACACATACGCAGCATCTGTCAGGATGGAATACGCTGGTATTGTTAAACGAGTCGACAACTTACAAGCCAGTCTTGACACTTGGCGTGATTTCCTAACTCGAATACTAGGCCTCATCGGGGAGTATGAATATCTGACAGGCGATCTAGTCAAGTTGTATACAAAGTCACAAAGCGAAGTGATGTCTTACTCTGATGAAAATCGACTTTCTAGGCCGCAACTTTTGAAAGCTATAGAAAAGTACAGAGATTTAAGAACAAAAATTGATAAGACTGAAAATCAGATAGAAGCTCTAAGTGTTATCCAAGAACAGTTGAAGGAATGCCTCAGTCCCCAGGACATGAGGATCGTGAACCAAAAAGTGTGGCAATTGAGACAACAGCGAGCTGACTTAGAACATCAGTTGTCAATCATCATCCACAGACTTCAGGAAAGAGTGGAAGTTTACACGATATTCGACTCCCGGTTGACTCGATTTGAAGACTGGATTTCCACAATAGAATCCCGCCTCGAAACAACAACTTCAACTAGCGACATTGGAGCTTTAGACCCTCAAGATTTAATAAGAAGGATAAATTCAGACATCCAAGCGGAAACCGCTCTCAAAGAACGCGAGTTTGAATGGCTCGCTGAAACTGGAACTGCTCTGGTTGAACTCTCCAAAAAAGACGAGAAATCATACAGCAAAAATACATCCAAACATCTACGAGATGTACAAGAGAGATGGCACAAATTACAAGAAACTGGTAGAAGTCGAATTGACAAAATCAATGAGCTGCTTGAGACCATCACTCAGCTTGAAGAACGATTGACGGAGCTAAGGTTAAAACTACATACTATTGAAGCAAATTTATCAGCGTCAGTGGTCTTGGAACAACTAAGTACTAAAGCCGTGGACGCTAAATTCCAAGAACGGGATCAAATTCACAAGAATATCGAAGAAGAGAGTGGGGAGGTCGGCAAGACTTTGAATCTTTGTGAACTCGTGTTTAATGACCCGGATGTCATAAAAGGAAACTTTGATCTTCGAAACCTTCGTACCGGAGTTGATATAGTTGAGAAAAAATGGAAAAACATTTGCAATATGTCCGAGCAGCGCAAGAAATCTCTTAAGGAAATTAGGAAATCGGCCGAATTAACAAATTCGCTGTTGCCAAAAGTGGAAAAGAAACTTGACGGCATCGAAAAGAGAATTGAAAAGATTGAAGCGAGGAAACAACGTGGTGAGGAACAGGACGACAGCGTCGCTAAGGCCATTATCAAAGATCTGGATAGTCTCGAGAGTGATCTGAAAAAGTTAGAAGACGCCTACAGTCGTATAGCCTCCGCTCGGGGTGTGGAACTGAGAGGAGACGACGCAGCTCGTCTCCGAACCTCTGTGAGAAGAGGACAATCATTACGTTCCCGCGTACTCAGCGCCGACGCGGACGCTCACGGGCGGTTTGTGGCCGCACATGGACGGGCAGTTGTGGCGCTGGCGGAAACAGATGTGAGGCTCACTAAGGCTTTACATCTCTCTCCTGCTCCCACAGACACACAGGCCACGCTCAAGGAACTCGATGTAAATATACTGCTTTTTAAATATCGACTGTATGTTAAATTAAGAATTTTACATAATGAGCTTTTATTTTTTAGGGTGTTGAAGTAGACCTGCGAGAGTGCGAAGCTCTAGTTGAAGAAGCGGATAGACTGGCGGTAGTGGTCAGTTCGATGTCGGGTGTTTCCGACATGGTGAGCGAGTATCGAGCACTGTGCGCTGATGTACGGGCTCGTCTCTTAGCGGCGAGGGCGAGTGTGGTGAGCGACGTTGAAGCTGCTGTCCAAACGGAATCTTTACGCTGGGAGACGGATGCCTCGCTACAGGTGGATACGCTCACCTCCAAGGAAACCTACCGGGTGGAGCTGGAGGCTGCGGTCAGAGAGACCTCGGACGCTTTAGAAGCCTTGAGAACGGCATTATTAGTGGAGTTGAAGGAGTACGCGACTCGCGAGGAACAAGCGAACGCTGCTAAAGAAATCGCCAAAGCCGGAGCGAAACCTGAACAAACATTGGAATTAGCTAAACATTTATCGGAACTACTGCTGACGGAGTGCGACGCGACGGAGGAAGAGGCGATGTTGAAGGAGGTCGGCTCCCTGTCTCTGAGATACGAGGATCTGCTCCCGCAAGCGAAGAAACGGGAACTACAGATACAGGAGATGAGGTGAGTCGTGTGCTTTGACACTTACTTTGGGTACATTGTATTGTACAGTAGCACACTGGCACGTATGGTGGAGGGCTTAAATGATAACACCAGCTAGCACTAATGCTGGACTTAATATATTAACTCTTTTATTAAACAACTTCAAAAATATTTTGTTCTGAGAGCCAGGATTTTCTTTCAAATTATGAAGTATGCGTCACTGCATCCTCTCGTGTCGAGTCGCTTGTTAACCTGGCATGTTATATTAAAAGTCGTTTTTGGTCCTAGGTTGCCCCACTCCGCGTTGTACGCTCTCACGTGCGAACAGTGAGTACTGCTTCATAATATTATATATGCTCATCGAAAATCCTTCACTATACCCTCCCCCGCTCATTAAACTCCCGCCATCCAAGAAGACTTAGACCAATATTAAACGAATATATATTAAAACACGTACTGATTAAATGTTAGAACACTTTCTACAGCACTAGTTTTTTGCACAGTATTTGTTTCTACACAATGCACACTCGGTCACAGTTACCCATGAGTATAATAAAAAGGATAGTCATGTTTAAATTTTCGGTAAAATCGCCATCAAAATCGATCCAGCTCAAGTCATTCTTGAAAAATATGATATGTATGGATAGTTGTGACTCGAAGTTTTGTAGATTTAGCGTATAATTATATATTTTGTGTGTTTTTGCATGTGTGTGTAGTGTGTAGATGATTTATTTAAATAAAGCAATACTAATTAGAATGTTTAACACGAAACAATGCACTCAATACTAAATTTTGTGTCGTTATTATATTTAAATTTTGATGTCAAACAGTCTTATGTATACAATTATTAATACAAAATAAAACTCTAATACTGAAAAATATAAATTTTGATAACATAAAACATTACTCGATTATATGTATATTATTAACATAACCACGAATCCCTCATTCAATTAACCAAATGAAAAAAAAAAACAGCTCATATACTCAATGTCAAGGCTCTAAATTCCCCGAAAAAATCATAAGTTCAGCAATTAAAACAGAAAAATAATTAATAAGGCTGTTTTATCAAGCTATTTAGCCTGATATTGCGGTATTTTTAATTAATAATCAATAATTTTATCGGTGAGTTGGGCCTTTGCTTAACCATGAGCTGTTGTTGTGATATATTATACAAATAACAATTGGTTGGACGCTCGAATGTGCAGTGAATCCGGTAAACTGACGTGTCCTCAATGTACGGATCGGAACTGGCGTCAACTGGACAATGATCTTTGGCGGCTGGAACAATGGCTGCAGTTCGCTGAGGCCACGGAAGAAGCACGAACCGACCCGCCCGAGGCCTACGAAGCCCTAGAAGACGTAATACAGGTATGTTTAATACTTTAAAATAACTCTCATACAAGTGTAATACTACTCTCAAACAAAACCCCTATATAAATCCCACACTACCCTCAAAAAGCTTTCCTTGTAAATTCAAGTATGTACCTATAATACGCCTTTATCTGTTATTGTAACGACATCTTCCTTTGTTCTAATAATATATATTTGTCCATGATCTATTTCCTATAAAAATGGAATACTACTCTCAAACAATGCTTATGAAAAAAAACTCCAATATAAATCCCGAACTATCAAAACACTTTCCTTGTAAATTCAAATATTTTTAATATGACCATATGTATGAATGTAATAACATCTTTTGTTCTAATTATATGATATTCATGTTTTCCAGGACCACCGCGAGTTTTTGTTGGACCTGGACTCTCATAAATCTCTGGTGGTGTGGTTGAACTTGGTGGGTTCTCACGTGGCGGGTCACGCTCGGCGCGAGGCGGACGGCGCGGCGGTCACGGCTCGCCTCGCTGACGCCAACCGTCGCTGGGACTCTGCTTGCCGCGCGGCCGCTGAGTGGCACGGACGGCTGCAGGCTGCACTCATTAATAACAGAGAATTCCATGATATAGGTGAGATGTTTATTAGATTACTAGGTGTTACTCGCGGATTTCCGGGATTTGCTTGATGTATTATTTCTGGACATCAGCTTCCTGTATACAAAATTTTATCAAAATCGGTTCAGCCGTTTGAACGTGAAGAAGCAACAAACATACACACACACTCACAAACTTTCACAATTATAATATTAGTAGGATAATTAGTAGAGAGGGGAGAGAATGACAGTGCTTATATTTCTTTACCTAGTTGGGATTAAAGAGACTAAGTTTCCGACTCATAATAGTTCAAATTAAATACCGCTAATACTTTGGATTTTTACTAAAACATGGTACTTGAGATCGTTTGCGTGTTTAAAAAAAATACGTTTATTATCCTTGGTGAACATTTTACTTTTTCAACCATATGAACATCTTTATATCTTCCCACAATACAATAATACCTGCAACTACAAACCTTTTAAACTGTAAACTAATATAAGTAACTTTAATGTCTATCTATCATTATTAATATCCAATCTTTCACCAGTCGTGGAGCTGGTATCTCAGTTAGCGGCGGCGGAGCGCACAGTCCGAGCGCGTGAACCTCTGCGCCTGTCTCGACCAGCTGACCAGCTGCAACAGGACTTCCAGCGGTTCACGGAGCTTAGAGACGAGCTGGCGCGAGCTGAACCCAGGGTACTGGCGCTTAGAGACGCCGCGCAGCTGCTCAAGGACGACGGGGAAGACGTCTGCCGCAGGTAAAGACTGCACATGAATATATGGACGTTATACAAGGTGTTCTAAAAACTGTGTCCTCCCTTAAAGTCATGTATACATATAAGTATAAGCTTATTATAAAAAATAGTATAACTTAAAAAATATCAAGCAGAGGTCAATTACAGTGCATAGGCTAAATAAATTTTAAATCGAAATTATTTGAAAAAATGTTTCAAACATCTGACCCATAAACGATTAAGGCGCTGTATAGTCGCGCCAGCGAACGCGCGGCCTTTCATCGCAGGCGCCGGACCGCCGGCGATATTATTATTATTTTGTTAGTTTTTCGAATAGAGATTTGCAAGTTTAAAAATTAGATATATCGATAATATTTTATAGATATTTTCAATATTGCTATAAATAGTTATGCTTTTTACATTAAAATATGTAATTTCATTTAAACTAACTTTTATTAATAATAAATATTATTAATCAATATTATAATTTGGAACTTCTTCAGGTAAATTAACTATGTTGTATTATTAGGATAAATCGTTAATCTATTTCTGTTAAAAATGGTGTTTTACAATCAAAAATAATATTAATGTTTGATATATCGAAATAATATGAATATTAAATATTTATTTATGGTTATGATTTTTTAAATATCGATATTTTCAATAATGTGAAAATAACTTCGAGTCGTCACTAGTAACGCAGCAGGTGTGATGACGCCATTGAGTCACATCGTTTTATACCAGTGGGTACAAACATTTGGTTACTCTACATATAATAATCATTTAATATTTAATTTTATTATTTTTATTGAAGATGAATTGTAAATGAAAGTTGTTTGATTGTGTTCCATTTTCGATACTGATAACGCAGTTAAGGGGGTTGACACAATTTTTCATACACACTTTTATTTATTTCCTTTATTGCACTAAAACAAGACAGAAAACTACATAATAGAAAAAAAAACTTACAAAAAGGCGGACTTATCTGTGGACTTTGATCAGCAAAACTGGCTGTATCTCGGATAGTCAATTTAACTCAAATAAATAGGTTTTTTGTCCTCATTCTTATTGGTTACATTGCTTCCATGTTCTCTCGAATTATTCAAAATGATGTCTGGCCCAGTTCAATACCAAAGATACTTAGTGTATATAATATTCAAGACACATTGTTCCTATATATAATACCTAATATCCATGGTCTCCTTCCAGGTTGAATGAGCTTCGCCTCCGTCTAAAATCCCTCCGCAAGTTGTCCGGAGTGTACGCCTTGAAGCTGGGCGCAGCCCTAGCCAGGGCTCCGGGGGGCGCGCCACACACACACGTCATTATGGCCGCAGCAGCCTCCTCATCAGCTCAGGTAGATACAACATACAGCATTACATACATATATATTAATGTATATGTTACATAATGATAGACAATACATGTTCTAAGAGTGTCGAATATACAGGGTGACTGGTGAATTACTATCAATATTTAAGGACGTGGTAGTTGACGATCATATATGACAAAATAAAAATTAATATAACATAAATATTAATAAACTTCTGAGTAAAGTTAACCTAAAGTTATGTAATTAATTACGCATCGTGTGAACACCCTACAGATTAGGTATACATTGACACTCACACATACGCGTGTCGTGACGTAGTGTTGTATCAGCACGCCCCCGCACGCGTCCACACTTGAACACTTGGAACGTGTCAACACTTTATTTATTTATACGGAAATTTGGTCAAAAATTAAGTACCTATTTTTTTTACATAATTCGAATGAGAATCATGTACCGAGTATGCTCCTTAAATATTGATAGTAATTCACCAGTCACCCTGTATAAATAGCATATAATTTTAAAGTAAAATTGTTCAAAGTGGCCGTGATTACACATTATATGTAGAAATTCTTATTACGATTAATAAATATATTACTATAAATAAAATTTATTACACAAGGATCAGACGTTAAAATCTTTATACTTATTATCGTCATTGTTTAAAATTTATTAAAATAATAAATGTAAGAGTAAATAGTAAGTATTTTAGGCTTGACACCGCTTAACACGCGCACCAACAGACGTATTAGGCCGGCTTGTAGATAGACTCATTGTTACATACTGGATAATGTAACTATAATAATGTATTTAATATTTATTTTCAATAATATTTTGAGAATATTGTTAATAAGTGTACATCGTCACTGTAATTAGTCGCTTGGCACGTAATGGTTTTATTGTCGTAGCTGCTGGAGGAGCCGGAGCCCGCGCTGCCGCTGGATGACGGGTGAGTGCACCCTACACCCTCACACCTTCAACACCCTACACCCCCACCTATATTAAACCAACACAGCTTTGTTTTGAAAACAGTAGACTCTTATAGATTGTTCAAAATCAGTAGAGTTTTTAACACGATCTCAATGACGTAATATTTAATAATACTTCTCCCTTAGTCAACAAAACTCATACAGTTTAGCAGCACTTATAACGAAATCAAATGACAGTTATGTTACAAGTCTTTAATTCAAGTCCCAGTTCACATTACAGTCATTCATTCGTTCTTTCTTGATTGTGACGTCACTCGTTCGTTCCAGGGTTGTCCCTAGCTCGGAGCATGAAGCGGCGGCCCTGGGTGGCGTGCGTCGCGGGCTGCGGTTCGTGCTGCGCGTGGCGCGTGCTTCACTGCCGTTCCAGGCGCTGCTGCTGCTGCTGCTGGGTGCTGCTGCCCTCGCGCCGCTGTCCCCCTCCGACTGCCGCGCGGGGCCCTCACTCTCGCCCGTGCTGCGTTTCCCGCACGGACCTCCCCCTATGTAGACCCCCCCTCCCTCCCCCGGGCGCCGGGCCCCTCCCCCCGAGCCCATACATTCCACAGCACGGTGCTAGGCCTGTAAATACCGAGTTTTTGTATATTTGTATCGAAGTGCCGCGCGTTATTTATGTAAACCGTATTTAAGATGGCGCATCACTGTATCGTAACGGCTTGTTGTATACGGATCCACGCATCGTTACTTAACTATCGACTATTAGTGTGTAAGGAACGTTTACGAGAATATAAAAAATAAAGCCTTGCATTGATTATAATCGTTTTTTATTTATGACTTCGCAATTTATTACATATTTACAGCTCAGGATGAACTGATGGAATACCTGAAACGCGAAGAACTATTTACTAATGTTAAGATTAAATATTAACTAAATATAAATATATTACAATATACCGAGGAAGCGCTCTCGATGAGTTTCATTGTCACTCTCGGTCCCGCACTGAATCCTGAGAAAAGACAAACAGATAGTTGTTTATTATTATATGTAACTGTATTAGATGACCCGGCGGACTTCGTATCGCCCTATAATCAAGAAATATCTGTTACCTTTTTATCGCAATGAAGTTAATTTCTTAATTATGTACAGCTGACTCGAGAGACAACGGTCTGTCTTCTTATATATTATATGTTTAAATTAATACTATAATAGTCTATGTCTTTAGTTTTTTGATCATCTGCACAGATCTCAACTAATAATATTCAAAAACAGTTTTAAAATTAACATAATATTTTTGTTTTTCAAGTCAAGGCCTGCACTTATTAAACTGCTAGCGCCATCTGTTATAGTTTTGTGTGAGTTAATCACATGAAACTCCAATTTCTTTTGATAGATGTCGCTAGAATATCTTCAATTTACACAAAATAAATTAAAAAACGCACGCGTAAACGTTTATCATTTGTTATTATTTCTGAACTCATGTCAACTATTACATAGTATTTGACAGGATGGACAACAAATATTTGACAAATGACAGGTTCAACCTGGTTCGATCGATCCTGGGATCCCGGGTTCGATCTTTTACATGTTTTCGTCGAGTTTTCTTTAAGTTTTATTTTTTAAGATGTATTCTGCTATTCGGGGCGGAGACAAATCCAACGAACCAAAAACCATGAAAATTGGTCTAGCCGATCTCGAGTTATAAGTGTACTTTCTTTTATATACATATATAGATATAGATATGTATCAATATAAAGATTAGGTCAAAAAAAGCATGTTAATTGAAAAGTCAGATATTGTCCGATGGAGATTTGATTATTTAACAAAAATCATCAAGTTCCGTGAAGAAAAACGAAAAATATACTATCTCGATGAAACATGGCTTAACAAAGGTATATTATTTGTTGAGACTTTTATGTAGCCTTTTCCTTTATAATACATTTGTATTTTCATTTCATATTTAACAACTTTAATCTTGTTTTTTAGGACACACAAAATCAAAAGTACAGCAAGATATAAGGGTGCAGTCCAGTCGGGAAACTCATAGAGAAGGCCTGTCTATGGGACCAACAGCCCCAACAGGAAAAGGAAAACGTCTGATAATATTACATATTGGCAAATATTTAACAATGTTAATTGATTTTGTTTTGATTTAAAATATATTACTCTATAATAAATGTTTATATTTTTTTACAGAAAGTGACGATGGATTTTTAAATGGTGGAGAATTAATTTTTGAAAGTAAGAAAGGGGTAGGTGATTATCATCAAGAGATGAATTCAAAAATTTTTGAAGAATGGTTTATAAAAATAATAAATAAAATTGAGCCAAACTCAATTGTTGTCATGGACAATGCACCATTCCACTCAAGACGACTTGAAAGAGTTCCTACAATGGTATGGTTGAAAACCGATATCCAAAAATGGCTAAATGAAAAAGGAATCCCCTTTGAAACAAATATGTTAAAAAGAAATTTAATTGATATAGTTAAAAAAGAAAGAAATAAATATGTATATGGCATATGCAATAGACACATGCAAAAAATTATAATATTAAAATACTAAGATTGCCCCATATCACTGTGAATTAAATCCGATTGAAATGATATGGGGGCAAGTAAAAGGCTATGTCGCAGGGAAAAACAAAAGTTTTAAAATAGCAGATGTAAAAATATTGCTTAGAGAGGCAATGGATTTGATTACACCTGCAACATGGCAAAAATGTATCGGGCATGTTGTTAAAGAGGAATTAAAAATGGCACAACTTGACTACTTAAGTGATACAGTTGCCGACCAATTTATAATACATGTGACTGAGGATAGCACAACATCAACTTCTACCAGTAGTGCCGATAGTGACTAATGTTTTAAAATATAAAGATTTAATAAAAATATTTCTTAAAGCAAATTTAGTTTTATTGTTAATATAAGTTTTGTAATTATTTATACCTTTCATATAAAAATATATAATATATAAATATATTGAATATAATAATAATAATTTATAAAAATGGATTGCTGTTCCTTAGTCTCGCTAAAACTCGAGAACAGCTGAACGGATTTATCTTATCTTAGTCTTGAAATGTTCGTGGGGGTTCAGGAAAGGTATAAAAGCTGAAAAAAATTGATTCATTACTGGGAAAACCATAAAAACAGCCCTTTTCTTTTTCCCATACAAACGTTTTTTTTTTGACATTAGATTTGACAACTAACTAATATGTCAATCATTCTGTCGCACTTCAAAACACGGAAATTTATGGCTTACAGGTAAACTCCAAAAATATTAATAAAAAAACGTAATAGATATTTCTTGATTATAGGGCGATACGAAGTTCGCCAGGTCTTCTAGTTTAATAATATATTATCATATCATTTAAATTAAACATTTAACGACTATGATACTATGAAACAAAGTAATTATGATAGAATTAATATTAAATGATTTATAATACGCTATTAATTATAATCATAATAAATATTGTATTTATATTTATAATAAAAATATATACTAATAAACTACCAACAAACATTGCTTTTTCCAGTATTAGAGCAATTGTAAGCTCGAAGCTCCCATTGACCCGTTCAAATATACACAAAATTTAATCTAAACATTTGGGAGGCGATAGATAAAGTTAATAAAGCGAATTATATAACTACGAGGTAATTTTTAATAACATTTTAAAATTGGAGGTATTATTTTTGAGATCTACATTATTCCAGATGATCATAAGTATTATAATTATAACCAAGAATTAGTCCTTTGTCTTAAATATTTTATTATTAATCATCAATTTTAATTTTCATTAACATCAAAAATAATTGTTGTAATACATATTTCTAAAAATGGTTTGAGCATCTGCCTGACGTTGGTTGCTAAGAAATGCTTTGTTATTAAACATTCCACATCGAATTTGGCGGAAGTATAGGTGTGTACAGGGCCGTCCCTGAGTATATGGCCGCCTGCGTGCCAGTCTGTATGGCCGCCCCCAGGATAACATTAAAAAAAAACTACTTTAATTTTTAATGTTTATTATTATACACAGGGCATCAAACCGGGAAAAAATCAATTTTCCTCTCCGTTTTCATTTTCAAAATAAATCTTGACATATTTATGTTTAAAAATATGTTTTACTTAAGAAGCTTATAAATAATTTTCTTATCGTGTCATCCTATGCGCATTAAAATATACATTAATTATAGATTTTAAGTAATTTAATATTAAATTGCGCTATTTTATTATTTATTTTAATTATTATTTAATTTTTTTAATATTATTAAATATTTTTTAATATTTATTAAGGAATTTCATATCAAAAGGCCTTTTCCCTCCAAAAAGACCCACCAAATTTTCCCGGGCCCCAAAAAAAAAGTCTGCCCAAATTTTACATTTTTTGTGTATTACCTTTTTCAGTCTTTGTCGAGTAAATAAACTTTTTATTAAATTTACCCACACGAACACACAACTAAAAGTTTTCAGGAATTAAGCAATTTATTTGACACAAATAACGATTTATCCTCGCTAGTCTATAGACTAATACGACTAATAAGACGAATAAGACCGCTTACGCGACGCCGGTCAATTGAAAAAACTATTTCGGCTCGTCGCTCGTGCAATGTTCGAAAAAATTCGGATTCGCTGCATGACTAGGTATATAAATACTACAACGACCTAATCAGTTTTTATACATTTCTTATTTCTGAGAAACTCTTTTTAGATAGATTAGATTAGAGAAACTGTTTTTACTTCGTATCTTAATGAAAACAAACCGATTGTATTTTTGCCCAGTAAACAACTTGTAACGATTTGGCCGCCTCTTAATTTCGGCCGCCTGCGTGCGGTGCACGCAATGAACGCCCGCCAGGCACGGCCCTGGGTGTGTATTAAATTACCTGATGAATGAACATTCAAATCTATCTATCATATGTTTAATTTTCTAGTTAATATAATGTAATATATATTAACAGGATAGAAAATGTACAAATGCATGATATTATTTCTACAAAAACCAAATAACTAGTTCTCATGCAAAATTACACTTACGTAGGTTTATATAAATACTAATCTTTGATAGTGACTTTGTCCATGTTGACTGCGGAATTGGGATGAGAGAGATATTTGTAAGGTTTATTAACAACTATGGTCTGGTATGTTATGAATTAATGCTGCATAAGCTACACAAAGTTTTTTTATAACTTTTATTCTATGTAGTCTTGTTCTAGTAACTGATCTACATTATTATTTCATAAAAGTATATTTTTGATATAATCTATATAGTCATCCATGCATCCGTAAAACTTTAAGCCTATTAATATATAACATTTCTAAGCTGAGAATAGAATAAATAGATTCGAATGTGCATTATCTTTTGATCTATCTATACAAAACCATTTTATCCTCTTAATCGTTGAAAGAGGGGAATTTCCCGCGTGCAATATAACAGTAATCAACCGGGTAATACTGCAGTAATATAATAATGTAGTAATATATTACCCGGTCGTGATGTCCGGTCCAGTCTCCCCTTGCGACGGCTTGCAGAGCGCTCCGCACCACGAGCTGAGTCACCATCACCACTACCAGCTGAAAAAATATTACAGACATACAGTAATATCAGGAATTTCGACATATACCATTGTATAAAGTATAAAAGGCCTTTTATAATATAACCGGAAGATTTTAACGTCGAAAAAATAAGAACATAAAAATAAGAACCTATAGTTAGGATAGAAAGACTTCACATTAAACAGAAAGATTTTGTTGCAAAACTTTTAAGAAAATACTATTTTCTATGATGTTATATTCCGAAATTATTTTTATAAGAAAAACATTTATTAGAAATATTGTGTCTCAGCTTCTTTATTCAGTAAAGTAGTAGTAACTTAGTATGTAAGAAATGTACATTACCTACATTATACCTACTTCTTATTATAATGTTTCACACTTAAGTAGAGTATAGAAGTACATAAAAAAGAATTCACTCAATTTTAAAGTGCGCATCAGTTTAATTTAAAAAAAAAACTTAAAAAAGGACTATTTCATGTTACAGAAACATTAAACAAAAACAACGGGAGAGCACTGACATTTCTCGAGGCTTACAAAGTTTCTTCCTAAATCTTCGGCAATTAATGATGCAATCCAAAACCTTTTTGGACAGACCCGCTAAGAAATTTAACTTCCTAAAATGTTCAGTTATGTTTGGATGGGGTTATTTTCTTGAAATCTCTTTGAAATCTATAGTCAAAGCGGCTGTTCAAAAACATCTTTAAGAATATAAAATCAGCCATCAGGCTCATGGGAGGGATCACAAATAATAACTTAAAAAAATTACCTGCAGAACAAGCGCAAGAGCGCTCAGTGTATGTATGGCGAGTGCGGCGCGAGCTAGAGGAGCGCCCACCGCGTCACGACACGAGCGAGCACTAAGAGTAGCACCCGCCGCGCTGCCCCACCAGGAACCCTCAAACTGATACAAAAAGAAATTCACACAGAATCCGATATATCTGTCTACTTTTATGTCAAGTAATTGCACTTAAGAAAACATGTTAGCTTGTCATCAATACCTTTTAATGCAAATAAAATTATTCTACAAAAGTATTGTTTTAATAGAAAAAATAATTTCAGTTTCAAACCTGTTGTAACGGGTCGTGGCAGCATGCGGCCAGCACATGGGGCGAGCAGCAAGAGTAAGGAGACACCGGTGGTAGGGCTTTACCATCAGTTCCTGATAACCTTAAAACATATAATCAGGGAAAAAGTTATAGCATAGAACATTTTTTGTCTCACTTTTACATATAATCCAACATGGAATAGAGATAATTTAATTTCGTCAACACAAAGCATGCAAATTTCAATATTCAGTCCTTAATTTATGAAAATAACGTAAAAAAAATTACTTCATAACAAGTTCTGAATCTTCATTAAGAAAGTCCATATTAATCCAGGGGATCTCGTGCCAATCGCTGGGACTCTCAACGCCGCAGCAGTTTAGTTCTACCTTTCGTGATAAATATCATAGCGTCAAATAAACTTATTGAAGAACAAAAAAAATAATATTCATATGTGAAAATACCTGCATGGTGTCCATGATTCGTTTCCAAGTAGGCTCCGATAGGTAGTGTGATATACCAATTCGTAGTGACGACGACAATTCTTTCATTAATGCCTAAAAAGTATGCAAGTTTATCTCACTTCTTATTTGGTACTCAAAACTTAAAAAACCAACTGCGAAAACGTACTACATCTGTTAATATACATATAAGGTAGTTTAGAAATTTTCATTCAAAATTACTTTAAGCGTGCTTTTACAAGCAGCATGAACCAACAGGCCGTTGAGAGCGACTAAACAACCGCTGATGAGCCAAAGACGGGTGACTGGCGCGGCTCGAGGCCAGTGAGGACACCGGAGTAGCCATGAGATGAGACGGAAACCGCTCGTGTAGTGAAGCTTCATGCAATACGCATGAAGTAGTAGAAGGGCGTAGAACAGCATTACTGTTACCTTAAAGACGAGGATGTAAGGTAAAAGTACCAGTAGATGACCACTTAAGGAGACAGAATATTCTTTTTAAATGTTTGACTTTAATTATCATATGAATTCAGTCAGTTTCTTTTTTGGGAAATCCTGTGAAAAGTGTTTTAACATATGAACAAGTATTTCACCACGTAAAATGGACGAAAAAACTAAAAAAAAATAAAAATATTCTAATGTTAGAAATTTAGCAGTTGACCATGTAAAAACTAGAAGATGACCATATTTTGCATCAGTAGTTGACCACTCAGATGCTACAATTTTAATTGGGTTATTTGTTAAATAAAAAGCAAAATAAGACGAAAAGAAGACGTTTTATTTGAAATATAATAATAACTAGGCCTGGCCACTATCTTCCAACTCCTTATACACACGTTTGTACCATTCTGATAGGTGATCACCTGTTACCTTGGCTCTCGATGCTGTCAAATTTTGTGATATCCTCTTTGAAATTGTTGGATTTCTCCGAATAAAGGCCTTTACCCATGTTCTACCTGGTCTTCCATGCTTGAATAAGACACATGGACGTTTTATTTCCTTTAAGTATTTCTCTACACTCACAATTAACTGTTCGGTTGTCACAGGAAAACCCGCTTTTGCCATTTTTTTGTACTCAGTCGCATATTTTATGCTCCTCTTCTGGTGTAAGGATGGATGTCGGACCCATTTTTCGTTCCATCGGTGACTTCTCTTTTACTTTATTTGTAAGCGTTATTCTTGGTACACCGAACTTTTTTGCAGCCGTTCGTATTGGTGTTTTATGAAAACGAACATCTTTCACTGCTGCAAGCATTGCAGCTTCAGTATAATTTAGGAATGCACCCCTTTTCCCAGGCATCTACAAGATGAAAAATTGGTTTTAGTAACAAGTAGACCATAGCCATAAATTCGTACCATACAGTTAGTCAACTACTAAAGAAAATCAATATATTGTTAAAGTAAATAAAATAGTTTATTTTAATTAATTATTATATGCAGCATATTTACAAGATACAGAACTTAATCAAAAGTTGACCATCATGGTCATTTACTAGAAAATCATAGTCAATCGGTAATTCGGTAATGGACCACCATGGTCAATTACTAGAAAATCACAGTCAAACGGAATCAGTATTGGACCACCCCCGCATCTCAATTTTGTGAACAAATCTTCAAATTTTAATTAGCCTGTCATATAAATAAACCATAAACGAATAAGAAACGAAAAACACTTACCGTCAACAAGGTGACAAAGTTCCTAGTATTTAGCTTGAAACTTTTTCAATCACTGCGAATATTGTAACAACAAACGAATTTGTTGATTTTATGGTCCGTCACTCAACAAACAACTGGCAGCCACTTTCTATATTTTACAGATATGGATGCGCAATTTTTGCGCTTAGTTGACCAGATAGCAGATCTGACTACTTATTAACGAATGAGTTTTAAAAATTGCCGCGAATTCTTATTATAACGGTTTATGTGCATTAGCGGTCAACTACAGGTACATGGTCAACTACTAGTGACTTTACCTTAACTAGTGATTTAGTAGCTAAGAAAAAATGCGAACTTTCTATGTAATCCAAACAAAAATAGTGAGTGAATTAGAAGTAAATATTGTGTTTAAGAAAACATTTTCTAATATGATGATTATTGCTATTGACCAAGACGTACCTTATGAATATTTTTCAACAGCGACATTACTTTGACGGTCACGTTATAACAGAAGATGACCATCACCAATGATATAGCCAGTTGCGCTATCAACAGCGCTCGGAGTACACCGGCCAGGCGCTGTCTGCCGTCCCTCGTGAACCTGACTTGCCAGGCCATTCAACCGCATGGTCTGACATCCTATCGTTTATTTATACCTTCCGCCCACCGAAGTATAAAGCACTTATAATGAAGAACAATGGCATTTAATTCTTATTTATGTTCCGTAAAACTAACACCAAATTTTATACTCTATACTATAAGCAGACACTAATATTTTAAGGGTAGAGAAGAGTGCAATTTGTACTATTAAAATACAATTTTCGTGTTGTTTTGTTGTAAATTCAATCGTATGAGTGATGTCAATTTTTTCTTATTTATGTCGTTTTTAATTACCAGCCATCAACAACAATATCTATCAAACCTCATATACTTTAATTTGTACCAAACGAATACAAACTTACTCTTAGATACATTACCTAAAAATATTAAATCGATAATAAATTTTTCACTTAGTAACTCGAATGTTTGTTAGAATCTTATAGGCCACATACAATACGGTGGACATCATTACAAAATAGTATTTCTCGTTAGTCTTTTGTTTTCCGTGGATCGGAAAACATGGCTTCATTAACATAATTTAACTTTACTAATAAGTTATTGAATCAGTAGTAATTTATCACTAATCATGTCTGACGTAGATGTGAGGAAAAGAGTGAAAGTTACTTGGAGCGATGACTTGAGTCATAACTCAGAAGAAGACAGAGGTAAGAAACATTGTTTTATTAACATAGGAATTCTCGAGTACAAAACAAACGAATTAACAACACTTAATAAACATAAACATGATTTGTTTTATTGGTTTCTGTGCATTGATTACTTTCAACTAAAATAGGCGTTACAGAATAACATTTTAAATAATATGTAGTATATTTTACGTATTTAAGAGCGGGAACGACAAGCACAACTTGAACGAGAATTAGCTGAACAGCCCGTGAAACCTGTCTACGAGCCAGATGAACTACAAAAGCTGATTACCTACATTATGAAAATGACTACATTGTATGACCTGAGAGATGAAGATTGGAACGATGACGCAAAGAAAGGCATTGAAGAATGGTTGACTGAACCGAAAGCATTAATCCTTTGCGTTTATTTTAAAGGCGATAAACTTAAAGCCTCAAGTGATGTTCCAATGTCTCCTGTCTACGATTTGACATATTTTTTGCGTCAACCGGACTATGTGTTTAAAGCTGAGACATTCCATGATGAAATTGTGTTTGGCACTTTCGTCGACTCTGTCGAGGCAAATTTGATACAAATATTGGAACTTATGTACGCTCCCTATTTTTTTGCCATTACCACATGGCCAGACAGTAAGTCTTTTAATTTCATTATAATATAATTGTATCCTAATATTTGCTGATATTTATTCTATTTATAGGTGTGAAAAGTGAATTTTGCTCCCAATTGCATACATTTTTGGCAAAACTAACAGATATGTATTATAAAATGCTCGGCCTTACTGTTCTATACATCCCACGAGAAGGCCAACAACTATCTTTCGAAAAGGCGAGCACTAATAGAGAGCTAGTGAAGAGACTAGAAGGAGTGGTAGTTTACTGGACCCATCAGATCAAGTCTTGCATTGAAGATCAGTCATCGGTTGCTTCCCAGAAAGAACTTCTATGTCCTAGCGATGAATATGAATTTTGGGTATACAGGCGTAAGTAAAAGAACTCAGAAGTGGCAAATATATCTAAGTCAAATGTCTGATTTTTAAATATATTGAATATTTTTAGATGAGAACCTGAATGCTCTCGCCCATCAACTGCAAAATCCTGCAGTGAAGCATATAACGAAAATATTAGTTACGACCCATTCGACATTTATTCACCAGTTTCAATCTCTTTGTGAAGAGATCATGCAAAAAATTAAGGAAGCTACGTCTAATATCGAATACTTGCAAGTGATAAAACAACCGTGCGCTATATTAGAGTGTGTGGTTGATCCCGACGAGATTTCAAATCACATTCCCACTATAATAAATCTCTTTAGATTTATTTGGATGGAGTCGCCTTACTACAACTCTGAAACTCGCATTACAAACCTCTTCAAAGCGCTTAGCAACCAAATAATTATTTTGTGCAAGAACTACATCAAGTTAGAGGAATTATTTGATGGACAAACTAAGAAAGCACTAGGGGAATTCACTAAATGCATTGATTGTTGTAAGAAATATAGAGAGATTTATGATTTAATGGCAGAAGCCCATAGCGAAAGAAACCCTGGGACTTGGGAGTTAGATACCGGCTCTATATTTAACTATATCGACTCTTTCGTACAGAGATGTTTCGATATGCTCGATGTATGTAATTGTATGATTATTTTTGCGAGGTAAGGAGATATCAATATTTATAGCGTTAATAAGTGTTTATAGTTTACTTGATTTCTATAAAATCGACTCATTTTTAGAATTGATGAGTTAGAAGTCATCAGTAAGCCTATGTTTGGTGGAGCCCATGGTGACCAATTCGAAGCTAAATGCGACCAGATTGAGCACATGTTTCATGATGCCCTGGACAATGTAAAGGCGGTTGCAAACACTATCCTGGACGTTCAGGCTCCATCCTGGTACGATGATATACTACAGTTTCGAACTGTTATTAAGGATATCGAGGTAAATACATTATTACAATGAATTTAGCTGATGGCTGGTACTCACATTATAACCGATATTCACACTTATAGATTATTATCGAGAACTTGGTGGAAACTGTATTCGAAGGTGTCAATCACGTCGAGGAGGCTGTCATCGCGCTATTTTCCTTACATAATTACTCTAAGAGAAAGAATCTTAAACGAATATTCAAAAGGAAGACTGCAGAGTTAAGTTAATTTAATCTGATTTGTAAAATATTGAAAATAAAACGTTATCAAAAGAAATAACAAATAAAACAATGCAATGTTTTAGATATAATATACTTAGTAAATGTATTCGATTTAATTTAACTTATAATTAGCACTTTGTGTTGTGCGAATTTCCACAGGTGTGGGCAATGTTCAGTGATGAAGTACAAGAGGCTAAGAAGGAGACTGTGACTTCTCGTGGCACGTACGTCGCGGATCTACCGTCCTTCGCTGGTCGAGCGGCGTTGCTTCGAGTCCGCAGGAACAGACTGGCGTATCTCAAAAAGGTTTTTAAAGTCTTTGAATTCGGTTGTTGTTCTTGCCTTGCTAGGCAAGATATACTTTTTTAATATTTTCGGGATATGATTTTTATTTCAATTTGTACAATTATAACCCTCACGAGTTGAGATTAAAGGTCTACGAGACCCGAAGACGAAATCAAACGGTTTATTGTTTAATAATGAGGTCCCCAACACATTATTTAACCTGTATCACATTTTGAGAAGTTAATTTATTCATGTAGAATAACAAAAATAATATCACAAAATAAATAAGCATATACAAACTTTTTCATAGACTTCTGTAAAAATAGTTTACATTGGCAGGAAAATAAAAGAAACATATAACTGCTTATGTACAAACACACAATTTATATATACCTACATATGATTACCTTTTACCTACATATGATTTTGTCTCAAAAATATTGTGCATTGTTGTATGTATAACAAAATAAGTGTTGTTAGGTTCTTACTGACGCGTCCGTGTGGATGATGCCGTGTAGCAACTCTGAGGACGTAATAATGCATGTCAATAGATTAATGGGAGCCATGGATGTGGCCATCAGGGAGTTGTGGATTTCTTGGACTGTGAGTATACATACAACGGTTTTGGATAACTAATATACATTACTCTATATAATTTTTTTGTGTACATCCAAAATCTGGTTTGAAAAGAGATAAAAATTATGGAAGACTAAAATTACAGCACAATTTGGACGAAAAATGTTCGGCTGGTTTGAATAAAACGTTGATGCGAAAAAGCGCTGAAAATCCTGGATTACTGGAGTGCAATATTGACGTGTAAGCAAGCTAAAGAAAAAATATATATTTATAAGGTATCGCGTATAAGTAGGTATAAGATTATGGTTAACAATAAATAATATTTCAGGAATATCTTAGAACTTTGCAAGGAGGCCAGTCACTGGGAAAACCTTGGTTTGGATATACCTTTATACGCTTACCAGGTTAGCAGATACTAAGATTTATACAAAGTCATTTATAATATTGTACTATACATATCTATGTGTTATGCAGGTCTATATGAAAAGCAAGACAGTTTTCTATGTCTATGAAAGTGTACTGGCTGTTGTGAAGGGCTACAATAAGATCCTAGATTCCCTTTCAGAAGAGGAGAGACAACTGTTCAAACCATTAATACTGGTAAAATGTAGTTAATTAAGAACACAAAGAAAACATTAATAAATAAAACAATAGAATCACATTTAGGTAAAAAAATAATTTATTAAATCTGAATATCTATAGGAATGTAGGTAATAATCAACCAATAACATAAATTAGATTATAAACAAAAATGATAGAAATAGTCATTGAATATACTATCACAATAATTATGGATCAACTCAAACATAAATCTAAATGGGAATTCATATCGGCTTGCTCGATCATTTGAAGGCAACAGGGGCAAGGGGACTTGGTGCCGGTGGCATTGAAAGTTAGAGATTCATCCAAATCATCATCAATTTCAATGGTTTCTATCAAACTGGTGTCACCCTCACTCGGTGCTGTTGTCGGATCACTGAAGAAAGCTAAACATTCATCCAAATGTTCATCCATGGTTTTGTTTATATTTTTTTCGCAGCACGGACATTTCTGTTCATTGTGTGATTTACTTGTACCCGCTTCGACCTTTATATCTCTACTAGTCCCGGGTTCTATTTTAATTTGTATATCACTTTCATTTTTTATCGTTGATTTTTCATTTATTTGTCTACAAGTTGGATTTACATCATTTGTTTTAGAGACTTCTTTTTTTATCTCTTTAACAACATTATTGCTTATTTCACTAAATATCACAGGTTGGATATCATCTTTGGATATCTTTTCTATTAAATCTTTATTAAGGCACTCATCTAAATGTTGGTTAACTTGATTACTAGCAACTTTTTGGCTGCAAACAGGACAATCTACTAAGTCACTTTCAACTGCGACCACAGACAATCGTTTGTTTGAATTAACTTCCTTTATATCAAAATCCTGTCCATAGATATCTTTTAAAACATTTTGAGCATTCTTTTTGAAGTAATCATCAATTTTCTTAATTTTCATGGGTGGAGAATATTCATTTGGACTATTACTTTTATGCTTGTTACCACTAACTGAATTCTCATTCTTCCCACCTACTATACCTTTTCCTTTATTTTTTACTTCTTTTCTATCAGGTAACACAGAAGGTAACTCTTTATTTGCCCAAATACTTCTGACAGTTTCGGCAATATCCAGGAGTGTTGTGGTTTTACCACTTAAAGTATGCCCTGTTCCACTGAAGAGTTCAATTTGTTTGGTTGGTTTCGGGTTAAACACCACATTGTTCTTTTTGCTAACAACAATCGTCCCACCGCCATTACTCTTAGGTATTAAATTCTTTTGTACCATATTATTATCTTTTAATATTGGTTTGGGCAATTTATCACCTACGACACCCTTTATTTTATCTTTATTGTTGATGTACTTTGTGATATCTCCGTTATTGACTTTAGGGGCTGTCTTTTTCTTACCTTGATTCTCCGGTTCTTTAATCTTAATGAAGGTACCTCCACATTTTCTTAAATGATCATTCCACCAGTAATCTGAAGGTCCTGGAGCTCTGTTGTTAGTTCTTCGAACAATACCAAAGTGTGGTTTCCTTGATTGACATGGACCGTCGCATCTCCACCAGTGAGTTTGATAAAGTTTTACCTAAAATAAGATTTACAAAATATTACAATTCAATTAATCATAATTTTATGAAGTTTTTTCTAATTTTATTGCATATTAATATACTCGATATAAAATGAGTCGAAAAAGTAAAGAAAAATTTACCTCATCATGAAAATCATGATAGATACTGATATTAAGGCCGGCTGCACTGTTGATTCTATACATGTGTGACTTAAAATTGGGTCCATGACCATCTCTGTCCTGATCTTGACATGTGACAAACAGGTACGCATGAATCATTTCATGTAGAAGTGTCTCGATTAGATCCTTGCGAGGCCTCAACTTCAGCAGGGGTTCACTGAGAGCTATATCACAGAGTCCTCCCCTATCATACCTGAAGAGTTATATACCTAATAAAATATAGATAAGCATTTGTAACATTCTGAAGTACCTACTCATATAATATTATACATTTACGTTTCATTGCAAAATTGACAATTTTAGCCGTATGGAATTTGTGAACTTATATATTTTGTAAACAGTTTGATCTAATAATACGTACGAACATATCCCAGCACAAGAATACATTCGTTTACTCCACCGCACCACGGCTCTGCTTGCAAGTTTCGTGTAAAAGAATATTTTGTCGAATTGTATAAACAGCATATGAACATTGGGTGTCGGGTCTATCAGCTCCAATTCCGGGTCTGCTAAGTTCATTATTTCTTTCATTTCTTCTCATTTCATTAGTTTAATCTTTTCAAAAATCAAAACAAGTAAGAGCACTTTTTCAAATTGACGTTTACTTGATTGCTAGATGTCAAAATTTTATAAATATTTTAACAGCTGCCTTCAGTGTTTGCCATTGATTAATTTTTTACAACGAATAATTATCAGCTCTTTTCTTTCGAATGATTTGTTCTGCTAATGTATTCAGACCTATCCATATCTCTACTTTAAACCAAGATCAATCAATTTAACAAGGCCGTAAAATCAAACCCAATTTATATAATTATTTTTTTATCGAACAGAACATCAACAATTCACTGTCCATTTAAAAGGAAATTTCAAAAGTTTTATGAATATTAACGAAAGGCTACTGTTTAGCTTGAAACATAAGTATCTTTGGCTGCGAGATTATAAAACCTGTTAAAAATATTTAACAATGAAAATCAGGCTTAAAATATTCATCTGCAGAGTTCGAAACTTTATTTTTGGCAAAGCTTTTATGTGTCGGAGGCTTTAGCAGGCTTGTTTACATAATTATTATAAAGAAAATTGAAAACTGGCGTTGAACGTAGATGACGATGGTATTGATATTGTATTTAATTTGGTAGGCATGCGAGAAAAAAGTACAACCTGGTATTACAAAACTGACATGGACATCTACAATGTCTGATGCTTATATAGCTGATTGTGTAACTCAAATCGGTGAAGTATGTAATTTATAATACTGTTCTACAATTATTGACGAGTTGACAATTTTATAAATTCATATTTTTCCAGCTGCAAGACTTTCTCACCACTTATAAAAACTGCAATATAAATTTAGTGAAAATAATGGAGAAGATTTGCGACACACCTCTTATTGAATTTGATATCTACAATGTATTTGAGATAAGTTTTTTGCGTAAAACAATAAGAAATATGCAAGAAGTAGCCGCCGCTCGCATATTGGATATGTATAAAGAAATTATAACTTATGTGATTATTGTTTATGAAGGTTTCGAAGCATATATAACACAGGTGACGAAATACTATTAAAAACTGCTAAAATCTATATTTTTATATTGCTTGTATTTATCTTTTCTCTGTCTCTACATTGAACAAAGAAAAAATATTCGACTAAGTAATTGTGAAGTATAGAAATATATGTTATGATGACAGACTTGATTATTATATACTTAAAACGGATTAAAGTATATTTCTCCTGTTTATAGATGGCCGGGCATTGGATTAAATACGTTAAGAGATGGGATAGATTATTGGAGGACGCCCTCCGTTTATCGATAAAGGCCACGATGCAAAATATGTACAAGGCAGTTCACGGGGATGGTAATACCACTTTTGTTAACTGATTATGCCATAGCTTGAAATTATATATTAACATCACTATCCTTTTTTTTATTGATGTGACATGTTTAAGGTAGCTAGCTAATATAATTCTAAACTGGGATTGACATTCAAAGATAATTGGTTTTTATTATCTGGAATGAAATGTCATATGTTTAAATTCGTTATTAATAAACAAATAAACGAGAAACATTACGCGCAAACTATTACGTATTTCGAAATTACAGACTCTCACTTCTCTGTTACGTATTTTATTAGTATGTAAGAGTTATACAAAAACGTACAACAGGATTATTTTGTATAGACACAGTATTATACGGTTACTTATAAGGTTGAAGTTTTTACAGAAATATAATTATGTTGCAGGTACAATGGCACCTGCACCTTTGATTAAAATGAACTTATATTTGTCTAGTATCAATACAATAGTCTATATACCCAGTCGTGACGAACTCGTTGACACGTTCACTACTATCCTTGAGGAAATTATCCATCTCATTGGAACAGTTCCAAGATTGTATGAAAAGTTCGGTCTGCCCGCTGGCGGGCTTAAGAAGTTTAAAGAAGTCATACTAACAGACGCAGACAGCAACAAATTACAATCACTTATAGACGCTGGTATATATTTTTATTTCATACTTTCCGCCCGCAGCTTCGCCCCTTGGAGTTCGGTTATATCGCGTTTCCAAAAGAACCATTCAAAAGTCTGGGATAAAAACTAGCCTACGTTCTTTCTCAAGGTCAACTCTATCTCTGTATCAAATTTCATTAAAATCAGTTCAGTGGTTTAGACGTGAAAGCGTAACACACAGACAGACAGAGTTCCTTTCGCTTTTATAATATTAGTAGGGATACCCTCAATTCTTACTGGATTTCTGTATTAGAATATAAATTTTGTTGTAGAAATTGATTACAATATTACTCTAATAAACGATCACATACGCATGTGGGATCCTTACTCTCATATATGGAAAATAAACAAAGACGAATTCATGATTAAATATCGAAACGAAATGCACACGGCGGCTGATTTTGACGCCTTGATCATCAACTACAGTGATTTGGCCAACGCCGTTCAAATACAGGAAACTACAAACCAGGTCTGTATTTAATACCCAATACAAAAACGGATAGATGTACTTATATTATGAGATTTGAGATTTTCGCGAGCTTTATTCATTTAAATGAAATATGCTGAAAAGTAGCCGAAACATGGGGACTATGTAGTTTAAAAAAAATGTAGCGTAGTATAATCTAAAAAATATTAGTTTCATTTAAACGGATGGATATTTGTCAACTAAGTATGTTCTTTTTAGATACATTTCGTAACACTTAACTCTAGTGAACTTAAAAAATCAATCATTGCTCATTGCCTTGTTTGGCAAACTAAATTGGGAGAATTGCTCAGGAAAATTACGGAAGCTGATATTGACGTCGTTTATAGTTACACGGAGCAAAGCAGCACTGACGCTATGACTGTAAGATGTCGTTATAATATTTTTAATTAATTTTGTTTTGGTTCTTTAAATTATAGTCGACATCTTATTCATTACCTAGATGCCGTCGGATTTGAAAGAGTTGGCTTCGGCCATGGCCACGTATGAGCGTTTGGTATCAGAGATTCCGACTATTGAGAAAACTTTCCCGCCAATAACCGAAAAAATGACGACTTTAGGTTAGAAGAAGTAATTTTTGTAAGAAATACATCTTGTTTTAAATATGATGCTCATTCAGCTTTGTTTTAGCCAAATTTGAGGTGGAACTGAGTTCAGATATGACAACTCGACATGAAAATATTCCTGTGATGTGGGCTGAATATTTGGCACTCTTGGAAGAAGCTAAAAAAGCTTTGGAGTTAAATAAGGATAAGTTTAAAACTGAACTACTCGTACAAGCTGAGGTTAGAACACTATCTACACAATAAATAGTAATATTGCTTACCACGTTAATTTTGCCTTCCTATTGTAACTTTGTCGCTAATTTAGGAATTCAAAGAGGCGGCCAAAGATTTTTGTGAAGATTTTTACAAAACTGCTCCCTGCAGTTCCGATGTAACTGGCAAAGATGCCCTGTCCCAACTCAAAGCTTACAGAGACCATCTCAATGCACTTAGAGCACAAGAGCAACAGATCAGAGATGGACTTGCAGTTTTTAATTTGACGTAATTCATATGTATAGACGTTTAGTAGCGATTATAAAGCATTAAAAACGATTAGTTAAAAGTTTCATCTCGTAGTTGTACTTGCCATTATTGTGTTTACTTGATTCTACAACGATAATTATATTTGGTTTATGTTTTTCTGTTAGATGTGAGGAGTAGTTTTGCTTAAATTTCTTCCGTCTATTAAAGTAATAACAAATTTTAAATCCGTGATTATAGGACGCCGGTGAACCTCGACCTACAAAAGATGGAAAAGGAACTGGAAAAATTGGAGGAAGTTTGGGGACTAGTGTTCCAATGGGAAGAGTCTTGGGAGAAATATAAAACACAAACATTTTGGGAAATGGAGACAGACGAAATGGAAGACAACGTCATGTTCCTTTTCAGGTTAATTCAGGACCAAAATTTTGTCAACGTGGCAATAATATTCCACGCATTGTAATATATGTCTTATATTTTATAGAAACTTTAATCGCCTCTCACGCCAGCTGAAAGACAAGGGCTGGGATATCATTGATACTACTAGGGTGAAGGTTGATGCATTTAGACGCACGTTACCTTTGATTAATGATCTCAAAAACCCTTGTATGAGGGAGAGACATTGGGACAGAATAAAAACTCTAATGGGAGTGTAAGTAACATTATTTATAGTACTAAGAATATGTCATTACTATTTTTATTTCTTCACTGTGTTTTAATAATGTAAAATGTATATAGATAAAAGTAAATAAAATTGGACTTTCCTCGTTAAGTTCGTTTCTATTTATATACCTAAAAAAATTATAGAGAATTTGACCAAAACTCTGAAGATTTCAAACTTGAATTGATAATGAGACTCAATTTCCAAGCATACGCTGAAGATATCGCTGAAATATCTAACGCTGCGACGATGGAGTTGAATATTGAGAATGGTCTTAAAAGTATTCGCGAGATTTGGAAATCTACCACCTATGAAATGCAACATCATAGGGGTGAAATGTATAGAATAAAAAATGTAGAAGATGTTATGCAGGTATATGCCTAAATAATATAAGATAGAAGAGCTTGACCAGTGGAGATGAGTGTTTAACGCGCATTTGATAGGGCCCATTTAAGCTGACACTGTTGAAGCTCCTCTCCGTGCAACGCGATTCTTTTTCTTTCTTTATTAAATTAGTTTTTCTTTATTAAAATAGTTTTTGGAAGACCATCAAGTTCAGTTATCTTCTATGAAATCAACAAAGTATGTGGAACCATTTATCAAAGAAGTTGATTATTGGGAGAAATCATTGGGATATCTAGCAGAATGTATAGAGGTATAATTTTAAATATAATACAGTCGAAGCGATACAAAGTAATTAGTGGTTTTTGATTTTATTATTGGTCTCGTAGATTGCTTTACAAGTACAGCGTCGTTATTTATATCTCGAGAGTATATTTAGTGGAGAAGACATTAGAAAACAACTACCAAACGAGGTTCTGATATTTGATGCGCTAACAGCTGACTGGACAGAAATAACTAGCAAGTTTGTATATTTAATTTATGTCTTCTGTTCCGTATTGTTTGTTATATAAATGTAAATAAGTACTTTAATTGGAAATATGATTAAAGCGTTCATAAAATATTTTGTCAATAGCATGTACGCTGGGAAAAATGCCATTGAAGCATGTCTTTACAAGCCGGCACCATATTTGTTTAATAAGCTCAATACAATGGTTGATAATTTAGATGGTATTCTAAGAGCTCTTGAAAAGTATCTCGAAACCAAGAGACAGCTTTTCCCAAGATTTTATTTTATTTCAAATGATGATCTGCTCGAGATATTAGGAAATTCAAAAAAGCCACAATTAATTCAAGTTCATTTGAAGAAGCTTTTTGATAATGTTAATAAAATTAGAATTGACAAGGTAAGCAATTACGATTTTTGTTTCCAGTATTTATACATATATTAAGTACTCGATTGGTTTCATCTGCATTAATGTAATAAAATAGTAAATCATTAAACGATACGTTCTCATGAATTAGAAATGTAATATAATTATTATGGCAACAACAATAGTGCCGCCTTCAGTTGTCAAATTTGAATTTTCTTCTATTATGTCAAAAGTTTTACAAAACGCGGTGCTGGGTGCATGAATTATGATAAACAAAAGTATAGAATACTAGATTGTCGTGAATTAAAAATTAGGTGATAATTTAAAAATACATCATTTTACACAAGTTAAAATGGCTGAAGAGAACATAGTCAATTGCCATTACGTACCAAAAAGTAGTTTGGTGAGTAACTTTTTATTACTATTTAAGTAACTTTTATTCTAACAAAAATATTAATATCTTCGGAATACCTTGATACATTAATTAATTCTGGGTTTCTTGCCAATAAATGACTATTATTGCAGAAGAAGGTATTAGATTTGATGGAAACACCATGCAGAGTTCAAGATAAAAGATGTAAAAGGAACCTTGTGGACTTACAAACATGCAAAAGTTTATATGAAACGGATTTACGAAGAAAAAACTGGAGGAATGCGTACCAGATGGCTTTGAGGCGAGCGATTTACTCACACAACTGGAACCAACTTTTGTATCTATTGAAGAAATCTCCAATATGGGAACATGCTACTGAAAAGGCTGATGAATATCCTATTTATATAAGGGTATGTTCACACTGTTCATGTTTGAAATGTTTTAACTACTAATTCTGTTGGATTCTATGTCACTTAGCTGCATAGCCTTAAATTTAAGAATAATGAAAATTATGTATAGTGATAATAAACGTTAATCAATAGTTTACAAACACATCTAGATTTTTAATATTTTTTACTTACAGGCTCTTACAATACTTCTCATGAACCATCCAAGTGCAAAATCTCAGTCTTTACTAAATGACTACTTACACATGGTCCTATCCTGTCGCTCGGAACAAGATAAAAAAGCAATTTATAAGGCTTTACTCTCACTTACAGAGAAAATCTATGGAAGAAATAATGATTGAAACTATTAAGGTTTTTAAATCATTATGAAATTAAGTTATACCACGAGAAAAGACTACACATATAGCTTGTTTTTTTAAAAAGCTATGGATTAGTATAAGCTAATAATAATATATTTAATAATGTAATTTTACAGTTGTTTTTATTATGATAACAAATTAATAAAAGTTTATACAACAAATATTAGTTTTATTTCTAATGAAAATACTATTTTAATAGTTTAGATGGACAATTTTTTTGTAAATATCTTAATTGATGTATTTTTAAATCAGAATGCTCTTGGTCTGCCAGTCGCAAAAGCGATGATGTCGGAAGATGGTGAATGCATTGAGTGGAAATACAATCTGGTATTGGACGGCCCCGCTGAAGTCTGGCTATTGGGTTTGGAACATACCATGAGGGTTGTGCTAAGAGAGGTACAATAAGATTACACAGACAAGATTTTTGCCAAATATTTGCTAGAGAGATCATTATCAAATTTATTACTTAGTTACTGTAGTTTTCTTAGTGTACTTAGTGTAGTTATGGGGTAGTAGTAAAGAATATTTTTGTTTTTTCAGCAATTGATTCTAACTCGTGCTGCTCTAAGGAAGTGTCGTTATCAGCGAGAACAGTGGATCAATGATTGGCCGGGACAACTCGGTATCACTTGTAGCAAGGTATTCGGGCATTGAAAATCTAGCTAGCTTAATTAATTTTTACATTATTATAGTTGTGTAATGGTTTTTGGTAATTGTACATACTAATAAAATATAATATTCGTGAGTTTTATGTACATTTTCTTATGTTGAAATCTAAATGTAAAGATTCAGTGGACTTCCGACTGCACAAGAACGCTCTGCCGCTGCGAAATAATGAAAGAGAAGAAACCTTTAAAGAAACTGAGGAAGAAACAAAATCAGATTCTGACGACGCTACAGAACATGTCCAGGAAGGAAATATCTAAAATACTGCGCTGCAAAGTGAACGCCCTGTGTGTTATTGAAATACATTCTAGAGATACCGTGGATAGAATGTACAAGATGGGTTAGTTGGGACCTTAAACGTTATTTTTACTGCAATTATAATATTTTTGGTTGTACTTAGTGTCTTTGGACTGATTTTACTTTAATTTCTTAATTTTGGTCTTATAAATATTGTTAGGATTTCTCGTTGATAAGGATTTTCATAAAATCCTTATCAACGAGAAATCTGCTCCTTTTTAATAGAAAATATTTATTGTATAGACTACTTTGAGATGATCATTATGAAAATTATTACCTTATCCCATTAGGGGCCATCCATAAAGTACGTCACACGTAAAGTGGGGGGGAAGGGGGTCGACAAAGTGTGACATGGTGTGACAAGGGGTGGGAGGGGTCCTAAGTTTCGTGACATCACATTTCTAAATCTACTATTAATTTCAGCTATACAACATTTAAAGATTTTCATTTGGATGCTGTTTACATTGCCACAAATGCCCCAGGAAGAAGTGCTTTAACAGAGTAGAACGACGAATGGCACCTCTTAGTCGTAAACTTACTGGTGTTGTATTTAAACACGATAATTTCGGTTCACATCTCGATTCCAGTAATAAAACTACTGACCTGGACTTGGAAAACGAAACTTTGAGAGTGCAGGCACAGTACTGAGTATGACTGTGAGTTGTGACTGCCATGCCAGTTATAAATAATTTAAAAGACTGGGTTCAAAGTCCATGGACTGAAGATGATTGAGTTTCTTTTTCTTTATATTCATTAGTTTATTTTTTTATTATTGTTTCAAATAATTGATATTTTGTTGTTTTCATAAAAAAATACTCAATTTAAATGGAAATAATACTAATTTCGGAACTGCTGCTTTAATTTAATAATTTTTCGATGTTAAATTGCAAAACATGTGACGTCACACTAGGGAGGGGGGGTCTCAGAAATGTGACCACTTGTGACAAGGACGGGGGAGGGCTCAAAAACTCATGAAATTAGTGTGACGTATTTTATGGATGGCCCCTTAAAGAGAAGGAAGATTTTTGTTTCTTTTTTTTATGACAAATATTAATGTAATATTTTCATCTTATACCTATTAATAGCGTTATATCTATGTTATACGACATTTCAAAAATATTTTAGGTTGCATGACTGTGAGTACATTCGAGTGGTTCTCGCAGCTCAAGTTTTACTGGGACCGCGAGCGAGAGGATTGCTACATTCGTCAAACGAATACAAACTCCATATACACTTACGAGTATATTGGCAATTCTGGAAGACTTGTCATCACGCCACTTACTGATAGGTACAACGTCAATAGGCATATATTTGAAATGATGTGAAATTGTTCGTTTCAAGAGCACTTTTATCCTCAAACCTATTCTTCCATAGATGTTATATAACGCTCACCACAGCCCTGAATCTGTTCCGTGGGGGCAGTCCTCAGGGGCCGGCGGGGACGGGAAAGACCGAGACCACAAAAGATCTTGGCAGAGCGCTGGCTAGATGGGTCGTGGTCACTAATTGTTCCGATGGACTAGACTATAAGTCTATGGCGAAGTGTTTTGCAGGTTTAACTCGATTATTGGAGCGTTATATTAAAAATATATTATGATGAACCATCTGCATACTAATAAAAAGCTCGTGAAATGAAATATTTTAATAGAATTTTCAAGGTACTTATATTATTCTTTGAATACTCCATGTACAGGCATAGCTCAGTCTGGTTGTTGGGGCTGTTTCGACGAGTTCAATCGTATCAACATCGAGGTGCTGTCAGTGGTGGCGCAGCAGATCCTGGCTGTTCTGTTGGCGCTGTCCTTGAACATGAAGCGGTTCGTGTTTGAAGGAGCGGACATCAAGTTAGATTCAAACTGCGGGATATTCATAACTATGAATCCAGGGTAGGTTTTACTTTTATTGTACTCAACACTAATTTTCTATTAAATACCCCAAGTATTCGACTGTACTCCATTTAACAATTAATTAACGAATTACCTAGCTTGCGTTATACTTGGTTGGTAGTTTATTTTCGATTGTTCCATTGCTGAGTGACCTTTCACCAAAATGAATGCAAACCTTCTGTAACATTAAAATTATTATTTAAGTTTTGATTATATTTTTGTACTTTATACATAGTTACGCTGGAAGAACAGAATTACCGGACAACCTCAAGTCGATGTTCCGACCTATCGCCATGTGTGTGCCCGACTCGCTTATTATTGCTGAAAACACGTTATTCTCTGATGGCTTTACCGCTTACAAGATTAATGCTAAAAAGGTACAAAATCTCGATTTATTCTTATCTGTAGTACAGTTTGTATGCATTAAGTTGATTGGCTATTGTTTGATGTTCAATTAATTTAAATTCCAGGTGTTCACTCTGTACCAATTGGCGATGCAGCAGTTGTCGAAGCAAGAGCATTACGATTTCGGCTTGAGGTCCATGGTTGCCCTGCTGCGGTATGCTGGAGTCAAGAGGAGGGCGTATCCAAACTTACCAGAACAAGAGGTAAGAATTCTTAGCCAAAAAAATAATCAAAATAATGAAACGAGCATAGTATATCACTTGTTACAGTATTATTTTGGCATTTACGTATATAATGAACTAGCTGATACCGTTGGCTTTTTCATATATTTACAAGATTTATTTTAATTACTGAACACATGTTATTGAAATCATGTTTGTAAAAAAAATGTATTTTAAAATTTGGTATATAGGGTAAGACCACCTATTGTTGGCACTCCACCAATTTATTGGCACGTTGTAGTTATTTATCAATAATAAGGTTACCAGTATCCAAATACAGATTTTTTTTTCGTGTAATAAATAGTAGGTTTAACGTTCTATAATACTGGCACCACAGAAATCGTTCCTTTTTAAAATGTGGCGTCGCAGTGAACACCTCTTGGTCGTGCTCGGAGATGAATAAAAAAACTAACAAAACTTTGTGCTTTTTCTAAGGTAAGAGGTTCACTAATCTCAATAATTTTCGCAAGTCTTTTGAGTGTTGGTTACAGATACTGTTAAATTGGATTATTTAAATGTTTTTCTAGCATTTTCAATCATGATTTTTAATGTCGAGACTCATTTTGCATATTTTTTTACGGTGCCAACATTTGGTACACATAATATGAGTAAAACCATTTATTGGCACACGTGCCAATATTAGGTAAATAAGAAAAAATACCTTTTATGGCAAAATATACTTTATATTTATTATCGTTCGATTCAGACTTCTAATAAATACATATCACAAGTTAAGAACATATTCTTTCAAATTTTGGCCCACTGCCAATGGTATGAAAAACCATTTATTAGCAGTAGTGTCAATAATTAGTATTTGGGGTGCCAATAATAATTTAAAAAAATATTTTCAGTTATCTTCAAAATGAAGCCTCGTACAAAAAAACAATAAAAAAGTGAAGATTGATAAAATAAAGCGGAAGGCCTATTCAGATGAAAATTTACAAAAAGCCCTTGCAGAAATTTCTAAAGGCATGAGTAAAAAACTTGCTGCCAAAACCTTCCAAGTACCGCGTTCTACCATACAATTCCGGTTAAAAAATCCAGAGCATGGCTGTAAACCAGGCCCACCCACGAGGAAGAAGAGGCTTTAGTGACTTGGATCAAAGTCAGTAGTAGAAAAGGTTTCCCAAAGAGAAAAGAGGATTTGATCAAAAGCGTTTCGGAATTTCTAAAAAAAACTAATCGGACGTCCACTTTTAAAAATGGCGAGAAATGGTTTAAGTTATTTCTAGCCAGACATCCTAGTCTTGCTTTCCGCACTCCTGAAGCAGTTACAGCTGCCAGCTCGACAGTGTCAGAAAATGATGTTAGGGGATGGTTTCGGCAAATCAATGACTACTTTGTTGAAAATAATTTGCTTCATATACTTTCTGACCCAGCGCGTGTATTAAATGGAGATGAAACCAATTTTGTGCTGTGCCCAAAAACAGGTCTAGTTTTAAGTTTAAAAGGAGAGAAAAATGTTTATGAAGTTGATCACGCCCAGACAAAAACTTCGTTGACTGTAATGTTTACTTTTAGTGCAGACGGGAATCTTACCCCGCCAATGGTCATTTTTCCAAATAAAAGATTACCTGCAGAAATAACTTCTAAAATTAAATTTCTAAAGAATTAAAACAGAGAAAGCAGAAGGTATCAAGAAAAGAAAAGAAGAAAGGGAGAGAAAGAAATTAGAAAAAGAGAAACAACCGGCGCCAAAGAAACAAAACAAAAACAGGCCTAAAGACGAAATATCGAAAATACTATTTTCTGAGAAATTTTATAAGTTTGATACTGAAGACATTGTCGAAAATAAAGAAAATGATCGGGAGTTAATTGATATAAATAGAATGCAAGGAAGCAGTCATAATAAAGCTTACACCACGGACGAAATAGAAAAAATGTTGACTGAATTAGATGATGATGATTAATATATACCTAGTCGTAGATAAGTACACAAAGATCTCAAAATGTTGATTTATTTAGATGATTATTAAGCACATATTATATAAATAAAACTATTTCAGTTGATTACAATGTAGGGTAGCTAGAAATGTTTGTTTCGTTGATGTTTTTTAAAATTTTAATGAGAAAAAAGTTCCTGATCTAAGTTCCTGTTCTTTTATAGAAATATATTATATTTTTCATTATTATTTCAGTGTTTTTTTGTTCCTAAATGTCTGAATTAAGTAAAATACAAGACGTGCCAATAATGGGTTATGATTACTGCGAATAAAGGGATTTTCTGTGCCAAAGACTGGTCTTTATACTCAACAGCATTTAATTTAAAAAAATGTTCAATTATATTGCTTAATCTAAAATAAAGTGTATTGGAAAACGATTTCTAGTGATGTTAAAAGCGTTTAAATCCTTTTTCATTGTTTAAATTTATATTACATGAGGTATATTCATAGTTTTCATGAGAAAGCCACTTAAAGTGCCAATAAATGGGTGTCTTACCCTAAATACATATAATAAATAAATACAGTGTTAGTGTCCACAACAAAATACTTAATCTATCAAGCAGTTAGTATCGTGATTCATTCACGGTGCTATAGTTACGACCTCTATAATTTTTAATAAAAAAAAATCACAGCATACACAATTAAATACGCTTGCTAAACGTATATATCTAAATAAACAGGTAAATAATAATATATAATAATATTATTATAAATTTACATCAAGGTCATCGATTGAGAGAAAACTCATTTTAATTTCTAATATAATACGAAGATTTATCTTTAAGATCGCGTATTCATTTTATTGATAAGAAGAAATATTTAGGGAGTCATTCATCGAAATTTAAATACTTTAGTTAAAGATGCACTTTATAATGGCTTAACAGATGGTAATACTCGCTATGCGTGACATGAACGTGGCCCGCCTCACCGCCAAGGACGTGCCTCTGTTCGACGGCATCATGAGGGACATCTTCCCCGACGTGGAGATACCTACCCTGGACTACGAGATGCTGGAGACGGCCATCTCCGCCGAGATGAGGGCGTTGACCTTACAGCCGGTCCGGGCCGCGCTGCATAAAGTTATACAGACTTATGAGACTAAGGTGGGGCTACTTAGGGATTATTATTATATAGTTAAAGAATATTTAGACACCAGTGATAGACGTTGAAGGAAAACATCGTGAGGGAACCTGGACTTATAATTTTAAATTATGTATAAGTTTGGAATCGCCAACCCGTCTTGAGCAAGCGTGGTGATTAATGCTCAAATCTTCTCCATGTGAGAAGAGGCCTCTGCTCAGCAGTGGGCTCTGATAGGATGACGATATGTTAGTTTAAGGACAAAGGTTTATAAGAATGTTTAGAATTTCTTTTTATTCAATTATTGTAAATTAGCGCTGTTAATTCCAGAATTCCCGCCACTCGAGTATATTGCTGGGCGATACGAACACAGCGAAGAGCGTTTCCTGGAAGATGCTGGCTGCAACCCTTAGCCGCCTGCATCGGGAGAAGGTGCCGGGCTTCGAGAACGTTCAAGTCCACCCCATGAACCCTAAGGCTTTGACTTTGGGAGAGTTGTATGGGGAGTACAACCTGGCTACAGGAGAATGGAAGGATGGAGTGCTGTCTTCTATCATGAGAACTACTTGCCAAGGTTTGATACTCAGAAGTTCCCTTATAATAGGAATAAACCAAGATCTTAGATCTTCAGAAGTTATATAGGAACAGATTGTGGCATTTGATGATTTACAAGTGCTATTTAGAAGATCAACTAAATCAATGTCATATTAATAAAATAATAACTATATATTGTATATATTTTGATAAATAACTGACTATGTTTCAGTGAATTTTTGATTTAGTAGATTCCTATAGTTTCCATACTATTAGCCAGTCGAAATCATTGGTGGTAGTGATTATTTTATGAGTTATTAAAGCTATATATTTTGATTGTCTTCCAGATGAGTCTCCGGATCTAAAGTGGATCATCTTCGACGGTCCGGTGGACGCGATCTGGATTGAAAACCTAAACTCAGTGATGGATGACAATAAACTGTTGACGCTCGTCAATAGCGAACGAATATCGATGCCTTCACAGGTGAGGATATGGTCGAAACAATTTGATCTAATGACTTATATAATAAATAATACTAGATTCATATACGATCCGTATTCAAGGGAGAATAAAGGATTTTTGTTGGGAAAAAGGTCCTTTTTAGGAAGTTTTAATTATTACTCGCTCATTTCAGTTACTTGTAAATATGTTCACGGCAAGTAAAAATGAAACTGTTTGCAGCTTCCCCAGAAGCTACGTTTTTTGATTTTATTACCCTTAAATATTTCTTATAATCCTCTGATTTAAGAATAAGAATAAATTAACACAAAAATTATATCTTACTAGCTTTCCGCCCTCAGCTTCGCCCGCGTGGAGTTCGGTTATATCGCGTTTCCAAGAGGACCTTTTAAAAGTCTGGGATAAAAACTATCCTATGTTCTTTCTCAAGGTCAACTCTGTACCAAATTTCATTAAAATCAGTTCAATGGTTTAGGCGTGAAAGCGTAACAGACATACAGACAGAGTTACTTTCGAATTTATAATATTAGTAGGGATTTATAGTAAAACACCAAAGGTGTCTTCGCTATTCTGATTATTATCATAACCTTACTACTCCTCAGTCTAGCACTAGTCTAGCAGTCCGCAGTCCTCAGTCTAGCAGTCTAGTATTTTGTTTCCAGGTGTCCCTGTTGATCGAGACCCTGGACCTGGCGGTGGCTTCCCCGGCCACGGTGTCCCGTAACGGCATCGTGTACAACGACTACAAGGACTGGGGCTGGTGGCCCTTCGTCAACTCCTGGCTGGAGTCCGTCTCTGATATAGAGTATAGAGAGAACGTATGTTATATACACAGTAGATAGACTCAAATACCTAAGTTGAATACGATGAGTCCTTCTAATAGATATTATTGAGACTGAAAACTGTATTTTCGTTGGACCAAATTTTAAATGAAACTAATGTTTTCGGATTTTACTTTGCGTTTTTATTTTTGATTACAAACTACATACTCCCGACGTTTCGGCTAGTTTTCAGCAACCGTGATCACGGGCAGACGAGATGTGAGATGTGACTCACAATATTAGTTTCATTTAAATGAGTACTCGCGAAAATCTTAGATCTCATTATGGACGAAATTTTGTTATCAAAAAAAATTTGGTTGAATTCCACGAATAATAAAGACGTTTATGCTGTTTTATTCTTTTTTCACTAAAAGACATTTCTTTCAAATTATTTTCGGTATGGAATCTTTTAACAAAAAAAAAACTATGTAAAGCAAAATGTATTAAACTATTTCATTAGTCTTAGACTAGACTACAGCATTAAAAAACTATAACGGGTAAAATTTGTATTTATTTATATAATTAATTATATATATGTTTATTTGCAGCTCTCACCTAAACTAATAATCATTCAACAACTACCTGTTTTCATATTTTTCATTTCCTTTCAGCTCCGTCACCACTTCCAGAACATTTTGACCCCAGTGTTGGAGTTGAAGCGGCTTCACCTGGTCGAAGGTCAAAGTGTTCGTGGCCAGGAACTGACAGGCGTGAGGTCTCTCTGCCGTTTACTGGACCCTCTGCCCGCGCCGGCTCCTCCCCTGCCCGACCAGGACGACAATGAGACCTTCTCCAAGATGAGGTTCTTGTTTGCGTGAGTGTTCCAACATTGTGGTTAAACTTTATTTCCTCATAAAGAACATACAATGTTCACTTAAATGAGATATATTACATACTTTTATTTGAGAAAATGAAAAAAAAAAACTTTATTACCAGCAATAACTCAATGTTAACAGGGAACAAAATTACAAACATAATATTTTGCTAAAGTGAACACATGGCGCGATTTCCAGGGGCGTCCACACTAAGCGAGCTTGTGTCGTGGATGCCTTAAATAACTTATGCCTTAATTAACAATTATTTAGTATAGTAGTAACGACATAAACAATTCAAGAGTAGTTAATCTAAGTGCCTTTTACAATAACTTAATAATTTCTTTCTAAAAGTCGTAAAGGTCTTTTCATTAAAAATTTCATTAGATAAGCTATTGTATAGTTTCGCTTCCTCAAACTGCAAACATTAAGTATTAAATTTAAATGAAAATAATATTTTTCGGATGTACTACGCGATTTTACTTTTGGTAAAAAATTACATACTCCCGAAGTTTCGGCTACTTTACAGCAACCGTGATCATTAAGACGAGATGTAATGATTATGTATAAAAGTTTTAAGTGTTTCATAGTAGATATACTTGTGAGATTAATACTTTAATAGGCAATGTTACTTTGTATTTTTATTTTACGTTATATCCCAGATTACATTTAAAAGAGTTTCTCGTTATATCAACTATACAGGGTGACTGGTGAATTACTATCAATATTTAAGGACGTGGTAGTTGACGATCATATATGACAAAATAAAAATTAATATAACATAAATATTAATAAACTTCTAAGTAAAGTTAACCAAAAGTTATGTAATTAATTACGGATCGCGTGGATACCCTAGCTGCGTTATCGACACAAAACAGTTATGTACGTAGGTATATGTAGTTATCGCGCGGTAGTTTACCTACATCCAAACGCCGCGCGCCGCTGCGTGTTAGACCTTAGATAAACAAAAATAATCCAATTCCCTTCATACTTTAATCCTGGCTTAGGACAGGCAAAAATACCAAGATATTTCTTTCGTTTAAGCAACCAATTTATTGACTAGGTAAATGGTGTGACCTTGACACGAAAAATAATATGAACTGTTTACCTATCTTGGTATTTCCGGCGTATTTAAAAATGGAATCATTCTTATTTACAACAATTGTCAATCATTAAACTACCTATTTACCTACATAACTACACTAACCTTAACAAATGTTCAAAGCGAGCTCCTTCTCGTGTGATACACAGTTCGGCACGTTTACACATATTGTCTTTCACACGATTTAATACGAATGGGTCACTTTTAATAGTTTCGAAAGCACTATTGATTTTTAATTTCAACTCCTCTCTGTTGACATACATTGTAGCATACACAAGACGTTTCCTTGGGCATGTGTTGGAACACGGAACTGTCCGAAGTCTCGTAATCTTTGATTAGCGTTTAAGATGACGCTGGCCGTAGGTACTCGACGATTGGGGAACATCTCCCGGTACAAATTGATTGCGCCCGGCAAGCTTTCATTTGCACGCGCATACGCATGAACCATGTCCCAGTATTCTGCATTTGTGTATTGAAAAGCCATATTTAATTACTAATAAGTAATAACGGGTCACACGCACACACGACGGATTATTATTAGGTATACGCGTAAGATCGATCGCTAGGCGCGCGCGCGGGAAGACGAACGTACGGACCTTACGGCGGCGCTCGCGCGACTAATAGCCGACTAATGGCCCGCTAGCCACGGGGCGGGGGTTGGGGAGTAGCGACACACTGGCGCCGGCAAGGCTGAGTACGTGTCCAAACTTTATTTATTTATACGGAAATTTGGTCAAAAATTAAGTACCTATTTTTTTTACATAATTCGAATGAGAATCATGTACCGAGTATGCTCCTTAAATATTGATAGTAATTCACCAGTCACCCTGTATATTAGTCTAAAATACAATTCTTCAAACAATATTTTTCATAAATTTGTTTTCCTAGAAAAATTATACATTCTCTTTGATTCATTACTTTGAATTAAAAGGAGATTCCGCAAAACCGCAAAGAACTGTATTCGTTTCACATAATATTTTTTTCCATCTCTTTATTGATATTTAAGTGAATTTCCAACTTTCAGCATGATTTGGTCCGTATGCGCTACTCTAGAGGAAGAATCTCGTAGGAAGTTAGACAACTGGATCCGGGAGCATGAGGGAGTGTTCCCTCTCAAAGACACCGTGTACGATTACTTTGTTGACGAAAGACTCAGGCAGTTCAAGTCTTGGGAGGAAAAGTTACCGGATAATTGGAAATATAACCCAGCGTATGTTCTATTTGTCTTCATACTAACATTTTGATTAAGTTAAACGGTTTTTTTTACGAATGTACAAGTATGTATTGTTATTAGTAATATAAGAACTACTTCTTCTAGGTACTATGTACAGCTTAACTTATGATATAAAAAAAATCTTAATAATTACGACCAAAACTCAAGGCTCTATCAAATACATTATTCCAAGATAGAGGTATAAAACATTAATATTGGCTTCAATCTCTTTTTCAGGTTGGGTTTCCACACGATCTTGGTGCCGACTGTAGAATTGGTTCGTGTGCAGAGTGTTGCTCTGGAGACATTGAAGGCTGGTCATGGTGTGTTAGTGGGCGGACCCAGCGGGACTGGGAAGACTTTTCTGGTGCAAGGAACATTAGCTGGACTTGATCCTATCAAGTATATTATGTCTTATCTCGAAATAGATCTTCTTCTATCTGGCAATTTCCCAGCTTTAGCCAGGGTATGCCTTACATGTTGTGAATAGTTTTGGCTAATTGTTTTTACGACCGGCCGCCTGCCTGACATCAACCCAAACCATAACAACCATATCTCGAACTAGATCTTATGATAAAAATGTTAATAAGATTATATTCCATAAATTTAAACGGCTATATCTTGAGGAATTTTATAATAATATTTGTGCCTGTATATGTCAATGGTTATGACATTACTGTGACTTTACTACTGTATTGTACGGCATAACATTTCTTTAGTAACAAATATATATTGTATATAAATACATGGATATTATATTTGTTTTCCAGATATAGCACGCAGGTTATAAACATGTCGGCTCAAACGACTGCAGCTAATGTTCAAGACATCATAGAGGCCAGGCTCGAGAAGAGAACTAAGGGCAACTATGTACCGGCGGGAGGTGACAAGCAATACAATATATTACAATATAATTTTTGCTACAAATAATTAAAGCAAAAACAGATTTATGGCTATTTTACACTTTTGTAGGCCTAGGAACATGAATTTATGACTAATTGATGATTTAATCTCTACAAAGTATTATTTTAACTTAGTTTTTACTTCATTACCACTATTATCATGAAATATTATTTATAAATACTCAAAATTGTTTAGTTTAGATAGTTTACTTATGTTATTATCTTTATTTTAAATGATTGTTGTTTGTTATTTAATTAGCTTCTTTTCCTTCTGTTTGTTGTCGCTTAACTTTTATTTTGTGCATGCTGTTATCACCTATACGTAAGATACCACTAGTCTTATTTTTCATTCATGTATCTGGAATGTTTTTAGTGTGTATTTTGTTGGTGATCTAATAAATATCTTCATCATTAAGTTAATAATGCGCTAAAAACTTGTAGGTAAGAAGATGATAGCCTTCATGGACGATATCAACATGCCGGTTCGTGACGACTACGGCTCACAGCCGCCGCTGGAACTGGTGCGGCTCTGGTACGACTACGGATACTGGTTTGATAGGCAGAAGCAGTGGAGGAAGAACGTCAGGGTATGTGGTCATATGTGTACATAAATAATAAGAAATGTGGGGGGCTTTGCTTTAGAACTAGCAGTTTAGGAAGTTTTTTAGTTGTTTTTATATTGATGAAATGGAATATTTGTGATTGCTGGAGGAAAATGAGTTTTAAGTTTTCTTGCCGTGAAAGGAATTGGCTGTGGTAGGACAATATAACTCTTCGATGACCGTGGTGTTTATATTTAAATAAAACATATTTGACATGCAAAAATTAGACCGTGGTTCAATTAGTATTTTTTAATAAGTATGTTATTTACGTCTCCAGGACATGGTGTTGTGTGGTGCCGCCGGTCCCCCGGGTGGTGCTCGCTCCCCCCTCCCCCCACGTCTGCTATCCTGCTTCCACTCATTCTTCCTTCCTTCTCCCACACAACAACAACTCGTGCGCATCTTCGGTACCATGCTGTCACAGCATTTGCAGGACTTTGATGAGGAAACAAAGACCGTTGGTAAGCTTATCTTTATATTATGCCAAACAAATATTTTTTTACTTGTGGAACTGAGCGAGTAATTCTGTTATTTTGTTTAAGGAAAAATTGTATTGATGGCGACTATAGACATGTTCAACAATATAGCAGCTAAGTTGTTGCCAACTCCCAGCAAGATGCATTATCTTTTTAACTTGAGAGATATATCCAAAATATTTCAGGTAAATTAATATTATGGAGCTATACTAAGGTATATTTCTTAAATTGTAACTATAATATGTTTTAGGGTTTACTAAGAAGCAATAAAGATTACCAGAACACTAAACCACGGTTTTTGAGGCTCTGGGTTCACGAGTGCTTTAGAGTGTTCGGTGATCGTTTGACCGAAGAAAAGTTAGTAGCTTTGGAGTCAAATTAGAACTATCTTTGGATTTGCAGGCTTATTGTAAATAAATTTTAATTGTAAAACGAAGTAACGGAATACATACCCAGTATAGAAGGCTTATCACCAACCCATCTTAAGCGTGTGGTGATTAATGCTCAAACCTTCTCTGTGAGAGAAAGAGGCCTTTGCTCAGCAGTGGGCTCTGATAGGCTAAAAAAATAGAAGGCTTATATTGAATATGTAGTATATAATGATATCAGAGAGGTACTGTTGAGTTTTCAATTATTTATTGATTTTATTTATGTATATATAAGTATGTTTATGTAAAGTAATAAATAAAAAGCAATTTAATTATTCTCTTTGTCACCAAAATTAAAGATGTACCTACCTTACCTGTAATTTAACATAATATTACTCACACTCCAGGGTGGCTGGAAGAGATCTCTCATAGAGATAAGCTTTCCTACGTATCACTTTGTTTCTTTGTTATTCTTTTTTTCTGTGTTACTTGTTTTTGGTACATGAATAAATAAATAAAGTAATAAATAAATAAATAACTTTTATACAGGGATCGAGATTGGTTCATGAATCACATGGGTGACATGTTGGGTAAACACTTCGAGCTGACCTTCCACGCGCTCTGCCCCTCAAAGAGTCCACCCATCTTCGGACACTTCCTCAATCCCTTCGAAGTTTACGACGATTTGAATGACCCCAACGCTTTGAGAAAGTATACTAACAGCAACACCTTTTCGCATTAATATAATTATATATTAAATATTGCCATAAACTGGTTTTAAAAGACGATTTTTTATCAGACTATAGAATTTTATTTAACAATTTTTGATTTAGACGTTTTAGCATAGATATCCAAAATAAAAATATGCCATTCCTTCTTTTGCGAAGCTTTATACGTTTTTATTAGTCCTATCCTACTAATATTATAATTACGAAAGTTTGTGTGTGTGTATGTTTGTTACTTCTTCACTCTTAAACGGCTGAACCGATTTTGATAAAATTTTGTATACAGGAAGCCGACGTCCAGGAATACCACATAGGCACTTTACATCCCGGAAATCCGCGGGGCGCAGCTAGTTTATCATAATCCTAACCTCTTGCTCTTCTATAAAACTATATATATTACGTATATTATCCTTTCTGGTTGTTATATCGCAGGTACATAGCTAATCAGATGGAGGAGTACAACAGCTGCCCGGGCGTGGTCAAGATGGACCTGGTGCTGTTCAAGGACGCCATCGAGCACATCTGCCGCATAGTACGGGTCATCTCACAGCAGAGAGGGAACATGCTGTGTGTCGGCATTGGTACGTTACTATGAAATAATACAAACATTAGTATCAAATTATAGTGTAACGCTAGTAAATATATGTAAAGTACTGTATAAGTTTGGCAAAGTTTTAACTTTACAATTCTTAAGAAAATATTTATATTTACAAGTTTTTAGTGTAGTAAAGTTTTGTGTTGGATACAATAGTTTTTGGTTAGTTCCTTCTCAATTTTGTGCTAAATTTGTTAATAGAACTATTATTTAACACTGTAACTGGAATATTACAGGTGGTTCCGGTCGTCAAAGTTTAACACGAGTCGCGTCTTACATTTGCGAGTGCAACTCGTTCCAAGTAGTTGTCACCAAGACGTACGGCGTCAAAGATTTTCGAGAGGATCTCAAGGTCAAAAGCATTCAAATTACAATAAATTTTAACTTTTAAATACATCTGAGAATGAATGTCATTAATGTTAAGTGGTCATATTAAAAAATATATGATTTTTGAAAATAATATAACAAACCCAATACACAGGTACTATACACGAGCTGTGGAGTGGACACTAAGAAGACTACGTTTATTTTTTGCGACACTCAAATAGTGGAGGAAACATTTACAGAGATCGTCAACAATCTGCTCAGCAGCGGAGAGATCACCAACCTTTACAAACCCGATGAGTTTGAAGATGTTAGTTTCAAACAACATTCTACACACAATTTTTTACCATTTGGACTAAAATTTGAGTCCTATAGTTCTACTGTATCTGTAAAAAAATGTTTTTTACTTAACCTAGAGGTTTTATCATCCCCAAATAGATAAAATCGGCTCTAGAGAAGCCTATGAAGAACGCGAATATACTACAGACAGCTGAGAGCGTGTATCTGTTCCTGGTAGAGCGAGTGAGAGCCAACATGCGGATAGTGCTGTGCTTCAGTCCAATTGGAGATGAGTTTAGGTATGTCTTTGTGACTTTTAAATACATGTAACGATGTTTCGTTTACTTTACTACAATCGTGATCACGGGCAAACGAGATCCGTATCCTAAATCCACTTTTGTAGATACTAAATAATAAAAAGCATAATATACTAAAAATTTAAGTTTCATTTAAGTACAAATGAAAATCTTAGATATAATTTTGAATACTGAATGTTATTGTTGTTTTTTGTGTTGCTATTTGACGTCGATGCAACGTAAGGTTATTATATAACTGATTTTGGTTTAAAAATCTGTATGATGTGAAATCTTTTAAGTTAATTTTTACTTTTTTTTATCTATGAAGGCTGCGCCAATTTGTGGGAAATAAATGAATGTATGTATCAGGAATCGCATTCGTCAGTATCCTGCTCTGATCAATGCTACCACCACGAACTGGTTCCTAGAGTGGCCGCGGGAGGCGCTGCTGGAGGTGGCCTATAAGTTTCTTGAAGGAGTGGAACTCTTGGCTTCTATCACTGGAACCAGGGTACTTACTTTAAATATTCTATAATTTACTATAAAAAATATATTTAAAATGAAAGTTCAAATTTTTAAATAACTAAACATGTTTCTAATTGAGTTTTCATTGTATTTTTCTCGAAAGAAACTACGGACTAGCTGTCGTCATTTTTCTTTTGGAAGTTGTATGAAAAATTCGTCAAGATTATATAAAAACTAGCTTTCCGCCCGAAGCTTCGCCCGCGTGTAATTCGGTTATATCGCGTTTCCAAGAGAACCTTTTAAAAGTCTGGGATAAAAACTATCATATGTTCTTTCTCAAGGTCAACTCCATTTCTGTAAAAAATTTCATTAAAATCAGTTGAGTGGTTTAGGCGTGAAAGCTTAGCAGACGGACAGAGTTACTTCCGCATTTATAATATTAGTAGGGATTCTACCATTTTCAAGGTAACCAAAGGTACCAAAGACGTACACTGATCTCACTAAACGTATCATTACATTATGTCCAGGTTCGTAGGAAGGAGTCGCTAGTTGAAAGTCGTGAGGACAGCATGAGAGCGGCCGTGGCGTCCACCATGTCGCTGATACACTCGTCGGTGGGGCGCGCGTCCGTCAAGATGTGGCAGGAGATGAGGCGCACCAACTACGTCACGCCCACCAACTACTTGGAACTGGTGGCTGGCTACAAGGAGTTAGTGTCTAGAGAAGTTATTATTGATATTATATGACGCGAAAATGTCAAGGGCTAGGACTTAAATATTCTCAATTTATAATATAAAGGAAATAGGGTCACCTATTGGGTGGGGGCTATATAATATAACACGAAAATTTAAACGACTAGGACTTAAATATTCTCCATTTATAAGGAAATATTGGGTAGCACTTTTCTGATGTAATGATTAATGACAAATTTATTGACAAGGATATTAATATAACAAAGTGGATTGTACATTTTGGTACTATGATTTTTTTAAATATTTTATTAGTCTAGTTATGTGCTATTTATAACCGACGTAAAAAACTGTTATTTTAATTACATTAAAGTGGAAATATCTTACTTAAATAAAAAAAGTAATTAGTTTATATAATATTTAAATATGTCTTGTTTTCAATATCCACAGAATGCTCAAGAGCAAGCGAATTGAAATAGCTCTTCAAGCGAACAAGCTTCGGAACGGACTGGGGAAAGTCGAAGAAACAACTAACTTAGTGGGGCAGATGTCGGAAGAACTCGCGCTCGCTCAGGTGACTAATATGATAATAACATTCATACAAATTATATTAGGGGATGCATCTTAGCATTTTTTTCTCGCTTCACTCAAAAAACGCACTCGGTTAAATAATGCTATCTCAGCGTTTCGACAACGAACCAGTTTTTTGAGATGGCTTTCGTTTTTCTGCCGTAAATTTGGAATACGGGATCGGATCAATTCTTTTTGATAAAATCGTCCCATTTAACCTGGCTTATAGAACAAAACAAAAATTTTATCTCAATCGGATATTTGGTTGCTGAGATCATCTCTGATGGTGAATGACCTGCATCGCCAGTGTACTTAAAAAATAACAGGATCTTAACAATTGAGAGTTTTACAAGTGCAACTTTTTCATTCCATATTCTATTATTATTATTATCTATATTAAATCTTAATTCAACAGAAAAAATAATTTTGATACTAAAATTTGATTTCTATGATAAAATTTGCAGGTTCAAGTCGCAGAGTACACGGAGCAGTGTATAGAGTACATGGGCGTGATCAACGTGCAGCAACGCAACGCTGATGAGCAGCAACGCAGCGTGGCCGCGCGCAGCAAGAAGACTATGGAGGAAGAGGTGCAGTGTAAGAAGCTGGCTGATGCTGCCATGAGGGATCTGGCCAGCGCGATGCCGGCTTTAGAAGAAGCTGTAAAGGTGGGTTACAGGATAAGCTATTATATACACCCTATTGAATAACGAAATTAATTATTTTCTTATATTAATTGTATTTTAATAGTATTGTCTTTTCTTTTTTTTGGTTATTTTAATAATTATATAATACAATGCATTGGTAACTAGAAATTGGATATAAAACTTAAAAAAATATAACGACTAAGGTTGTGGTTATGGAGTGTCATTGACAAACTTTTGCAGGAGGAAAATATATGTGTAGCTTTAAAAGGAAGAAAATTTTAATTATTGACTATATATATGTGTTGGATATACATAAAATTTATGCCTGTTTAAAATTATGATCTTTATTATCTTTTCAAGGCGTTAGACGCTCTGAACAAGAAGGACATCACTGAGGTGAAGTCTTACGCCAAGCCGCCGCAGAAGGTGGAGATGGTGTTGGAAGCTGTGCTTATACTGCTACAGGTGATGCATACATATAATATTAATAAAACATAGCTTAAAAAATATATAGTTATGCTATTCGCAATATTAATAATTTTAAGGCGCTTGACAAAATTTAGAAGCACTTTTTTTTTACAATAAACACAATTTTTGATTTGTAAGATTTCTAGTTTAAGTAAAGACCCATTAAGTTTGGTGATTACAGAATTTAATAAATTCTACAGTATTTCGTACAGTTAATTAATATCTGCATGATTCTAAATTTAATATAATAACTATCTAATTGGGTCAAATATGTGTAAAGTGGTTTAGTTAAGAAAGAATTTTAAAGTGGTTATTAATTTTTCAGAAAGAACCAACTTGGGCTGAGGCGAAGAGACAACTCGGTGATCAGTACTTCTTAGATCGGTTGCGTGATTTTGATAAAGATAATATAGCTGATAAGACGTTGAAAAAGATTGGGACTTACACCGCTAAGCCAGACTTTGATCCAGAGATCGTTGGCACGGTGTCACTGGCGGCAAAGTCGCTTTGTTTGTGGGTACGAGCTATTGAGAAATATGGGAAGGTTTACAAGTAAGTTAATCTATTAAACTCTGTCGTATAAATATTGAAATTATTAAGGTACGGAAGATTTTAAGTTCATGGTACAAAAGATAAAATCAAAAAGAGTTCAGCGTATTTCATCCAAGCTTAATTTCATTTTAATTCAATCATAATCCAAGCTTAATTCAATTTTAATCGTATACAGAATAGTGAAACCGAAAAAGGAGCGTCTAGAAGAAGCATTAGAATCTTTGAGGGAGAAACAAAGGATTTTGGCCGAGGCTCGCGCCAGGTTGAGGGAGTTGAGTGAGATGATTGCTCGTCTGCAGAAGGAGTACGACGAAAAACTGGCTCAGAAAGAGGAATTGGAGAGGAAGTCGAGACTGTTACAGCTCAAACTAGAAAGGGCAGAGGCTCTCATTACAGGGTTATCTGGTTAGCTATTCCGTTCAATACTAGATACAAGATAATTACGTACATTTGAAATTTAGGCATATTTAATCATGAAACGTTGGCAAAAAACTACTGTAAATATAATATAATAAATGTTGAGATTCCCTTGGCTAATATGTAGGAATAAATAAATAAATAAATAAATAAAGGATGAATACAACATTTCTTGGTGTCATTGGTAGTAATTTTATTAATAGGATGTACATTATAGGTGAAAGGGAGAGATGGGAACAAACTGTGGAGCGTCTGGACAAGGAGTTCGAGAACCTTCCAGGGGACTGTCTGATAGCGACCGGCTTTGTGGCTTACCTTGGACCGTTCATCTCTGAATACAGAGAAGATCTCATGGATGATTGGTTCAGAGAGGTGATGAAGAATTTATCATAAAGCTATACCACAGTATTTTTTTTTCTATAGTTATCAATCTACGATTTCTTATAAAGCAAAGTGAAGTTATTGTAAACTAGCTTTCCGCCCGCAGCTTCGCCCGCGTGGAGTTCGGTTATATCGCGTTTCCAAGAGAACCTTTCAAGAGTCTGGGATAAAAACTATCCTATGTTTTTTATCAAGGTCAACTCTATATCTGTACCAAATTTCATTACAATCAGTTCAGTGGTGTAGGCGTGAAAGCGTAACAGACAGACAGACAGAGTTACTTTCGTATTTATAATATTATTAGGGATTAAGTGTCGAGGAAATTGTAATATTATTTTGTGGTCCTTTAGGATTTTTTTATTTGTGTGCAAAATTAATGCTAAATATTTCTTTTATTTTAAGGTTTTCGACCAAACTCTACCAGTGACTATGGACTTGAGTATGAAAACCTTTCTTCTTGATGACGCTACCTTAAGAGACTGGAATTACATGGGACTACCAGGTGATACATATATACAGATTTTTGTTATACTCAATTTCAATGCGAATAAATTATAAGATAATCATGTTAACTCCCATTATAAATATGAAAGTGAATATCTCCTTTCTTATTCCTGAATGGACTAGTTTCATAGCTGATTATTGTCAAAGCAAGTTTAAAAGTAACGGTTGAATTGAAGATAGTAGTCTAGCATTTATGAATATAAAAAAATTTTTGAAGGACATACAGTTGTGAATAGTTTTGGCTATTTATTTTTACGACTGGACTCCTGCCTGACATCAACCCCCTTTAGGAATCACCATTATTCAGTGATGTCTAAATACTCTTAGAAAGTACATATAACTCGCGAAAATCACATTGGTACTTGCCCGGGCCAGGATCGAACCCGCACCCTCGTGCATGAGTGGCGGGCCTTTTAACCACTAGGCCACCACTGACTGTTATATATATAAAGATATAACAACTCTAGATGTATTTACGTGTCGTATTCATGCATATTATGACGATAACAACTTTTATAACTTTTTGAATCGTTATATCTCAGAAACGGTGGCTCGTAAGAAAAGAAGTATTGATACATTTGTTATAGATAATTTTATGATCTATATTTTTTGTCTGAGGTACTTTTCTGATAAAACTTACCGTTTTGCTGAAAATCCCGAAAACTCATTATTTTGACCTTTGACCTTGAATAAAAAAATTTCCACACACGGGAATGATGGGGAAATTTCAGCTATTGTTTATAATCGTGTTTTGAACAATTGTACCAAAATTCAGCTTGTTGCGAATTTATGTAGCACCGAATGTCTAATTTGACCGGACTAGTAATGTAACTAATGTTATCTATCTTCGCATATGTCCTAATTTATATTATTAGTCATCAATATATACATTTCAGAACACCTATATAGAATGTATTAATAAACTAATGTAATGTATCAGATGACAACTTCAGCGCGGAGAACGGCATCATCGTGGTGCGAGCGACTCGCTGGCCGCTGGCCGTGGACCCTCAGGGACAGGCGCTCATCTGGATCTCACGCCTGGAGGAAAACAACCAGATACAGGTACGTACAATATAGTATAGTCTTCTTCTTGATGGCAAAATCCCAGCTTTACCCAGGGTCTGCCTGATACACTATAATATAATGAGCATCATGAACTAAATGTTCAGATGTTTCATACTGATATATATGTAGTTTGCCTTAAAATAGAGATTTGATACGTAAAAATTTGTGATCTTATGCCGTTTTAGACTCTAGAATAATATTACATGAAAGAAAAAGAAAGAAAGTATATTCATAGAGAGGTTTTCACGTAATTGTTTTTACTATAGACTCATGTATTTTTCATTAAAAGTATTAAATTTCAGCCTTTAAAAGAAACGATGTATTTCGGATACTACGCGTTTTGTTCCGGTTCCTTTACAGCAACCGTGATCACGAATAGACGAAATGAAAGTGTTCATTACTGACGGCGTAGTATCCGAAAAACGTAGTTTGCATTTCAATGTATACACGTGAAAGGCTTAGATGTCCTAAAAGTTTTGTTGTATAAAAATAATAAGCATTTTATTATTATTATTGTTATTTCCATAGATAGTGGACTTTGGTCAACCAAACTACCTCAAAATCATGGAGAACTGTTTATCGAAAGGCAAACCTATCATCATTCAAAACGTCGGGGAGGTTCTCGATCCGTCCATCGCTCCGATTTTGGATAAAGCGATTGTTAAAATCGGTACCGATATGGTCATCAAATTTAATGAGAAAATGGTGCCATACAATTCAGAATTCAAGATGTACTTGACCACTAAGTTAGGTAAGCGCTGATTTAACTAATCCTACTTATAAATAGAAAGTTTGATATCGAAAATTTGCAAAAGTACACAAAATTTTAAGCAACTTTAAAATCATAGGACTTTCTATTCATGTTTATAATACATTTGTCATTTCAGTTATATAACAATCGTGCAGGCAAATAAATGCCAATATCATTTACAGTATTTTTTAATCTTAGGACTTTTTGTTGATATATGTGTAATGCATTCGTCATTTCAATTGCACAGGTGCCGGCAAATAAGTAAAGGGTGTTTTTTTAAGCCCGATAGAACTTGAAATTGTAAAAAATAACACAAAAAATTAAATTGTAATCAAAAATTTTTTTTTATTCATAAGATCAATACGTGACATTAACATTTGAAAATGATTTCGGACATATGGGCACCGCGGCTGTCCTTGACGAAGCACATTCTGGATGTCCAATTTTGGGCCACTTTTTCGAGCACTGCTGGCCGTATGTCACGAATAACACGAACAATGCTGGCCTCCAAGGCGTCAATTGTTGCTGGTTTATCAGCATAAACCAGTGACTTCACGTAGCCCCACAGGAAATAATCGAGAGGTGTCAAATCGCAAGACATTGGAGGACAATTGACAGGTCCATTTCTCGAAATCAACTTATCGCCAAATTTTGATTTCAATAAGTCGATGGTTGCGTTCGCCGTATGGGACGTAGCGCCATCCTGTTGAAACCACATTGGCTCCCGTTCAATATCATCCATATTTTGAAACAAAAAATCATTGATTATGGTGCGGTAACGATCTCCATTGACCGTAACGCGAGCTCCGGCCTCATTTTTGAAGAAATAAGGTCCGATGATGCCACCAGCGTGAAAACCGCACCAAACGGTGCATTTTTCTGGATGTAATGGAGTCTGTAGGGTCTCTTGTGAATTGGTCTCACTCCATATGCGGCAAGTTTGCTTATTAACAAACCCGTTAAGCCAAAAATGCGCCTCATCGCTGAACACAATTTTGCGATAAAACAACGGGTCAGTTGCCAACTGCTCTAGAGCCCAATCGGCGAAAGAATGACGCATATAATGGTCTCGTGGCTTCAATTCCTGTACCAACTGGATCTTATACGGGTGTAGACCGAGATCTTTGCTCAAAATTTTCCACGTAGTGGACGGACAGAGCCCCAATTCCTGCGACCGACGACGAATCGATAAATTTGGATCTTCTTCCACACTTTCGTTTATAGCGGCGATATTCTCTTCAGTATACACATTTCTTCGACGTGCTGGTGTTATTGCATCCTCTAGAGAGTATGTGGTACGAAAACTATCCACAGTTCGACGAATGGCTTGTTCAGATGGACGATTATGTATGCCATACAAATGACGAAGTCGTCTATAAGTTGCGCGAATCGACGACTTATTTTCAAAGTAAATTTGGAAAGTTTCGTAGCATTGTTCAAGCGTGAATCTATTCATGATAATTTGTCAGAGTATACTCAAACAAATAAAAAAAAATGTTTCATCAAAATTTAATTTTTTGTGTTACTTTTTACAATTTAAAGTTCTATCTAGCTTAAAAAAACACCCCTTAGAAATGTCTTATACTATACATCTATCGATTTTTCTGCTATTTGATAATAATGAATACTTTAACCTTGGAAATTAATATCATTTTTCAGGTAATCCAGTTTATAGTCCGGAAACCTTAACAAAGACGACAATGGTGAACTTCGCGGTGAAGGAGCAGGGTCTGACGTCACAGCTGCTGAGTATCGTTGTGAGGAAGGAGAGGCCGCAGTTAGAACAGATGAAGGACACTCTGGTTATGACTATAGCTAACAATAAGAAAGTACTTGTAAGTATACCATCACACTTATCCATTTATGACAATAATATTTTTGGTAAACATTGATTACCTTGTTAATACACGCTGTATATTAAAAAATAAATGAACATCGTCGAGGTAACATCGTTGTAAGGATGAAATATCATATAAAGATAGACGCTGCTGACTCCGCGGAACGAACACCAAGCCATGTGAACCAGAAGATTCCTGATACATACAAGCTATGGAATGATATTGCTATCCTAACATCTGGCCAATCATGTAGTCTTAGGTGTAGGTTATAAGTTTTAATTTGTAATTCTTATTATAATATACATAATAAGTTTAATAGTATTCCTGGAACCTAAGCTTACTACCCTATATAATTACCTACTCTCCCAATCATTATTATCAGATGGACCTGGAAAACGACCTGCTGCGTATCATGTACGAGTCGCAGGTCCCGCTGTTGGAGAACGAGGAGCTGTTCCAGACGCTGCAGGTGTCGCAGAGGACGTCCCAAGAGGTGAAGGAGGCTCTCATCACCTCGCAGGAAACTGAGAAAGAAATTGATGCGGCGAGACAGGTGATAAAAACTAATATATGATAAAAAAAATAAAAAATCATATTGTACGGCTATAATTGCTTGGTTAATCCTACTAAGATTATAATTGCGAAAATTTGTGTGTGTGTGTGTATGTTTGTTACTTCTTCACGCTCAAACGGTTGAACCGATTTTGATAAAATTTTGTATACGGGAAGCTGACGTCCAGGAATAATACATAGGCTACTTTACATCCCGGAAATCTCGGAAATCCGCGGGTAACACCGCGGGGCGCAGCTAGTATACTTAGAAATAACAAAATAAAAAAATACACGTTTGCTTTCCAATAGCTGACATACTGACTAAAATAAAGTGGATATGTCATAATATACACAACTGACTTATACACTGGATAGCGCCTCTACTTTTTTGATTTACAATATTTTTTGATATACAATTATACGAATAAAAATGCATTTAACGATATTTTATGTATTTCAATTAATATATTTTTTAATGATAGTACCCCCAAAAAAATGTATCTATCTGTCTAGGGTTACGTGCCAGTAGCGACTCGAGCCGCGGTTCTGTTCTTCGCTCTCAACGACCTGGCTCGTATTGATCCCATGTATCAGTTTTCTTTGGATGCTTACAATGACCTCTTCACTTACTCTATAGACCGAAGCCCTAAGGGCGGCGACCTTGAAGACCGGATCACCAACTTAAATGAATTCCATACCTTTGCTGTGTACAAGTTAGTTTTAATTTTTTTTATTATGTTTGAGGATTCTATATTCAGGTCTTGTTTCATTATATGTAATGTTACAACAACTATATTCATTATAATTACAACAGCTATATTCATTATAACACAATTTCCTGTTTAAACACATACATTTTAATTTAATATAGAATCCCAAAATTTTATTTTTATTATTTTACATTCTTCTATCTCTGTTTTTTCATAATACATTATTGGTTTATAAACATTTATTTGTAGTTAAGAACTTTAATGTATGAAAAATCTTTTGGTTAGTGTTAATTAGCGTAAATTTATTTTTTCCCCTAGGAACACTTGCCGCGCGGTGTTTGAGAGACACAAGCTATTGCTGTCTTTCCACATGGTGTCTAGAATCCTGTTTCAAGCTGGCAAGATGAGCAACCACGAGTACCTGTTCTTGCTGAAGGGCGGAGTGGTGTTGGATCGATCTGAACAACCTGACAACCCTACCAGTATAACTTGACCTTCAGAGAAATCTATTTTTTATAGCCGTATTATCTACGTTTAGTTATAGTCAATCGTTGCGATAAAATTAATATTTTTTGATTTACTTCGCGTTTTAATTATTTTAACTACATACTTTAGACGGTTCGGTTACTAACCAGAAACCGAATTATGCTTAGTCTTAGATCTTAAAATAGTAAATATTGTGCTTGTGTAAGTAACTGAAGCAATTTGAAAATCAAAATTAGTCAGTCTATCTATTATTGTAGTCAAAATATAGTTTATATTGTCTTATTTTACTATAGGCTCTCATAAATTGGCATGGAATTAGATAATAATTTTTATGCAGTTTTTCTATTTGAATGAAATGCATTATTTCTAATATAATGTTGTTATGTTTCAGACTGGTTGCCTGACGACTGCTGGGACAATATTACAGAGCTGGACAAGCTGCCCGGCTTCCACGGCATCTGTGACACGTTCGAGACTTTCTCCAAGGAGTGGAAGGAGTGGTACCTGCATCCTGAACCGGAGTCACAGCCGCTCATAGGTCTGACAAACTTATGCACTTTATTGTCATACATAATTATAGGAAAAAGGAATAAATTTATGTATTTACTTATCATAATTGTATGCCATGCAGCAATCTTCATTTACATCATTAAAGGTCATGGAGTGACTTATAATAATAATAATAATAATTTTCTTTATTTAGGCATCTTTGACCCATCTTTTTTTAGTACACATTTTCCTTATACCTATGTTAGTAACAACTTAATTTATTATTAATTAACTATGTAATTACATTTACAATTAAACTATTATGTTCATCAATTATTTACTGTTTAATGTATCGTCTAACTATCTGGAAGCTTGTGCTTCGGTTGAATTTCAAGGTTTTTGGCTTTCACTATAAGAATTGAATACGTAGGGACAACAAAGGAATATTTATTTTTTGGTATAGACAAAATTGTGTGACGTCTTATTTTGTTTGTCAAGGCGAATGGAACGAGATTTGCAACGAATTCCAACGTATCTTGTTGGTGCGATCACTAAGAGTGGATCGTGTGTCTTCATGTGTAGCGGCGTACGTGGTTAACACGCTCGGGCCGCGGTACGTGGAGCCTCCCGTGTTGGACATACGGGTTAGTTGATATTAAATTGGAAAGAAGGAAATGATTGTATGCTAATGTTACATAATATGTTTAAGCTCATTTATGATTGTTCTTTGTATTAATGTCCTTGACCTATTTTCGACCGATTAGGTTGTTTTTAACACGCTTTTATTAGCTTAGGTTGTATTTTTGTATGTTCTCAACGCTTTACTATGAATTAAATTGTTCTTTTCATAACTTACATTTTATAACTACTAGTTAGTTTACTAACTACATATACAATGAATTGATAAGTAAACATTATAAATAAGCTGTGTTATAACCCAACAACTATGTGAACACAGATTATATACTAAATATTTCACTTATAAAAAAAATACATCAGCACTTAAAAATACATTGTAGTATACATATATGTAGATATAAGAAAATACACTTACAATAAATAGAAAAAAAATTACACGGAAAAATGTGAATAAGTTACAGCAATAAACATAATGAAATCAAATCAATCAATCAAAAGGTTTTGTGAGAGAAGCACCAGGGCTATAAAATCAAACGTCAAGCCTTACTCTATCCTTAAAGCGGCTGGATTGGACCATCATGATGGATACGTATGAGAAACAATACAAAATCCCCGAGGATATTTGTGCGTCGGCCTCCAGACCAGACATATTTCTATATTTGCGTATTCTAAAGCGCGTTGTGATGATAGAGCTTACGGTGCCTTGGGAAACCAACATCCCCAAAGACCATGCTATCAAGGTCAATAAGTATTACGAGCTCACTAACGAACTAACTCGAAATAGGTTCGTCGTTGATTTGTACGCGGTAGAGGTGGGAGTGAGAGGTATAACAGCTAAATCTCTCTATAACCTACTAAAAGACTTGGGCCTGTCCAGAACTAACATTAATTCATTCTTGGAACGTACGTCGAAGGCAGCCCTAGTAGGTTCTTTTCAAATTTGGTTAGGTAGGGAGAGGAACTTGGACAGTGGAGGTGAGCGTATAACGCGCGTTAGTTAAGGGGCCCCTTAAACCTACACCTGGGTCGCAAGTCCCAGGCACTGTTGAAGCTCCTCTCCCTGCAACGGGATGGACCCGGTACCCGGACGGTGAATCCATTGAATGCTAAGAGGTTTCGTCTCTAAAATGAAATTATAAACTGGTGAAGTGAGGAACTAAATATGTAGTAGATAATAAAATAGATTCAATCACTTTTATTGGCTGTTAACTGAAACCAATTGTTTTTTTAAATAGATTTAGGGTATTGGTGAAAATGTCAATACATATCAATCGTCGTTTTCAAGAAAAACCTTATTATATGCGCGACCAGTGGCGGCCGGTGGGTAATCGAACTGGTGGTGCACTTTACTAAAATATTAAAAGTAGAAAATGCAACAAAACATAACGAGATGTCAATCACGGCTCAATTCGTCATACATCGGGTGCTCTCGGTAATCTTTGGTCGCCCGTGCGGCGCTCGAGAACCGACTCATTACTCGGTACATTTGTATGTATCTTTTGTTTCACGCGCCAGGCGTATTAATGCGTATCCCATACAAGATGTATTAGCAGTCCTCGTGCACTCGCCGAAGCGCACGATATTAGTTTTGTAAAGCGCCCAAACTTTTTGACCATAATTAGGAAATTTAATTTTTTATACGTTTTTATATGTTTATAAAAAAAAAATATTAAAATGGTAATTTAAAAATAAAGATGAAGTAATATGTATTTTGTAATTTTTAAATCTTATGAATTGGTGGTTAAGCGCACGAGTGCAATTAAGGTACAGCCGCCACTGTGCGCGACACATACGTCCGATAGGATTATGTTATGATATGTTGTTATTGCAAAAATCCAGGGTAAATATTCTAGGGTGAAGTAATTAATTATGAATATTTTTTTCACCTTCTGATACTGTAATATAATTTCTTTGTAATTGAAAATTATCGTTTTTGTTTGGTAAGCTATAAAAGCGTATTTTTTTAGGATTTTGAAACTATTATTTATTTTTTTTGGTTGACCATTTAATTTGTAAGAAAATGTTTTTAATAGTTTCAATGTACTCCTTCCATTATAGCTACATGATAGAAATATTGATTGCAAAAATGGCGATTCTTATAAATGATATATAAACGCTGCATAAATTGTCTATATATTTTTTTTTACTACTTCCAGGCTGCATGGGAAGAGTCTACCTGGAAGACGTCTCTTCTTTTCGTGCTGTCTCCGGGCGTTGACCCCACCTCAGCCTTGATCCAGCTAGCCACGGATACAAAGATGTTCGACAAGTTCCAATCCCTTAGTTTGGGTCAAGGTCAGGCGCCCACTGCTGCCAGGTAAGACTTTGACCACCAACTTAACAAGATTTGCAGTTATGATGAACAACAACAGCTATAACTGATCTCATCAACTATAAATGATGTTTTATTTTTCCTCCTATTATGGCCAATTTCATATGATCTCAAATCTTGAATCATGACGTTACTGAATACTGACGGTAGTCTTCAATTTGAATATTTTTTTGTTACTTGAGTTGTTTATATATTTTTAAACTACATAGACTCGACGTTTCGGTTATTCTGCACATCTCGTCTGTCAGTTTCATTTAAATGAATATCCTCGAAGGTCTTAGATTTTATTATTTTTAATTGTTATTTTTATAGCTTCCCACTTAATCTGGAATTTTTAGAGGGATAAATTCTATCACCTTCTTTAGGCTATCCATAGAACTATCTCGTTCCTTGTATTTCATGGAAAATTATTTTCCCACTGATAGTAATAGTTCTAATGGTAGTCAGTGGTGGCCTAGTGGTTAAAAGGCCCGCCTCTCATGCATAAATAAGGGCGCGGGTTCGATCCTGCCAAGTAGGAATGTGATTTTTCCGTATCATATGTACTTTCTAAGAGTATATAGACATCACTGATTAATGCATTCCCTAAAGAGGGTTGATGTCCGGCAGGCGGCCGGTCGTAAAAACAATTAACCAAAACTATTCACAACATGTAAGTCAGACTCTGGCTAAAGCTGGGAAATTGCCAGGTAGAATAAGAAGAATAATATTTCTAATGGCTTTATAACTTACGACCTATCACAGGATGTTGAGTACGGGTATGAAGGAAGGCGGTTGGGTGTTCCTGGCTAATTGTCACCTGGCGTGCGCCTGGCTCGGCGCGCTGAGAGGGCTCGATAACCCCAAGATACATCCGCGGTTCAGACTGTGGCTATCGTCAATGCCTGATGATAAGTTCCCTCTCAATATACTGCAGAGGAGCATCAAGATGACTACGGAACCACCGCAGGTATAGATGCCATAAAAGATACCATTAGGGAATAAGAAATACATGGGTATTAATTCGATGGAAAATATTCTCTGCTATGTAATGGGAAACCAGTGTATAACATTTCAAACTTTTTGTTTTCTTTAAATTTGCTAGTCAAATTAATTTCATTAGTGTAATAGCGAGACCTATTTCCGTATGAAATTTTTTAAAATATTTCAGTTTCCCTATTATAATATGGGTCTACATATATGTCTGCATATTTCATATTAATTTTTGTCACTGATTTAGATCCTGACATTAAATATCTTATAAGTGTGAACTCTAAGTTCAAGTTATTGATTGTAGGGTTTGAAAGGCAACCTGGTCCGTATATTCGCGAACATCAACGAGGAGAAGTTCGACCAGGCCACGCCCAAGTACCGGCGCCTGTTGTTCTGTGTGTCATTCTTCCACTGTTCCCTCATAGCTCGCAAACGGTTCAGACAACTTGGATACAACGCTGTTTACAGCTTCAATGATTCAGATTTTGAGGTAAATATTGGTATTAACAATTATTTCTATAGTAAATTGTTATTTTGAAAGAGAAGTGTTTGTTCATCTCTATGGGAAAAATGTTTAAGAAATTTGTTGCCAGTCTTGATAGTGTCACTAAACAAATGTATGTATATTTCAAAGTTATTCACTTAGTAAGTGGATTTAAATGAGTTGTTCTGTGTAATCACTACTTAAACGTGATTTTATTAGTAAATCTTGCTATATCAATTGATGGCCAACAGCTAAGCGATGTTTATTATTTACTAATATTACGTTCCAGGTATCCGATAACCTCCTAGCCAATTATCTGGAGGAATACGAGGAGGTCCCGTGGGACGCGCTGCGCTACTTGTTCTCGATCATCAACTACGGCGGTCACATTACAGACGACTGGGACAAGCGAGTTCTCATCGCTTACATCAACCAATTCTTCTGTGAGGAAGCTCTCGATACGCCGTTCTATAGGTACAGAAAAAAAAAAATTGTATTTTTTTTGGGTTGTATATTGGAAAACAGCAAATAATAAATTTGTTGAACTGTATTTATAATAAAGTTTTATTGTTACCGATGGCTTCAATATCACAGGTACTTCTGCGGAACTTGCATTGTATTAGGATTAAAAAATCTTTTGCCCTATATTCGCAAATCATTTCTCACTGAAGCAAACACCCACACAGAAAAATCTTTATATACAAGTATATGAGGTCATTTATTTTCCAACTCGTTATTCCAGGTTAAATGAAACTACTCTTTTTCGGATTTATTTTTGTAAAAAACTACATACTCCCGACGTTTCGGCTACTTTTCAGCAATCGTGATAATAAAGATGAGATGTGATGACATCTCGTGATCTTAAATGGAATCTCATCTATCTTCCAATTTATTCCAGGTTATCCAGTATTCCATCGTACCACCTCCCTCGTGACGGTAGTCTGGAGTCGTACCGGGACTTCCTCGACCTGCTGCCGGCCTCCGAGCGCGCTGAGTCGGTCGGACAACACGCCTCCGCTGATGTAGCGACACTCGCACAGGTTTATAATCAATACATTCTATAACTTTCATGGGCATTGTGATATAAATAAGATAGCTAAAGTTGTTCAACATTAAATGTATACAATATACCCGTAATATATATAATTTAAGATGAAGTGGATTTTTTATTGGTATTTAACGATATTTTAGTGAAGTACATGAATAAGTTTTTTTAAATATGTAATATAGAGTGATAAGATTCAAATCAATGTGATCAAAATCTAGGAGTTTTGGGATATTGATTAGCGTTTAGTCTTTCAATAAAACTATATTGAACTTATAAAGCATAAGAATATTGTAAAATTCGTCTTATGAAAATAAATTGTCGTATATATTTTTGATATTCCTGTTGATATTTGTGTATGATTCAGAAATAAAACTTGTCGGATATAAAAATGCACAAACGTATTTATTCAATTAATAGAAAATTAGTTAGCGACACCATTGAAAGAAGTGAAAAAAGTAATGTCAACATAACAGCAAAAAGGATATACAACATAAAGAAAATAATTAAGGTTGCGTTCACATTATCTAACAATTCCAAGTTTGAAACATGACTTCATAAAATTGTAATCTGCCGAAAATTTACGCTTTTGTTTTTTGTAAGAGATCAATAGTATAATTTTAACCTGTTATTATTTCAGGACGCTCGTATAATGTGCTCTACGTTGTTCACTCTCGCCTCCACCGGCGGCGGAGGGGCGGGGGGAGGAGAGGATCAAAAGGTTGGTTTATTGGAGAATTTATACTTAAGTTACATTATAAATATTCGAAATTAATTTATTTTATATAAGCAGACTTTTTTCTGCCATCAATTAGTAATTTTTTCCATTTACATATTTTTTACTACTGTTATACTGAGTATATATAGGGTTGCTAATGTAATAATCAATTATTAAATTAGCAACCCTCAAGTCACCTATATAACACTTTTTGTTCTCAACTATTGTCAAGAGAAGAAACTCTGCCCTAATTTGTTAATAAATTATCGCTTGGCCGGCGAACGTTTGATTTTAAATTTAACGTGTTTTTTTAATTTCTAAAACTATATATGTGTGTGTAATTTGTCACGAAAGATATCTGTGGCTTTTTAATTACAATGCCTTAACAAAAAGTTCAACAGAATGAAATATAGTTATAGGTAACTAACTTTCTTCCCAAAGGTGGATGAGTTGGCTGCAGAGATGCTGTCCAAGTTGCCGGGTCGTATCGACGTGGAGACGACTGAGAGGATGATGGGTCCGGAGATCGTGATGCCCATGTGTGTGAGTCTGCTGCAGGAGATCGGCTACTACAACGTGCTCATTAACACTATCATCGCTGGCCTTAAGGTGAATATCATTATATAGAGTCTTCTTCTTCCAAAGACCGTTTTTCTCAATTATATGTTGTCGGACTTCCTTGTCCTGAGTTATCATAAAGAGTGTTTTGTGGCGAGATATTTGTTTAGGTATTTTAATTCATTGTGTTTGAGAGTGATTAGGAAAAGGTTCTACAACTTATGTCAGAATATATTGATATACATATATCAATATTATGAGGATATGGTTGGAATGAAATAGAATGGAGGCCCAAGATGTCTAAGATTTCAAATTGACAAAAACCTAATTTTTGATATTACAATATTTTCCTAGCCTATTTTATGTTCAAGCTCCTTAACTCCATCTATTGTCCAATAGTCTTGATTGTTATTATATTAAAGATTTCTATCTAAACTAGACTATTGCAGCCATATTTTTATAACTACAGATTTTTTTGATACAGATGAATCTTCTCTTGATAAAATATTTAAATTTTTATCTGTTTATTCCAGGAGCTGCGTCGCGCCATCGAGGGTCTAGTAGTGATGTCTGAGATGTTGGAGATCATGTACACGTGTATATTCGAGGGACGCGTGCCGTCCTTCTGGCAGAAAGGTTTTAAATATATTAATGTTATATTCTCTTAAGAACAATTTAAAAAATCCACGCTTTCACGTGTTTGAAGTCTTTTCTTAATACAATTGGGTTTTTGAATTATTTTTTTTTTGTGATAAATGGAAAGATCATATATAAGTTTAATAACAAAACTATTTTTATTTTATTTTTTTTGCAATATTTAAAAAGTTATTTCAAAATAAAAATTAAATTTTAAATTCAGTACCGAAGACAAGCCGACAGCTCGTGAATAAACCCGAGCGCGTGTGACGTCACAATGTTAGTTTTTGCTCATTGTAGCATACAGAGATATAATAATTAGTACAGTGTTTTGAGTTTTTATCTAGTAAATTCTGTTGGCATTGTTAAATAATCAAAAGTTTTGTACCATTATGTACAAAGACTACAAAAACAACTCCTGAAAAAATGTTTTTAAATGTTCCACAAGACGAAAAACGTCGAAAGAAATGGTTTCAAGCAGTGCATCGAGATTATTCAAAAACAAAATCAATTTTTTTTGTTGTGAAGATCATTTCGTTGTAAGTTTTCATAATAGTATTGTTATTAATTATTATTTATCTAAGTGTATAAATCGAATAAGTATAGTTCAATAATTAATTTTTTTACCTGGGCTCCAAATCATAACCTTTAGAATCGTAGCATTAAAAAATTTTAATTGATAATTCAAAGCGATTAAATAGTAAATCTATATATATGTTTGTCTAATAATTGGACTTCAATTAATAGATATTTTCATAATTTTATAACATTCTAGGTTCTGTATCAGACTACATTTAAATTTTTAAAGTACATATATGTTATTTTGTTTTTTTTTATAATGTTATAATAACATTTTATTAATAATGATTTAATGAAATAATTATTAATTATATTTAATAGAGAATAAATACTAATTTTCATTTAGAATAGTATTTTTTGACAGACTTACCTTGATGTCTTAGCACCTCGAACTTCAGCAAAATTAAACCGCACTTTTTAAAAAATTAGTTATCATAAAAATATATTAACATCAGGAATATTATCCGATTTTGCTTTTATAAATCCTTTATCACACATAGTCGAAATAAACTTTTCAAATCGTTTTTCACTAATAAATTTGAGATATTTTTATCAAGTTAAAGATAATAGCCATAAACACTGTACTATTATGAAATTGCTTTAACATTATGACGTCACAAGTATGCTGACCAATCATGGCGCGTTTACAGTCACGTGATATATTTTTGAATTTTATCAATTTTTAATTGTTTATAATTAATTTAAAAAAAATATTTCAAGTTTTTTGCATTAAAAATCCAATATAATTAATAATAAAGTTTTAAAATACATAAAAAAAATCAATACTTTTTTTTTTTCAAAAACCCAATTATTCGTTTCTTCTCCTTTCTTTTATCTGTACAGATATTAAGTCTTGTTTAAACTTTGATCACAGTTGCTGCAAAGTATCCGAAACGTCGGGAGTATGTAGTTAAAATAATAAAAAACCCGTAGTAATCTGAACAATATTAGTTTCATTTCAATGAATACTTTTAAAAATCTTAGATGTCATTAATATTGGACTTTGTTCTGAATGTAGAGTTTAATATTGGTATATCCAGTTGGCAAGGTGTACACGCTATATGTGTAGAAATATCATACTATATTGTACTCGATCTTATCTGTGTGTGCTTGTTTTTTATGTCAAAGGTGGCAAACGACCAAACCGCCTACTTGATGGGCAGTAGTGACGGTCGCTTATTGAAATCCCTTTGGATAACAACAAATACTGTCAAACATTACAAACAATACTGTTCGTAGGTCGTCCGTCCATCAAGCCGCTGGGCGCGTGGTGCCGGGAGCTGTTCCTCCGCGGTTCTCACCTCACGTCGTGGTCCAACGCGCCCCGCTCGCCCCCCACCCTCTGCTGGCTGCCCTCCCTCGTCGCCCCTACGGGATTTCTCACCGCTGTCATGCAGGTGATGGTTAACACACACAGAGACAATACTCAGTTTTGTATATGAATCTTTTATAAATAATAATTTGCGTATCGTCGTTGGCCCTTATGAAATTTACTGAGTTCGATAAAGTGAGATTGAAAGAAAAGATAATTTTATTAGTTCATGTATTAAACCTTAGTATCTTGTATATCAGACGACAGCCCGCGGTGAGAGTTGGCCCATCGACACTCTGTGTTGGGAGTTCACGGTCATGCCGCTGGAGGAGACGGCCTTCGTGAGACCGCCAAGAGACGGCGGGGTCTATATACGGTGAGTACAGATGTCAGACGATATTGGACTCTATTATAACTAACTTAGGGTTTAATATTACTATATTTAGATGGCTGGGCTTATTATACAGTATGTTCACAAATTTCAAACAATATTGGACTCTATTATACTCGTACTGAATTTAGGGTTTAACATGAGTATGTAAATCCAAGAGTCTAAATACGGTGTGTGTGTGTGTGTGTACAAATATCAAACAATATTGGATTCTTTTAAATGAATTTAGAGTTCAATATTGGTATTTCCAGACGGCCGGGTATATATGTATATACTGTAGTATGTGTAAAAATATCAAAGGAACTTGGTCTTTATCGTATTGAATTTAGGGTTTAATATTATTATATCCAGATGGCAAGGTTTATACGTTATATGTGTAGAAATATCAAATTATATTGCACTCTATTCTTTTTTTTTTTTTTATGTGAAAGCTGGCAAACGAGCAGACGGCCCACTTAATGGAAGGTGGTTACCGTCGCCCATGGACATCCGCAACATCTATGTTGCGGATGCATTGCCAACCTGATTTTGTAGGGATAGGGAGGGGTGGGAATAAGGAAATCGTAGGAAAGGGTGGGAATAAGGAAATCGTAGGAAAGGGTGGGAATAGGGAAAGGGCAACCGGCTCTCTCACTCATCGGACGAAACGCAGCCATTAAAGGCTACTTCACGCCGATCTTCTGTGGGAGGGTGGAACTTCCCCGGTCGAGCCAGCCCATGTTCGAGCTGTAGTAACTGACTACAGCTAGGCTCTACCACCTAATAAATATTCTACTGTATTTAGGGTTTAATATTTAATGTATACCCAGGGGTCTGTTCCTGGAGGGCGCTAGTTGGTTCCGTAAGGACGGTCACCTACAGGAGCCGCTGCCCATGCAACTAGTGTTCCCTATGACTCCGATACACTTCAAGCCAATTCGAGCCACCGGGAGACGCTTGCGAAGTAATATATGACGACTTTATACTGTTCTACTTAAATCTATATAAATATGACACATTCTAAAACTAGGAAATAATTAATTCAATATAAAATAGTATTTACTGAAATATTTTTTAAGAAACAGAGCTAACAGCAATACATATACAAAAAAAACTAATTGAATGACTTTTATATATATTCTTATAATCACTATATATACTTATAATCACTACATACACTTCGTCGTCCTCGGCGTATTAGAGCCCACTGCTGATCAAAGGCCTCTTTCTCACATGGAGAAGGTTTGAGCATTAATCACCATGCTTGCCCAAGACGGGTTGGAGATTCTTATAATTGTGAAATTATAACTCCATTTCCTCACGATGTTTTCATTTACCGTCTGTCAGTGGTGTCTAAATACTTTTAAAAAGTACATATGACTTGTAAAAATCACATTGGTACTTGCCAGGATCGAACCCTCGCCCTCGTGCACTGTACAGCCCTAGCCAGGGTCTGCCAAAGGGTCTGCCATTGACTTACACATATACTTATAATAATATAATTTGTAGATCGCTACGTATGTCCGTGTTACTACTACCCTCTCCGTATGGGAGCCTTCGTGGTGGCCGTTGACCTACACTCGGGCAAGGAGACTTCAGACTTTTGGGTCAAGAGAGGCACCGCGCTGCTGTGCACGCTAGCTACTTAAACTAAGTTTTCATTAAACTTAATTATTAAACCTGTAGTTTATTTATTAGGCGAAGACAGATGAAGAAGTTGTGTTTAGTTTTAATAAATTTTATAAATAATAAATATTGTTTTATTTGTTGTATTACTTTTTGGTAACGACATGCAAGTGAAAGAAAATATATACGTTTTAACATTTATTTACAACTTAGAATGACTATAAGTAGGCGTAAATCTTCAAAATTAAATTAAATACAAACGTACAGCTTCAATAACGGTTGGAAAAAGATAGAATTATTGTAGACAATTAACATAATGAATTAAAATATACTGTGAAAAGTCAATGGATAAAGTAATCTTTAAAAAAAATGCTCTTAATAAAAAATGGCACCTAATATAGTAACTAACTTGTAATACATGAAATAAAAAGTGACTACAAGCGAGGCGGAGTTTTAAAACATTGATAATAACAATATACATATATTTTCGAGTAATTTCTTTCAAACTTGGATCCACTTTATTAGCGAATATACCAAAGAGACAAATATTTTAATCCGTTAAACTAAAAGCTATAAAATCTAAGGTTAAAAGTAAAATAACTTGCTTATATTGTAAATAATTAAATATTACCACAATAATACCTCACATACTTATAAACTAGATTGTTATTAATTGACTCTGAGCTTCTACATTTTTTTATTAGTTTCATTATGGCATTGTTATACAAATAAACAAGTAGAAGCTCTTTTAATCAGTCTACAACTTAAGTGATCGTATTCCCAATTACTAAGACGACACAATTTATCCTCTCGAAGAATTTAATTTAATTTCGTCAAGAATTATCTTTAATATATATATTTTTAATTCAATCAGCTGCTAGCGAGAGGAATTAGCGCTCATAACTAATAAATTGTTAGACGTTCATCAAACGGCTGGTTTATCTGATTGGTATCTTCTTGAATGGAATCTTCTCTTAAATCTTCTGTACGGACATCTCCCCGCACTTCTATCATAGGCTCCGTATTCGCAGTTCGGTGTGGTGCAGTCGCCTTGCTTCACACAGAATCTGTCTCTTAGTCCGAAGTGTTCCCTCCCTTTAGCGAGTGAGAGACAGTCGCGTTTTTTGTTAAGGTCGGGCCAGTCGCACACACAGCTGCACACGTCGTCCTTGATCCGCTTCCTAAAGAGCGTTGGGCATGTACATCTGGAAGCAAAAAGCAAAAAATACATGAGCATTATTAATTTGAATTATAATTAAGGCAGAAGATGCTTGGAGACACAGATCAATTAATCGACATATACTAATGGACATGCCGTACACGTATAATAATCTGCAGTATTTTTTTGATTTGAAAAGAGTGAGAGAGATGGCCTATGCTTTCGGTCTAGCACTATCTGTTTCCTCACAGATGATTGGCGCTCAGTTTTCATGACAAGCACGGTATATAAACTTATTTAATTTTTGTATTCAAATTTATTGTGAAAATAAAAATATATGAAAAGCTGTATGACATTAGGAAATAATAAATTATCCAGAAGGTCATATACATAACATCTTAATTACGGTACTATTTTGAGAGAGATAAAGATAGACCGAAACTCCGTTTCCACTCTTTCTTTCAGAGTGCCACAATTCTTATCTCTAAGGCATGTCCATTAGTGGATGTCGATGGGTCAATTTAAAACTATTTTCCTACCTGCGTAGTAAGGGTGGTGATGTTTGTGCTTCATCCTTCTCAGCTACTGGTTCTTCAGTAGGAGCCTGCCAGTCATTTTGTCTTTCTCTGTCTCGAGTCTCTTTCCTCTCTTCTTTATGTTCTATTCTAGTCCGGGCAGTGCTCTGTAGAGTATCACGCGAAACACAAGCGCATCTCGTGTGGTTAAAGAATAGTATTCGAGCTGCTGTTAGATTCTTGTCTGGTTTATTTAACTGAAAATGAAACCGAACATGTTTGATTATGACATTGAATTCTTATATGTTATGTTCATAAAAGTGTAGAAAAATTGTAATTAGACTTACAAAGAATGGTAGCGCTACATATTTTCCATCCACAGGAGCACACACTTCAGATTCGTCATAACAGCAACCGGAGTCGGGTGCACAGCGATGCAATTGCACGCAGGGAGGCATGTATCTGAAATAATAAGCAATTATTATATAATTTGGACACAAAATCTTAGCAAAATGGTTTTTGTGGTAGCAGATAATTAAATACATACACAGTATCAGCAGCCGGGGCTAGTTTTCTGACTGAGAGCCAACGTGGTTGTGGCGTGAGACATTTCCCAGCTCGCACGACGTTACCAATGTTGGCGATCACAGCTTTTCTAGTCGCCACACGTTCTTCTGCCGTGGCGTGTGCTGAAATGATACATAGTGGTTTAAATTTAAAATGGCGAATTTCGTTATTAGGCCAGTGTAGAAGCCTTTAAAATTAATGAAAAGTGAAAATAAATTATAGTATGTAGAATGTAACTCATTATAAAAAGAGGGGAATATTATAAAAATTAAAGGAAAAATAATTTACGGGCGATCTGAGGTCGAGATATTTTTTTCTTCACCATTGGTAAATAGAGATCTTAACAAATTGAAAACATACAAAATTTTTGAAAAACGCTGATATTTGACGGGTGATTTTTCGATTGAAAATGAGGCTGATTTTTCGATATTTATTCAAAATAAGCTGAAAAAATTAATATATCTAATCAAATAAATTACAGTGTATTTGTAACATCAAAAAGAAAGTTTTCACCAAATTTCGTGATAAAATATTGTTTTTTGTAATAAATAAAAAACCAAAAATTTAGTTTTCCGCAATTTTCACTTAAATTTTGAGGTTATGTAAAAAAAATGTTAGAACAAAAGTTTTAGATCTTTTTATTACCTACAACTTTGCCATATAACATTTTTCCGTAGGACTTTTAGTTTTGCCGGAAATCAAGAAAACCCATTTTTACCCTTAAATACCCATCCCCATACCCTTCCCGACCTCAGATCGCCCGTAAATTATTTTTCCTTAAATTTTTATAATATTCCTTGTATAATGAGTTTCATTCTACTATAATTTAATTATGTTTTAAAAGCTATCGGCACTGGTCCGTATTACCAAATAACAATACTGAAACAACCGTAGGATAAAATTAATTAAATGGACTCTATTTCCAATGTTTGTAAAGTTTTATTGACTTTAAAGTTAGTAAGAAACTGCATTACAGTTATTTAAAATCTTGATTAACTATAGACTATAGTAGATAGAATATTAGAAGCTCAGTTCTTATTACTCACAGTCGTCCAATATCCTTGGCCTCTCATTTGTAGCTGCTACTGGGTCCACCGCGGAAACTATAGTGTGTCTGTAGCCATCTAGCCTAGTGATGGCCGATGGAGTTACTCCCAGCAAGGGTCTAGTGGTGGAACTGGTGTCATCTTCCAAGGGATCCCACTCCTCACCAACGTCGTTTGCATAATCGCCATCACCCTCTTGATCTAGATCCTGAAATACGAGTATTATTGTAGCGTTAGAATAAAAAAACTGTCATTACCTCACATTTTTGATAGACTTTTGAAGAATGAAATAATTAGTATTATTGGGGCGAATACCTATGTATTTTATTAGGAATATTTAAGTTCTTTACATAATGAAAATGCATGTTAATAATAATAAATAAAATCCTTGTAATAAAACAGTTTTACACATAAATAGTCGGTCATTCGCGTTGTACCCAGCCTCAGGCTGACAACATAATGCACTATTTGCGTCAATTGTTCTAAGTCATCTTTAAGCTCAAGTTACAATATTTGTAATGCAACTAAGTGCAATTCCAATTTAAGACTGCGCAATCGTAATACCTACATCCGCAACCCTATAAGGCAGGTTTAAATCTATTGCACAATCAAATTATATTCCTACTTAAATAACTTAAGGGTTTTCGGTATTAAGCTTAACCAAATCCTTAATTTAATATGAGTTTTGATTTAATTACAAACATTTGCAAAAAAATAAGTTGGACATGAAAGCGAATTATTAAGTATAAATAATTGTTATGAAGTTTTAGTATTCTTAAAATGAAGTTATTTAAATAATCTCCATATACAAGCCAGTCAACGAGATGCCATTCCCGGTAGAGTACTGAAACAATTCCTTGTACAGCCAATGCGTTCACTTTACAAGAATGTTCCAGGAATAGATTCGAACGTCTGTTTCTTTTCATTATGATCGATTTTATTGCCTTAAAGCAACTGGCCATGAATCATTTCCGTTAACCTAAATATATAACCGATATTAAATATTAAATATTTTATTGACAATCATAATTTATGATAATTTTGATTTATGTTCAGACATAGCAGTTAAACGACCGACTGTAAAATATGAATAAAGAAAATGTATTAGGAGATGAAAGTTTAGTACCTTATTTGTTGTAATGTAAAATTTTATGATAGAAGAAAGTTTTTGTGTGTGACGAGAGTGTACAAAAAATATTACTCACTCATCATGTATGTACATACTCGTTTATGAACAATGATTTTGTCGTTAAGAATGCTTAAGCGTCATGTTTTTAGTGACAATATGAGAAGTGCTTAAATGAAAGGTACAAAGACCATAAACTTTCATTGCTTTCAAATCAATAGTGTCATATATGTTGCAGTTTATTTACTATATAACTGTTGTGTACAATATGTTCTAGAAGTTAGATAGATTATTAAAGATCGGCATAATTTTAACACATACGTGATCATATTTGGATACTGTAATTTCGGTAATATTGTTTTGCTGATAATGAATTAAGAAAACTTTTATAAGTTTATACAAATTTAGTCCATAATTTAATTTATTGAACAAAAAGTCAGGGGAAGTAGAGAGATATCTGTTTTTTAAGGAATAATTAGATAAAATATATGATTTATAAAATCTAATATCACTCGTGATTCTAAAGGACATAGTGAACAATTATTTAGTGTATTAAATTGGTATTTCCATCTTAGGTATTATACATTAAATCGGCAAAGGTCATAGTTTTGAGGTCAAAAGGAAAGTGAACAGGGATCAACGCGGTGTCGGGAGGTTATCGCTTGTGTAAAATTATGCTATTTACATCTGGTTAAGCTATTCAGCGGTTAAAATATTCTGTAGTTTATTATAAACTGATTCTATTGTTATATGAATTTTTTATAAGAGAAAACTTACTTCAGTTATAATTTAAAACAGGATTTCTTTTACTGTTTACTTCCTTTCAAAACGAATTGTGTATCTATTAATTTCGTAAAATCCGCGTTATGATTCCCAAGGCACTGTACCTAATGAGTCAAGATATCGGCAGAAATCTCTCATGTATAGGAGATAAGACTATCTTGAAATTAATTCAAATATTTCTATATAATCATTAATAGCACTTAGCAACAGAGCTAAGATAAATGTTGTATAGAAAGAATCATTAGTTAATTACGAAGTTTAAAATATCTTAGCATTGTTTGAATATTAACATCAAAGGTCACGGCGCTATAATGTACAGAGTGAACAAGAAATTAAATAATGTGCAGAGAAAAATATTTTAGTAACAGATGCACGTCTTTGAGAGACAGCGAGGAACTAAGACAAGTAGATCTATAAATATAGAAGCGTTTAATAATATAAAGAAGGATTCTTTTATTGGCAATAACTATATTTATTTGTATGAAAATATTATTGAAATAATAAATAGACAATATATTAAAAAAAATATTGATTTTCTTTATTTCGCAAAACAATAATTATATTACGATTGATGAAAACTTTTCTTTTCTTTGGCTGTAACGTCAACTTTTTCTTATGACTTGTCGAAGACATTTTTGTCATGTTCTTCATGACACTGACATTGACATCACGTTATTATATATATTTTTGTTTTATTCTATATAATAATAAAACAACGTTTATCTTCTTCTTCCTGGCAATTTCCCAGCTTTAGCCAGGGCCTGCCTTACATATTGTGAATAGTTTTGGCTAATTGTTTTTACGACCGGCCGCCTGCCTGACATCAACCCTCTTTGGGAATAAAACAAAGTTTATGTGTTGATTAAAATCATAAGTCTTTACATCAGGCTTACGTGAGACTTTCAAGTAGCGATAGCGAGGTTATTACTAAGTTATTTAGCAATTTCTCATAAACATTACATTTTATATAAGCAACATAATATTAAAATTATTAATTAATAATCTACATTTATTTATATATATTGTAATAGTTAACTTTTACTTTCAATCTTTTATTTGATATGTAGCTATGTTCTTTAGTTTGTCATTTCATTTGATTATTATCAATAATAATAAATTCTGCTACCAGAATGAAACCACGATGTAGAAGTATAATTTAACATAATATATTCGACCTCTAAATGAAAATCATCGATTATAGTACATACCAATAAATTACGATACAAATGTTAGTAAATCACATAGTTGCGTTAAACAAAATATTGTAATTAAAATATTGCCATTCGCTCGTACCTAAAGATTCTTGTTTGAAATATTTGCGTGTTATATGTAATGTGTTAAGATGGTTCAAAATAATATTTACTAATATACCTTTAGATTTGAATATACAAGAAAAGTTTTAGATTATTATAAAATTGATATAAAAAGGTGTAGTCTTTAGTTTTAGATTATTATAAAATTGATATAAAAAGCTGTAGTCTATAAAATTGATATAAAAAGGTGTAGTCTTTAGTTTTAGATTATTATAAAATTGATATAAAAAGCTGTAGTCTATAAAATTGATATAAAAAGGTGTAGTCTTTAGTTTTAGATTATTATAAAATTGATATAAAAAGGTGTAGTCTTTAGTTTTAGATTATTATAAAATTGATATAAAAAGCTGTAGTCTATAAAATTGATATAAAAAGGTGTAGTCTTTAGTTTTAGATTATTATAAAATTGATATAAAAAGCTGTAGTCTATAAAATTGATATAAAAAGGTGTAGTCTTTAGTTTTAGATTATTATAAAATTGATATAAAAAGGTGTAGTCTTTAGTCTTTAATTCCTGAGTAATGCGACATTTGGTATATGGTAGGAATGTTATTACTTTAAAATATGTTAATCCAAAAAATTATATAAAAAAAACTGCACACAGACAAATTACACAATTATATGTATACATGTAAATTTCGACAAGTAATACACAACATTACCCTTTTCTAGTTCGTCGTAATCGGTTAATAGGTTAGGTAAGGGACACATCAGATAAATATAATAATATTTATTTATCATTATTATTAACATCCATCAGATTTACACATGTAGTGAGTGCATATGAATTGTACGTAAGATAGAAATCAGTGGGCCACGATAATTCTTCAATTTACTAACAAGATTTCCTTGTGCAACGATTAACTTGTTCAGACATTTAATAAACATTATTTATACAAATAAAGCACAGAAACCGTTCATGTATTTACTTAAAATATTTTATTATATATAGATATTACAAATTGTTTGTTCGAAATCAGTTTCTACACTTGTCCCTTGCTTTGAGAACATGTTTATATTATGTCATAATTCTAAGAAACAAAACATAAATGTTCTTACTTATTTATAATCGTCGTTTAACGTACTTAGAATAGATTAAATGTGGTTTATAGAAGGTACTTAAATTAAAATATATCGCTATCATTGTGTGAAAACCAATATAAAATAAAGTTATTTAGACATTAATATTTTCGGGACGTATTTTTATAATATAAACAGTAGATAAAATATTTTTAGGTTTCAAAGATGGCATTCAAATAAAACAATCTTATCTTTTTAAAAGTAAAATGAAGGATAAATTCAAAGACTTAAGAATCACAAATATGAATGAATTTGTAGCCGAACTATTGCTAAGACGTCGCGTTAAGTTCATAAGATAAGGAGGTTATCGTTTTAAAATAATATACACAAATGGATTGATGTGCATATCTCAGCAAGGTGAATGTATTTTTAAATGTAGCTTTTACAGTGGGCTCTGGCGGTCTAAGAGTTAGTGATATTCCTAGAACGCGTCGGATGTGAGAGTATTAAACCTAAGCTTCGAAATCAGAAACGTATCATTATTTACGATAATTGTACATAACTTGAACATTTAAAAGTTAATTAATAAGTTATATGAGATTCAATTTGATGAGGAAGAAACTCACTAATTTGTTAAAACATTTGGTGGAGATAGAAATAACTTTTCGAATTTTTTTGTTTGTCAATAGAAGTAGTAACAAATCTAGATGGTATAATTAAAATGAAATTGAGTTTATTCAAGATGTCTTAAGCATTTTATTTTATTAATGAAAAAAAGGTTGAGCTAAAATTTTTAAAATGCAACGCTGTTAATTTTCAAACAACCCTGGAGATAACCCTGTACCCTAAGTAACCCTGGAGATGCGTGTAAAAATATTATTATCTGTATCTGGAAGTTAGAGATTTTTTAATAATATTTTTAATTACTCGAATTGAGATTTAAAGCTTTGGTTATACAGATATCTACATGTCTACAAAAAGCCTCTCAGGTTGATTGCTACCAATCAATTTATGGCACTAGTGATCTGAGTTTATACGAGTTTATACTTACTCTGCCTAAAGCCTAAATTATCTCATGGTTGAAAGTGTGTGTTATTTATTAAATACCAATATATAATCTATATTGATACGTAATATTGAGTACGTAATGATTACGTACAAGAAACTTTCAAATTTCAATTGCAGTAATGAGTTTTGTATTGCAAGTTATGGCTTAAAGATGGCACACTAATTGTTTGTTTGTGAGAATTACAAATACCTTTTGAATGACTATTAAGTATTATTTCTTAAATCTCTTATATAATGTGACATGTATGTATGTAACAAATTGAAGAATGAATATTAATAGTTTTGTGAATTGACCTTTTATTGGCGTAAAAGAAATATCAGAGATACATACATTTTAAAATAAAAATTGTTTAATATTAAAATCACTTAATCTTTAATTACATATTAAATGAATCCAATGAGAGTGTTATTATAATATTTTATTGTAAAAAAATAATTGAATAATAAAAAAAATGTATTTTAAGCAAAAATTTAAATTACAGTTTTTATTACATTTAGGGACATACTCTGTTAATAATTAATATTTTAATTCATTATTTGGTGTAACATTATAATTTAAAACTTACGCTTATTTATAACGTCTAAGTAGAAATCCCTTAATGAATTAGTTTCTTTTCCAAGTTTTATGGAATCTTTGATTTTAAAGTATTTGCTAGCAGTATATATGCATTTATTAATAAGTACAAAGACAGACAGATTTCTGTATCAAATAATAAGAAAATTATGAAGTAAAGTATGAAGTAGAAAGTAAGTTTAAGATTTCGTAAAAGCACATAAAATTTTAATGTATTTTGTAACGATTTGATAGTTTCTATTAGGATTTTAGTAAAAGATGTTACTTCCGATGAAAAACAAAAGTTTCGTTTCTTTTATAAACGACGAAGTTAAATTATTCAAATATATTCGTATCTATATTTTTTTTACTTTAAATCAAAGTTGATCTTATATTTTAAATTTAAAATTATAAGCACTGCTTTTATAATTTACTTTTTTCTATACTTTCTAATTGATTTTTTATATCATAATATAATAATATATCTTTGAGAAGACAGATAAAGTAAATGTCTTAGTCACACTGTTTTTCTTATCTTGTCAAATTATTGTTATGTAATTATTTCCAGAAAATTAAACGAAGTCGGTTCATGGAGACAACACAAAATAAATGGACTGTTAATTTTATAATAAAATGTCACTAGAGTCTGGAACTAGGATTCCGTTGTTAAATTTAAGTGTTGTTTGTAAATGCGTTTACTGGCAATATTACGACATCTTAGAATAATATTGCACATGTGACACAAACATAGCTACATCCAATAACTTTATTATGATAGCTTTTTTATTTTGTTTCTCATCTACGAGTATTTCGTAATAAATGTTTAACTGTACATTGTACAATATCTTAAAAAATGTTAGACATTCGATTAAGGATAAATGGCCATAGTTTCAAGACATATTAGTTATTTGAATCAAAATAAAAAACGTTTGAAAGCAACTTGGTCAATATTATTAATTTCTATTAATCTATTTTTTTATAATATGACTAAAAATGAGTGATAATATTTATTTAAAAGTTATTTGTCTTTTATTTCTTACGAAAATTATCAAGTTAATTTGACGTGTGCGCAATAATCGCTCGCTTTATTTGTTCTGCTGAGTGGTTTCCATCACTGAGTTTTGCAATTCAAATTGAGTTGAGTCGTGACCTACACTAAGTCTCATTGACTGATGAGGTATATGTATTGTATACGTAACTGTACATTTCTAAATTTTTCTTATTTACAATAATTATTTTAACATTAGTTATATTGCTCTGAATTACACGAACTATTTATAATCCTCATATTTGTCATGTTAGTATATAATCAATATATCTTGCACAATACTTGGCATCGGTGTCCAGTTAATTTTAACTGAACATAATAACTGAAATAGAAGAAAAAAATTGAATATTTGTGATGTGACAGCCCTTTGATCGTAACTGCGAAAATCTGAATTATTACTTAATAAATTTTATATCTAAAATACTTTTACAGACGCAATTGCATAATAAATATTATTTGTGTATATTATTATGTAATAGCAATGAAAATAATTTGTTAATTTTTACATCTGTAAAACATGAAAGAATTGTCTGAATATATATATTATTTAGTTTAAAAAACCTCTTATTAGTTAGTCTTATTTAAATGAACAATTACTAAATATTTATTATAAACAATTGAATTCAAATAGGGATTAAATTATATATGTCCCAATAGAGAAAGCAAGATCCTTTATGTTAGTTGGTTGTAAGCATTCAAAATGATTTATAACTTATTCAAATGAAGTTATTTTTCTAATAATTACGAAGCAGACATGGCTTGTTACGATTTAATTATTCATGCAGCTTGCGTACGAAGTGAATGGCTTGAATGGCTTGCACGAGCTGGCTTGTAACTCAAAGCTCAACCAGACGGCTACGGTTATTGAAATATGCTTTAAATTCAAAAACTAACAAAAAACTTTGAACGGACCATATTGTTCTCGAGTCGTAAATCTCAATTGCGATTATTTCTTTTGACTTGATAAACTGTTACAAAGACATTGAAATTTTAAGTGAATTTATGTAAAAAATAAATGTGATAGATTCAAATATTTCGTTCTTTTCATCAAATTCAATGTTTTTCTTATATTAATATTATTTTTATAGTGTTTGTGTGGATAAATTTTGTTTTTATAAAGTTACTTACATCGTGATCAGACCGTGTGATAATAATTCTGGTTTATGTGTATTTAATGTTTTATTGCGAGTCTAGATATTAAGCCAAGTGTTATATTAGTAAAATGATTCATGCAAAAGCACTGTAATGTCAACAACGTTCTAGGAACTTTATCTATATAGAACGTATGTTTGTTTGTCCAACGCCTAATCTTAGCATTTTCTTTTTGATACAAGTTTTGTAATTTTCGGCGGTAAAAAGAGATTAACCCATAATTAACAAGTACAATATATACAAGCAACAACTTTCGAAATTTGAAGATTAAAGTATAAATAATTATACAGAAGTTATAAAAAAAAAATAGAAAAATAAGAATCTTCTTTGCCTCTTCCCACGTTAAGTGGGGTCGGCTAGAAAGAAATCTAAAAATAATAATTATTGTACCTATATATACCCATAATAAATAAGTACTTTACATACAATTATTTTATATTTAATTTAATTATATTTAATTTATATCCGGGGATTAACCGTCCAGTATGTTATAAGAGGTAGAAAGAGAAAAAAGTCCCTTTTTTACTAATGCAATAATTTCATTTAAACAAAATTTACTTTTTCTGAAAGACATAATATCTTTATGTTTATGTATATATTTTTTAATGGAAAATATTGATTTAAGTATAAAATATTTTTATTAGAAATATTCGCGAGTATCCTTAAATCACTATCACATTTATAATACTATCAATGATTTCGGAATCCATCGGAACAGACATACATTTAAATTTATATATACATATTATTTTATATGTAAGTATATATTTAAATCAATTCTCGATCTACCATCTGGGGAATTACAAAACGATTTATCGTTATCGTTAAACAACGTATTTAAATTATATTTTGATATATGTATCTGATAATAATAAATCAGAAAATTGTTTTAGTAGTCGTATGTACATAAAAGGTTATTTAATATCTCATCACCACAACTTACATCATCGTTCCATTCAGGATAGTAATCATCGGTGTACTTGTCTGTTCTCTCATCATTGATCCTCTGCAACTCCTGGACCACTCCTCTGAGCTGGTCATCACTCATGCTCCCCCACAACTGCATCGCGGATAAAAGCTCCTCATCATCATCACTCAACTCTCTGTCCGGTGTCAACGAGTTCAATCTATCCAACTTAGCGTACAGTTTACTATTATATCTAGGCGCGACGGTAAATTTTTCTAATTTCTCGTACAACTTATCGAGTCGTTCGGCGAACGTCGGCGACTCTGTAACATGTGCGGTTATCTGACTTGATATTAAGAGGCACAGGAGTGTGAGACGCAGCATGATGCCACCGCGGTCAAACGAACACTGGCTCAGGCGCACGAGATGCCTCGTAGTCAGTGAGACTGTTACAGACTCCGACGGGCGACGCTCACGTTAGATTACTACGAATATCAACTAAATCACATCAAACATATTACAATAATATTATAATATCTTAAAAATCAAAGATTATTTATTCTGCATTATTATACTGAGTTAAGAATTTTTGATTTTTGGTTGTTTTAAAGAGTCAAAGATTAATCATTTACCCCGCGTTGCGTCCGTGAGTAGTTATATCTGAGATATAAATAAGAACCCGTCGGCGACCCATTCATACCGTCTGTATTTCGGTTGGGGATCGTTGTACCGAGATCGAAATATTTATTTACACGTTTTATATGCATTTATAAAGCTAAAGGATTATATATACTGATCAATTAAACTAACATAACAAGTAAATGAGAGGTTACATTCAGTACAAAACGGAGTTAATTTACCGTGGGGTATTGTGTTCTATATTAAGAATTCCATACACGGTTCGCAAACAGTTTTAGAAAAGGTAACAGTTAGCGGGGAACTTTCTTAAGCTCTATATGGATATGACATCACAATAAGTAAACTAAGCAATAATGTGACACACTTTGGAAATATGATAAAAAAATAAAATTACTAGCTATTACAGCGTTGTACATTACACAGAATATACGGAATAAACGAATAAAAAAACTAACGTTATGCAACTGTAATTTGAATTTAAACATTATCGTTTTCATTAATATATGTCATTATGATTATCATTATAACAACTTTTTATAATACAACGCGGGAATGCGTGTGGTCTGATAAAAACGTGACTCGGAACGAACCAGACGTTAGTGAGTTTACTTTACATGAAGTTTTTAAAACAACTCAACATCTGTAACGTTTCTTACGAAGCAATTGATACTAGTATTTCAAATTTGAACATTTTAGGGTGCGTGTATGTTTGTTGCGTCTTAACGCAAAAAATGCTTAACGGATTTCGATGGAACTTTACAGCTATGTAGCTTCAGTATCAGAATAGGACATAGATTATAATTTATTCCGAAATTAGCTATAGTTAATGCAGGATCCAGGCGTAACAGTTGTATTTCGTGTGAAGTCCCGACTACAGATGACGCCGACGATTGATTACCGCTAATGTTTTAAGACACTCCATTTCCGAACGAAGTTGTATGCAAAAACTAGCGATTAACTAAATTAGTATGGAATAAAGTCATTAAGTTAGAAGGAAATAAATCACATTTTACAGTAAGGTCGTGATCTCTTCGGGGATTTGTATAAATCACATAATATCTTAATTTTATGGTTTATGGAGTTATTCATGAGATCAGATTCAAGTCGATTTCTCTACAGATTGAGGGCACACTTTGTTATCATTACCTTATCCATGCTTTGTTGGCACACACTTCTTTATTTTACATATAGTGGGTGTTAAATTTAAAAATTACTTAAAATATATCGTTGTGCATATATCCCTACTAATATTATAAATAAGTAACTCTGTCTGTCTGTCTGTTACGCTTTCACGTCTAAACCACTGAATTGATTTTAATGAAATTTTTTACAGAGATAGAGTTGACCATGAGAAAGAATATAGGATAGTTTTTATCCCAGACTTTTGAAAGGTTATTTTGGAAACGCGATATAACCGAACACCACGCGGGCGAAGCTGCGGGCGGAAAGCTAGTAAATAATAATTTAGAGCTCTCCTTAACATGCCGCCAACTGATATTTCTGTTTGATCTTCTTCCCATAATAGCTTATTAAATAAATGCTAACATTAATTATAAAGATTCCAGGGGTGCTCAATTCTTGGTATGTGATAACCGGTTTTTAGTTTGTAGCGATCATTTAAATACGCTGGTATATATACAAGATAAACACATAACCCTTTTTGTCATCACAGCTTTCGGGTAAAATGATATACGAATGATGTCTTCATAGATTTTCGTATACACATTTAAATGAAAGTTAGTTTTTGTTATGATTTTACGTCTACATGTTTCCTAAAATAAAAATAAAAAAATGTTTACGACAGCTGAAAATTAATAATAATACTTATAAGTATGTTTAAATAATATTTCATTATAACTAATTAAATCTATAAGACTGCTGAAGCAAATCAAGCAAAATGTTGCATCATTAAAAGCAATTGTTATTAAATAAATATATAGTTGCATTAGTTAAATATTTTATTTCTTATGAATCATATCACTCTTAGCATGACCGTCTAAAGTATGGGTTTTAATCAGAAAATTCTTTCTCAGATATCTTCAATTCTAGCGAGTTCACGTCTCCATTCCACACTTTAATATTTTGTTTATCATCGTCTTGTTTTTGTTTGATTCTCTCTATAATCACTTGATTGTGGTGATGGAAAGACGAGTAGGGGACGTATGCCCATACTATGGAGCGATGCGGTTGAGAAAGTCTCATAGTAGAAGATGCAGGCCAATATCCACTTGACTTAGAATCGAGAGGTCTGGAGAGCTATGGTGGATAAAGCAAGCCGCCATGAGGTCATTTAGTTCTTAGGATACGACAAGAGAGAGAGAATCACAAAAAAGCCCTGAAACAGTATTACTTTTATTCAAAAAAGCTATCCACCATTGGTGTCACTATAACTGCAAAAACAATTTATTATTTATATGTATTCAAAATGATCAAAGCATACAATTAATCTATTTATTCTATGGCATTATAATAATATACGTTCTCAATATGATGTTATACTTACTTTTATTATATCCACAATATTACTGGGTTTTAAACATCAAATACGTCAAGCAGCTTATTACAAAAACTCATTAAATTAATTCATTTTATTAGAATTTGATAACAATGATCAAAAGACACCGGCGCTATTAATTACGACTTACGATAATAGTAAGCTGATAGCGATTATTTAAAGTAAGAATAACCCTTACCAAGAAAACATTGATTAGGAGAGGAATAAGTGTAAAATTAATGTCACTGAAGTACATAATGTATTTAAAACAGACGCTGAAGTACATTGGAAACATTTTCTATATTAAATTATTACTATATACATATATTACCTGATCATTAAATGCAAACAGAATATCTTTTTGATTAGGATTCTGAATATTTGATATATTTAAACTTTTTCATAATAAATTCAATAGGAAAATTAATTGTATTGGGTCCTATTGTATGGAACATCATTTCAACAGCATATATTTAGGGACAGTGTAATATGGCTATGAATATCATCAGTAGTGAAAATCTTGTATGTCTTAAAGAAGGAAGATTGTTCCCAACATGTGATAGCTTATTAATAAAGTTCCCGATTACATAATTACTAAAATATATCGTTGCAAATATTACTACATACATTGTAATTGCCGCTTTAACAGTGAAAAAAGTTACACCTATAAATTAAAGGCAAAAAACAGCTATTAATTGAAGAACTCATAAATGAACATCTCTTAAGCAATCCTTGGCATGAAGTAGACCACCATGAGTGTATTAAAAGTCAAAGTTCGCCGAACCGCTCCTTGGATGCCTGCATTTGCTTAATATTTTTTTTTTACATTCCTCCTTATTTCCTTCTTTTTGTTGAACGCATTCGGAATTTGTCGATTTAAGTTAACGATGTTTTATTTTTTACTTTTCTTATAATTATTAAATAATAATATTTTTCTTTAAGATGTTTTTGTTACTAACACGTGTTGTCCTTCACATCGTAGCAAATAAGCGAATTTATAATGTTCTCTTCTTTTGAAATAACATAATTAAATGAAAGAAAAATAATACACCATTTTTTCATACATACATATATGGTTTACGCCTAGCCTTTCTCGTTAAAAAGGATCACGAGATTGGTTTTAGGTGATAAAAATGATTAGTCTAAACATAATTGTTATAAACAATAACTCAAATATACATAAGATACGACATTTTAATTGTAATACGTCCATTAGAGAATTAAAATTTATTTTTGTCATTTCTTACTAATCATATTTACGCGTACATTAGTTCCGAGTTTCTTACACTTCCTAATGTAGTGTGTGTGATGTTTTTGATTAAAATTATGTTAAAATTAACTATCATATCATTAAAGGTCGTGTTAGACTGTTTTAGCATTAACTTGAACCCCTTCTCCTCATCAAACCAATGTCATTACACGCTGTATCAATATGTGCCTATATTATAAATGATTATAACTGGATTTCAGTTAGAAAATATAATAATATGACTAGAGAATGAACGGAATAAAGCAAGAATAAGCCTGAACAAGTAAGGTTCTGAAAGATATATCTAAAAATCTTTTTGGTTTGACTTTAGAAGTTACGAAGAAATATTGAATGACATTTGAAAGCGTTGGAAGAATCATAAATTAAAAATACGTCTTGTGCACCAATCATAAGATTTTATTCATGTTTAAAGTGTACTTAAGAGCTTCAATTTCTTCAAATGAATTTATGCCTTGCCTCTGCAAAGGGAAAACACATTAAAATGGAAAGTTACTTTACAGCTGTAATTAATTATTGTTTTATGACTAAATATTTTTTTTTGTCAAATCGTAAATATTGTAGATATGTTTTTTAATGTAGATTTTCTTGGATATAGACTTAATTTAATCAAAATATGTAGATGTCAGAACTTAATCAAAATTTTAATATAAAATATAAAAGCAATATTTCTGAAATCTAAAAATTACGTGAAGTAACAAAATGTTGCCAGCTTTTAATTTAAATTCTGTCATTAATTATATCTAATTTTACGTTTTTTATGGGTAAATATTTTTTTTGTTTTTCTTCAAGTAAATATAATAATAATTCCTTCAACATTGATTACAGAATACGGTAGTATGAAAGTTCACGATTTTTTTTCTTATTTGCAAAGTCAAATTAAAGTACCATCAGTTATTCGGGTTAACTCAATCATGGAAACAACTTCCGCGTACGATTGTTTAAAATTACTAAAATTACTTAATAATAACATAGGCGTTGTAGACTGAGTATTAATAACAGTGGGCTCTTGGCTAATATTACTACTAGGAAACAAAAATAAACTTCTTTACACCAACCTTAGTACGAGTTTCCATGATTAATATAATACTTACAGTTGAATTTTTTTTTTTATATACTATAATATTACTAAATAAAATAAGTTTTAACACGAAGTAGCGAAATAACTTTCATTTTATAGTAAGGTTTTTAAATTCATCTTCATCCGTGTTTACGGCCAACGCACTAAAACAAGTTCCTTTAACAATAAACCCTAGCTGTATTACTTGGTGATACTTATTTCTTATCCCCATTACTTTTTTATGAGTGAAAATTCTTTGGTTATGTACTTTAAGTTAGAATTCTTTGTTTTAACCGGAATTTCATAGATTTAAATCTTTTATTTTGTAATAAAGCATTCAAATAGATTTTGTACGTGTATAAAAAACTTAAAAAATATGTTCATTTTAGTTCATAGTAATTTCACACAATAGTTTTCTTAGTACATTAAACGCCCTACATTCATAACAGCTTCCACAAACAATAAAATATAATTTACAATCGTACAGCGAAAACTTAATTTTAACAGGCGTTTAATTTCGTTAAGCTCATATACTAGTAATTTTCTATACTATTAATATAATTGAAATCCCTCAAGCAGTAAATTTTATTAATTATACTTCAATAATAGTTAAAACCGCATAAAACTAGATGGGTTTTAATTGTTCCCACAATTCCTAGATGAAGAGTGAGTCTATAAAATTGACATTCCTAACTGTGGGATGACTATGACTCTTTGACATCGTGTCACAAGTTTATTGATATATAAATTAGTGATTTGTCATGAACGTATCTTGTTATGAATGCTATTTGAGATCGTCATAATATTAATTGGGCTTATTTTGTTTTATAAATTAAATTGTATTTTAATACACGTATATGTTATGACTTATGAGTGTAAAACTTTAATAAATCTCAGTACAATTTGATTTTAGTTCTTATCTTCATGATTTTCAAGATTAGAATTACTTTAGAAACCTTCTAATACTTATTTCATGACCTTTTTAGTGTAGTTTTGTTATTTTGAATTTACTGATTCCTTGTACCGTCGTGTTACAATCAAACCCATATAAACTTCATAGCTTTAGTGTGTGGTTTTACTCAAACCCTACTATACGACCAGCTGTAATGCGTCACGCGATAGATGAACGTAAAAATATAGGGATGATGGAATATACATGTAAAATAGTTACTTTAACTATTGTTAAATAGCAAATAACTATGTAGATAAGTTTTGTTTGTGGAGTTGAGCTAGTTTTGGTCACTCGTATTCGCCTATCTTAGAGATAGTTTTGTTAAAATAGAATTAGTCGCAGAGCATATTGTGGTGTCCATTAATTGTGGTCTATTCATATTGTGGTTATCCACATCCTGTAAAAGTCACATCAATGCATAAAAGTTCTCAGAGTTATTCCTTTAGTTTCAATTTTTTTGTATCTTTTACATCAATCATTACTGTTTTCTGTATTAACTTTGGCTATTGATTGAAATTGTAATACTGTCCTTACGCCATTATATTATTTCGTTATTCAATAAAGGCATCAACAATGTAACACAAAAACTACGGATTGTTTCGTCGTTAGTTTATTAATGATAAACGTCGAAACTTAAAGTATTTATGTAGCGATGAACTCGTACTAAAGTTCAAAACGAACTGGTTAGGTTGCTTAATCGTTATTTTAATTAAGAATTTTTGTGTCATTTCTCTTTAACAAACACAATGACATAATTCTTTCAAACTCGTCTGTCATCTGCCGGGAGTTGTTTGTTCTTTAAACCAATTAGTTAAATTTAATTGACGGCTGAAAAATTGAATTCTACATCCGACTCCATATTCTTTGTATTATTAAAATTAAAATTGCTAGTTCCAAGAATGTTATGTTTGAATTTATATTTTTATTTAATTAATAGTAAGATCTAGTCTGTTTTCTATTTTATTATTTATTTATGGATACTTAAAAAGGAAAGTTTACTTTTTAATTAGTAAAAGTAACGTAATTTTTACGACATTGATGTTCAGTAACCTTAAGTTCTAAATAATGATCGTATCAGGTCACTTCTGAGAATGGCAACACTGTTGTAGAATGAACACTGTTTCTTAATTTAATGCATTTCCACAGAAACAGCAACAAACAACACTGCTTTCATGGTGTTATTAAACTAATACTATGTTTAACATACTTATTTATAACCATCATTTGAAAGTGCTTGCAAACTGTTAAACGAAACACATTAACTAAGTCCTTAAAATGATAGTGATAAAAAAGATAATCTTTCATAAAACTTTCATTCGAAATTCAAACTAAAAATATTTAAAACTCTCACAAAACTACGTTTAAAACAATATTATAGATCTTCAAAGAATGCTGTATGAGAGAATGACACTTGTGACAATTCAATACAAAATATAAAATTTATTCAGCGAGAAAATACTTAGTTTATAATTAACCAGTTTCAAAATAATAATTTTTATTTAAGGAACCACCTATGTTATTTCAAATTTAAGTCTTAATTCTGTTTCACTCTCCATAATTTATATGATAAATTACTTATAACTTAAGCCATGATTAATTACTCACTTCTAAAAATCTAAAAAGCAGGATAAGCTAATTAGTTAAAAAATTCTAAAAACAAGAATTAAAAACCATTTCATGCTGCAAAATGCCGCGTTGTCTACCGAGATCACGCTACCCACGTAGGGTTTGTTGTGTACATTCTAATTTAGACCCTAATGTGTATGGGATAGAGATCCAGGAAAACGAATGGGGCGATGGTAGAAAGTATGTCGACCCGTCCCCATATGGGCACCACGTGTTCAAGTAATTGCTGGCATTGCTAGATACTCAGCTGGTTTTATCGTGATGCTAATAAGACACTTCCTAGACTACAGCGATCAATGATTGGAATTCATCGCGACTAGCCGTGGGAATATTGTAAGATATACTGTTTATTACTAACGCAAATGTTGTGGATGTAGAAATAAAACAATACTATACTAGTGACCTCGAAACAGCTTAATTCTCTATAATATTAATATTTTTTTTATCAATACATAATCACATATTTAATTCTTAGTATTAGTGGGAGGTGGTAAATGGAGTTTGGCTGCGAGCTCGTGGGGTACATCCAGGTACGTCTTCTCGAGGCCCATAGTGAGGATGAGGGCTCGAAGTCGGTCTACCTCCACGTTATCACCCTCACTCGACCAAACCGTGATTGAGGAGTTTAGGGAACTGGTCTCCCGAACTAAATCTAGTAATACCGGCTGGCTGTTTGATGCGAGACCAGCTCTTACCTAGAAAAATAAATATTCAAACACTATTCAGTCCATTTACTTGCAAAGATCTTAAGAATGGGATATTTATTGAAATGTTATGTTGAGAAGATTACTTTCACCAAAGTTTTATAGCTTGTGAGTTATTATGCGGTGTTGTAGGTAAATGAGTAATTTACTCACCGGGAAGGTAACAGTTTGATTGACGTTGTGCTCATTGACTAAACGGAGCATAGATCCTATTTGTTCCCTGCTGTATTCCCCTTCAGTTATGTTTCCTCCATAGTTGGTGGTCCAACCTATAGATAAAACTGCCCGTGGGTGTTTGGAAGCTAACTGAATGAATTTTTCGGCGTCTACAGGCTTGGTAGTAGCTTTTATCGGACCAGGAAGAATGTCCGCATTCAACCAAAGCGGAAACGTCACCTGGGAATATAAGTATAGTAGAAAACTACGTTATAAAAGGTTAAAATGAATTATTAACATACTTATATGGAGATGAAATAAAAATTCCAGTCAAATCCGATTAAGATCGTGAAGAATATTTAATGACAACAATGTTTATAAATACACTAGCCGGCCGCGTCTAAGCTTTTTACTTTTTATTGGGAGCAATTATACCGAAAGACGCTATACGTTCAAATTCATAATTCACACGCTCAGTCACCGTTTATTAATACTCCACGCGATATCCTTAAAAGTGAACCGTATCGCCTTTCCATACTTGCTCGATTTCCATAACAGATCGTATTGAGGAATCAACAATTTAAATGCACGAGCATAAAATGCAATTAGGTTGGTTTTCCCTTGCAGCGATATCCTCAATGTCATGGCATGTTTAAGCCGATTTTAATTGCCTAAATTTGTTCAAAGTAATAAGAGCTTAACAAGCTTATTTATAGAATGACTCACGGGTAACTTAGTAATTGCAATGGCATGGCGTTTACTCGGAGGCAACTGAATTAAAGTGATATTTAGGTTATAAGGTTGACATTTTTATTATGGTACTCGTGAATCATTATACAGCAGTGAAGAGGAAGAGATAAGACTTAATATTACATTATGTTTCTAGTAAAATTGTATCATTATATTTTGTTAGTTATTATAAAAAAAGTTAAAGGTTTATCATATATGTGCTTTATTTCTATATTTTTTTTACTTTATATTGCTCCTTGTTCTTGCCTGCGACTTATTGTGAGTTTAGTTTATGTTTAGAATTTATGAAAATAATACATATGGCCACCGACAAACAACGACATCTATAGTACGTGTGTAGATCGTTAATAACAACCAATTTAGGTATAACCTAAATTTTATTCTGATATGGAAGCCACATTACTTAAAATATTTAAAAAAGTATTTAAGTACTTTCTGTCAAAAAATATCCATAAATCCTAATAAACTCTTAAGGCTTAAACGAATAATGTAAATAAAACCTCCTGCATCAGGAATAAAAATTACACAGAACTGTGCTATGTAGTGGTATTATACAAATATGAATGTTATCTTACCTCGGGCTTACTGAAAGGTGCTATAATATCCTGCGCCTTTTCAAAAGCCTCAATACTCTTGAAGTCTAACTTGACGCCTTTTTGCTTCGCATTGACATTATTATATTGCGCCACGCCGGTAAGAAAATCGCCCAAACTGAGATCTGAAGTGGTTGCTGGAGGGTGCGCCATTATGGGAATGGGGGGGCCGTCTTTACCGGTAATATGACCAAGGACCACATCGGCTTCTAGCATCGACAATTCACCTTAAAAATAATCGACATTAAAAAAATCCTCATTTATACAGTAAAAACATCAAACGCCTACAAGAATAAGTCAAAAAGGAAAAAGCCGTTTTACAATTTTAAACTACGTCTTAGATTTTTTCATCATTAATATTCTAAAATCGCTTCAAAGTTATTTCTTAATAGTCACGAATATATACTCGCAATTTCCGTTAGCGGTTGTGGTATTAAAGTGTTATTTCAGGGCGAATACTTACTAGCTAATGCAGCTTCTAGATACGTCTTATTGTTAACTGCGTGTGCCCAGGTTACGGTTGTTAGGTTCTTCATTGCTTCCTCTTCGGCAAGAGCCACAGGGGCTGATAAATTTAGAATAATTGTTATTTGTAAGGAAACTTTTAATATTGTAACATTATTTTTCACTTTTTGTTTCATGAACAAAATATAATTTGTAAATATGAAAATCCTATTCTTAATTACAAGTTGAAATTAATCAATTAAAAATCATAATTATATTCATGGCAGGACATTGTCAAAACTATTTCTTTCAAAATATATAGTGACGCTTAAAACAAAAACTGACAATACTGTTATTAATTAATGATAACTGTTTTATTTCATACTGTTATAACATCATAAAATTTATACAGAAAAAATAAATAAATAATTTCCTCGGTACTAAAACTCTGGAATTCAAAGCTAAATAAAAAAGCAACAAATGATTCTTTTGACAGAAATGTTGTTTGAAGTTTTGTTTCAAGTCACCTGTCAGTTGTCAATTTTAGGAAACAGCTGAGTTGTAATCGAAAGCACAACTATTATAAATGAATACTATGAATTTATACGCAGTTTTCAAATCGTACTTACGTTAAATTATTAACAAACGTTTACTTATATTAAGTGGCTGAATATAAGATGCAACAAAGCAGTCGTCTTCTTTGTATAACACTTCAATGAAGGTCGTGATGCGCGTAATCGGTAAATTGCAATGACGTTACTGGACTTCTTTTAATTTCCGCTAGGGGCGCTGGTTGTTAATACTTAACTGTTACTTGTGTTCGGTTATACTTGGATTATTTATTTTATAAAAAGTTTATTATCTATCTTTTCTAAAGACATTGTTTAAGTTATTACTTGCTTTTTCAAATATTAGTTAGTTTATTTATACCTATCACTATGTTTTAATACATTTGTTACGAAACCTGCTTTTAACGACTTCATCTATGATATAAGAAATAAAAAAAGTAAGCGCCTGACCTATAAAATTAGCAAATATGTAAATGGACCAACAGACGGTAAAATATTATTTTTTGGACCAAAAATAAATCTAGATCGCGTAACATAAATAATGTAAGAAATATAAATGTCTCGCTTTGAAGCGGTTTCCTTTATAATAAATTATGCAGTTCACTATTAATTTCGGATGTGGCTAATGATTTAAAATTAAGACGCCATATAATATTACCGCGACCCAAATAATTTTATTGCTATTGATTTATAACTAATAAATTATACATGATTTTAATTTAATTTACAATACACATAAAAAAATTAATGAATAAATAAAAATTTCATATTTTTTATTAATGAACGTTGCAATTAAAAATATACGGAAAAGGAGGTGCTTAAAAAACAGTTTTTCTATGAAAAATGTGATAATGTCAAAAGGTTAGTTAAAGAAAATAACTTATTTACCGAGGCATGCATTTTATTAATATTAGCTTATATTTGCATTTAATATATCATATAAAATATTTCCTAAATTTGTTAGTTAAAAAAGCAAACTAAACACAAAGGTAATAAAAACTATAATCATCCGTACGATCAAACTTTCATAAATATAGTTCTTTTGTTCAATCAAGTACATTTTGGCGAGTCTTAATATAATGTATTAATTTATATCAATATTATACATACTTTTGACTTAGAATAACTATAAAATTTATTCCTAAAATCTCTTTTATACCGCATTATAATATACCAAGTTAAAAAAATTAATTAATACAAATGAATGTCAATTTAATTAGAATTATATACAAAAATATCACAATTAAAATGACGTATCGTCTACGTTAGACGCCAAAATTATATCCAAAAATAGTGGCTAAAATTCCTACCTGATAAAGCCAGAGCCACAACAAAGGCGAACATTTCGTTCCAGGGATCGTGGCGACTGGTGCAGGATGTATGGAGGATCGCAGGAAGTCACCTGGACAATCGTCCAATTACATGCGATTGTGGCGAACAAGCAAATTGGTAACATATCAAGGACACAGAGAGATTTTATCTAATCTAGACACGCGGCGTGACTGTGCCTGGACCATTGTAACAAACTACTATCGTGAAGATGAAGAAATACTTAAAAAAATATTAGTAACACAATAGTATTGAAAATTTATTTGTACGTTTTTTTCAATATATTTATAGAGATCCAGAATAATCTTTCTAAATGTCTTATCTCTACTAATATTATGAATGCGAAAGTAACTCTGTCTGTCTGTGTGTTACGCTTTCACGCCTAAAACATTGAACTGATTTTAATGAAATTTGGTATAGAGATAGAGTTGACCTTGAGAAAGAACAAAGGATAGTTCTTATTCCAGACTTTCGAAAGGTTCTCTTGAAAACGCGATATAACCGAACTCCACGCGGGCGAAGCTGCGGGCGGAAAGCTAGATGGATTATAATTAATTGAATTTTTTTACAAACAGAATTTATTTTAATATTTTTTTTTACATCGGTAGACATGACGACTCTGACTGACAAAATAATTGAGTCCTATCATCTGAGATGTCTGATAAAAATGTGTTGAGATAATACGTATATATCACAACTCCATAAAGAAAAAACATGCCATTACATACTTATGTTATTTACTATTTTCTATTACTTCTTCTGCTTCCTGGCTATTTCCCAGCTTTAGCCAGGGTCTGCCAACATATTGTAAATAGTTTTGGCTAATTGTTTTTACGACCGGCCACCTGCCTGACATCAACCCTCTTTTGGGAATGCATTAATCAGTGATGTCTAAATACTCTTAGAAGTACATATAACTCGGAAAAATGACATACGTACGTGTCCGGCCCAGGATCGAACCCGCGCCCTCGAGCATGAGAGGCCTTTTAACCACTAGGCCACCACTGACTCTGACTACTATAATATATTTAATATTTATTTCAAATGTATGTAATTATTAATGCGAATGCGATCATTAATTTTAAATGTGTTTTTTTTTGTTAATTTCATAATACAATTGCATTTAAGAATCAACGGGAAAGGCCTTGTATTAGGCTCTGTTTAATTTCAACATATTTAAGATGTGCTGGTGCTGTGGCGAACCTGGCAAACATCAAACGATCTTTTCCCTATAAAAGTAATGGAACTCCGAGGTGTAACTGGAGTAATAATCTCGTAGAAGTAAGAAGTAACATAACAGATAAAGTTTATTTGGATGGTTTCTTGAAGTATGATAGCTTCGCTCTTTATATGGTGTCCATGGAACGCAGTCCAGGAAAAACCTTAGTGAAGAGTCTCAAGATAGCAGAAAAGGGCTCTTGAGAGACTGAATTTCTCTAAGAATAAGGGAAGGAAGACCCGTAAAAAGAGCAGTTCACTCTGACTTCTACATTGGCGCGTTAGTAAGGCCTGCATGGAGTAAAAGTTATATTTCTGACTGTTTTACTTCTCTTGCAAAAAGATACGATGGATATATACACTATAAATTGTAGTTAAGACTTAAGAATATTCATGAGAAATCTCCGATTGTAAAACAAGTATAACATAAAAACAAAAAAAATATTACAAGTAAGATCAGAAATGATCGTAATAAATGTCTCAAAAATTGTTTAAAGTTGTTTGAAATTGTTAATTGTGTTATTTTTCTTCCCATGGTCAAAAAAAAGTAAAACGTTTTTAATTTATTAAATTGATTTTAAACTTAATATCAAATTATGAGTTTTGAAATTTTACAAAGTTAGTATATTACACGTTTTTATATATTCTGTTTGAATTCTTTTTTCAATAGAACAATTAGCAAGTTACTTATTATAATATAACTAATAACTTCTTGTATTATTAAATGGTGAATTTCTAAAAATGAATTTAAGTATATTGTCACAAAAACATGTGACGTTATATGAATATGTATGAATATAAGAATTAAGTATGATTTGAGGTTGAAGACTGAGTTACAAATTGTAGTTTTTATCACGTTTTGTCATTTATTGAAATTAAGTCTAGTATTCTACTAAGAAATATGCTATGCTTAAGTGTCCTCAAGGATGTGTGCTCATATTTTTATACTCCGGTATCATTCATGCAATGAAATTGCTTGAGATTTTCTTGCATTTAGAAGAATTTGAAGAAGGGAAGTGATTAAAACTTACTTCACCAAAATTAATGGAGTTTCTTGACTTAAAATATACTTTTTAGTGGATCCGGAGATAAAAGTTTCTTCTCATCCATTTATATATTAAAGATGATCTACCACTGAGTCCAAGGAACTTAAAAAATTGATATTCTGATACTATGTACCATTTACTGCCACCGCATGCCCTTCTTCTTCAGAAATTCAAGTAAAACCTGTTTCGATTTTAAGGTTACAACCCTAAAAGTTTGACTATGAACATAAAAATAGGGATGCCAGTTTGTTAATTTTATAAGATCCATTACTTCTAACGTATCGGTTAAAACAGTTTCATTAAGTATATATAAAAATTGTTTAAGTATTCGTCATAATTCGACTGCGTATAGAATTGAATATTTTCTCCAAATTATCTCATATATTACTTGTAAAAATTGTAAAGTGTACCTAAAAAGTTTGTTGCTATGATTTTTCATGAGGTCTTCAACAGAATTGAACATGAAAAAAAATGTCTTCAAATAAAACGTCTGCCCTTAAAGTATTGCTAACATTTCCTTTCAAAATGACGAATATTTATTTACGTCTTTTCAAACAATCTCATTGTTATATATTTTTAATTTACATATAGTTAAAGGCTTTAATATTAATTAATAGTTAAAAGTAATATTGCTCATTATAGGAATAAAGAAAGCCGCTTTTGTTTTAAAGAATTTTGAAATATGTGTTTATTTAATAGAATCCTCGACAAGGTCTTTGATAGGTAAGTAAACATGTCCTCATTTTACCCAAAAGTGAACTAAGATCGTTTTTAACTATTGCAAAATTATTAAGGCTTCCAAATTACAGACTTTTGTCTCGACCTAATAATATTATCAGTTATTCCATACTGGGTGTCTCATACATATAAATAAACAACATTTTAACAAACTCTTGTCATTACTTTGCACAGATAATACATATTCTAATTTCTAATAATAAAAAGTAAATAAAAGTTTCTCTTAATAGAAATATATAGTTCTCTTTATTTCCATGAAATGCCATGTCTATGGAAATGCCGGCGGCAAGATTGTGTCCGAATATGTATATTTAATAGGGGAGTATTCCGAAAAGTTTATTTTTATGTTTTAAATTACCTTCAAGACCTATATTTTAATTCCACTCTGTTTAAAATATATAATATCAACAATACATATGTATTTTATTAAAAAACGACTATTAATTCATATTTGAATTTTAATTTTCCTGTTTATATTATGTACAGTTTTAGTCAGTGGTGGCCTAGTGGTTAAAAGGCCCGCCTCTCATGCACGAGGGCACGGGTTCAATCTTGGCCCTGGCAAGTACCAATATGATTTTTCCGAGTCATAAGTACTATCTAACAGTATTTAGACATCACTGATTAATGCATTCCCAAAGAGGGTTGATGTCAGGCAGGCGGCCAGTCGTAAAAAAAAACAATTAGCCAAAACTATTCACAACTTGTACGGCAGACCCTAGCTAAAGCTGGGAAATTGCCAGGTAGAAGAAGAAGAAAACAGTCCAATAATTGTGAGTTTTTGACTTTACGGCATATTTTGTCGTGAAATCAGTAAAAGGATGTACATTCCATAAATGGTGCGTTTAAGTATAATTAAAAAACAATTAAAATTTCATTTGTTTAATGTAATTTCTTTCTCAAGTGGCCTGAAATTCGTATGTTTATCAAAATTATGTATATATTTGTCAATCACCTTAAAAATTATTACAATATCCATAGATTACTTGTGATGGTAACTTATTATACAATGTTATTATTAATTTAACTTTTATCCAGATACAAAATAACAATTGTGAGCGTCAATATGAGAATAATAAATTTTTAAATATTTAAGTTTTTCCCTAATCTTATAGGTCACTTACATTTAAATGTTTACCTAATTAATAATATATTTTAAAACATAATTGTCATAATGTTGTACTTTTTTGGAATGCATATACATATTAAATTTAATATTTTACATTATTTTAAACAGTCAAAATAATACAAAGTAACAATGGCTTGTTAATGAAAGTGTTCCATAGTATGAGGTTTATAGTTCACGAAAATTATTACAATTTTTGAGATCACAGTCATCTGTTACTGTAAATGGTGTTAAAAAATTGTAATATGTCCTTTTCATTATCTATAGTGCTCATACTAATGGTATATATCTTCATATTTTCAGTGTAATGAGTTAAATAAATGGATTTACAAAAATTCATCCACAGTTATAAATTGATCATTCATTACTATATTCAAAGAGGAGTTTAAAAACTGTTGGTTAGAATATTAAAATTAGATCCTGCAACATCAGAACACCATGTATACCTCTAATTCTAAATTAACGATTATAAACGAGTCTTGATTCAAAATATTAATATTTTATGTACATTCTCATAAAACAACAAATTTCCTAAACGGGCCTAGTAATATCACATTAATAATATCAGCCAAGAAAAGTATAAAACAAATACATTCATACAGTCAGCCACACCGATGTACACTTACAAAGAGAGTCTCGCTCTTATTAACTATCACATAGGGTTTAATTTTACTTCAGCTTCGTCCTTTTCTTTGATTTCTTGTGGGCTGGTGTACTTGCTTGTTTTTGAACAGCATGTTAGAAGGGCCAGGGCGAGGGCTGCGAGTGCTACAGCCACCCCCGCTAATATTGCTCCCCCTCGCTCCAAAACAGCTCGTACTGATCTCAATTCAGATAGCAGTTCCGGAGACACTTGAACCTTTTGCTCCACCCAAAACACTGGGAACATCATCCGTGGAACGTTTTCATAGAGTCTGCAATGAGAAAATGTTTACTTATAATAATTTGTTGTTTAAAATATGGCCTTAACTCGTGCAAAGACGTGCACAGTATATTTTGCCAGTGTCGTGTAGAATTGAGGAGACAATTTATTTAATATTTATATATTGGAATTAGGAACTATAACTTTAATGAAGCTTGCAACATGAAAACAACTTGAGACTGTGATCAATTATTATAAAAACTTATTGGTTTTCATAATTATTGTTATAAGTAAAACGAAATCAAAACTTATTTCAGTCGAGACTAGAACTATGTATGTTTGAATTTTTGTATAAATACGACGTTTGGAAGAACGACGTTTGTTTTCAGTGATTGCGGATCATTGAAGAATGTGAATGTAATGAACCTTCGAGAAATACAAGGATATTTAGAAAAATTGATGTTTCATTGTGAAATATCATGAAGTTTACTGAAAGAAGTGACATTAATGACGTCAGCAAGGTCTCCGTTTTTAAAAACAGCGAATTAATATTAAAACAGATATATATGAATTATTAGCTATGACATTGTCTTTTGTGGGTGGTATTTGGTATACTAAATTAATTGTACGTTTGATTTCTTTTCTTGCTGGGACTTGTTTACTTAGAGAGTTATATATTGTTATCCTAGTTTGTCTCTTCTTTAGGATGTTTAATGTTGGTCTTTTCTTTTAAAATTGTTATAGTCCATTAGTTATTTTATAATATACGCTAGTAAAATTATATTTATCTATTAACTAGTTTTCCGCCCGCTGCTTCGCCTGCGTGGATTTCGGTTATATCGCGATTCCAAGAGAACCTTTCAAAAGATTGTAATAAAACTATCCTGTTATTTCTCAAGGTCAACTCTATGTCTGTACCAAATTTCATTAGAATCAGTTCAGTGGTTTAGGCGTGAAGGCGTAACAGACAGACAGTCAGACAGAGTTACTTTCGCATTTATAATATTAGTAGGGATATAACTCACGCAATATTTGGTGTCGGTTCAATAAAAACATTAAATTGAAATCTTCCAGCCACATCCACAGGCACTCCGAGTCTCTGAAATAAAATGTAAATATTTATATCCATTAACAAAGAATAAATAAGATAAGTATTCAATTAAAATATCACTTATACAGGCAGGATACATAAATAATGAAAAGTGGAATGCGTAATTATAAACATTTATCTAGTACAAGTATTAAAATGTATTCAACAACGATGATTATGATAAAAACCGTTTGATATCCAACCGATTATTAAGGCAGGTTCACCTTGCAGAATAATCAAGATATTATTTGCTTTTATAACAAAAATCATAAAGAATTTATAGGAAGTTTATTTTAGAGTATCTTATTTATTTGATTCCCTTCACTATAAGGAAACACGAATAGTATTCCAAAATAAAGTGATACAAATTACAATGGAGGGAACAAGTTTTAAATGTATATAGAACCATCAAATGTATCAAAAAATCTTTACATGACTATACATTGACGAAATAAAGCCGATTCTCAACTGGAAGAGTTCTTTCTTCTACAATACTCACCGGTTCTATGGCGAAATAAAAGGAATGCTTTTCAGGATCTGGCGATAATCCTGTGACGTATGATCTCAATTCAGGATCTCCGTACAAAAAATGTGGTAGTGACATGAACGCGGGGCTGCCGTAACGACAAGCGGATACATTCATCGTGCCGCTCCAACTACACTCGCCGCTGCAGAAGCAGGCGTTCTCAGGAGATCTTACAGCTGCAATAAAGTTCTGGATTTACGGAAGTTCTGGATTTGAATTTGATGAAATAGAATATAGTACTTAAAAGAACTTCTAAATCAAATTAATTTATGCTATTTGAGAATATTTAGTGTATGTGTAAATACATTAATATTTATCATTTATTTGTCTTAATTATAACTATTTTTTAATCATAAATCTTGTATGTTGTGTAAGTCTGTGTCCTAGAAAAACTAGACTTATTTATGTACATCAAGTTGTTTACATTGGTACCGGTCTTGCACATTTAACATTCCTTCATAATTTCCTTTCAATATTTGTTGATACTTAAATTTAACCAAATACAAAGAAGTAACAACGAAACAGAACGACAAAAATCAGTGATGAAGACATATCTGCACATGAATACTTTATTATATCATTAAAGGTTGTAAGTGAACTCACAATTATCAAAGCTTGCGTCAGTCATGGTGTACTTGTTGTACATAACTCCGTCTAAACTTCCACTGCTATCAAATTCCAAGTGAACTGTTCGACAGAGATCAGGGACAAAGAGTGTGAACGGCTCTTCGGTCAAATTGTGGGCCATCATCTCACCAGCGCTGCCTGTTATCTGGAAATATATAAAAATAAAAATTGGGTCCATAAGAACAAGATTAAAGCGATTTCTGACTGACTGAGTGTGTCCATTATTTTGTGAGGCATATTAGTTGTTACAATTACCTGGGAGCACGCCCCTTCATAAAACGGAAGGCTTTCATAATTGTTCCACCTGAGTATCTGTCCGGGATAAGTTCCACTCGCCTCTCCTGTTGCTACTTCCACCAAACCCTCAGTATCCATAGAATTATTTCTCTGCAATTTAATAGCATCATATATATTATAATTTATTTATAAATACATTTTATGATTCAATAAATAGATGATTTTTATTAAGTACATGCTTTGAATAGCTTTAAACTTTATAATCTTTTTACAATAATTTATAATGTTGAGTTTCTCCATCTTTATAATAGTAGGGTATATGTACATAGATAATATTTATCACAATAACCTTATCTATCAACAGATGAATATTCGTATCGACTAATTAGACGCCAATGCCCAATAATCATCTTGTAATGCAACGATTCAGATAATTGCTCCATGAAATGTTGTCTAAGTGTACCAATACATTTGACATATAATTCATAATGTATCACATTACACATATTAAGAATCTAAATAATTTAAGCTATTTATAAAAATATATTTATATTTACGTCTTTCAAAAGTATAACGAGATGTTGGACTATAATTATTTTAACACTGCTTACTTTTTAGTATGATTAGACCCAGTTTCACATATCAATGTTTGTTTTATCTAAAGTCTAAACCCATCATTTACTAAATACTAACCAACCTACAAAATTATAAATGTCAAAATATTTACGTCCCACGATGACAAATTAACATCGCATTATTAAACGTCATGTCAAATGACCGACTACCAAATTATTCGTTATTGTTATAAGACGACCAAATGGAAACTATAGCGTTTACCATGGCACGTTTGCCATGATGCACCACTTTATACTTTGACCGTATATATCTCTCGATATGTCACTTGTAAGCTAATGCGACCAAATTTTATATATCGTTAGTTGCATACATTTGGCACACAAAAAGCTTTCTTTTCAATTTACTAGGTGTAACCTGTCAAAATTGGGTTGTCAATAAATTGTGTTATATATTATTATGTTATAAATATAGGCATAAATTATGTTCAAATCATAAGAGATAAAAAGAAAATTTAATTTGCAATGTCATAAAAAAGCGGTAGGCAAAATCATCATAGGAAATGAAATTTTAATTCACTTTATTAATAAGTACAAGGAAATAGTCGAAACTGACAAAACAGATGACGTTACTATGGTTACAAGAAATCAGGGCTGTGATTGGACAAGTGAGTTTTGACAATGCCATTAACTTTCTGTTAGCCATTAGACGGAGCTCCAGAGCAGGAATTAATATTGGTGGCTGGTTAAGACATTTAAACGGACATTTGTGCGTGGTGGGACGCTCGATACATCTAACAGAGCATCATACGCCTTAACACGATGTTACTTGTTTAACAATGATTGGTAAAACTGAGTCTAAAGGAAAGAAAAATATTTAGTATTTAAATTTACCTCGTAAAAGAGACCGAACCGGTCCACTGGTGGCGCCCCTCCAGTCGTGGTTGCAGGAAGAATCTTGGCTATATCCAAGAAAGGATCTTCGTAACCTTCAAAAAACAGTTCTTCAGCTGTCCTAGTCACTGAGAAAGCTTGACCAAGCATAGCGAGACCCATTGACAGACCCTTCTGCTGAATGAAACCCCAGTGTCTCGAACGATAGACTGCTGACTGAAATATATGTTAATTTATATCTTAAAGAAAGTTATGTTAGTTACATTATTTAACGTAACCATCTCTGTTATTACGAGTCGATAAACAGTATGAGTATATTTTTCATTATAATTTTTAAATTAATTATCACATAAATCAATACTTCCCACGTATGTTGTTGTATCTCCAAAACTATAAATTTACAGTAGAGTTTTTCAAAGATTTAAATTAAACCAAAATCTGGTAAAATTTGAAAATTACAACATTAGGTATGCGTCTGACAAATGTTTTAAAAAGAGTGTTTTTGTTGTTTTTTTACTTTGAATGGATATAATAATGATCCATAATAGAATATTTTTCAGAAAAAAAGCAAAATAGAATTTTTGTGGCATACTTACAACAACTTACGTCTGAGGTATCGAAATATATTGAAGGCTGTTTTTTTGAATGTTTACTTTATCGATTTACTTTTAGAAACGAAATTGTCATTATGTCTAGTATTTAATGGATATTTAATTAATTACTGTTAATAAACAAGGTTTAACTTTTCATATTTTTAAATCAACAAAGTTTCTTAAACTTCTGTACTATAAAATTATAAATGTTATAACTTTATAAGATATCAAAGTGTACATATATTAAATTACTCTTTGTTCTTAAGGATTGGGTTCAGTAGAAATATGTAAAGTGTATAAGAATCAGATAATGAGATGTCCAAGCAGTGACATATACCGTCCGCGCAATGGAATTTTACACACAATACAATTTACTTGCATAAGAAAAAAAAACTACATTAAATTGTTTGATAAATCAGAGCATATATTTTAAACTGATACTTTACTGTTTAGTTTAGATAAAATATTTTCAGTACTTTTTGCATGACAGAGTAACAAACATTGATAAATTCTCACAAAGTTTTGCATTTAATGCCAACCGAACAATGCGTTCAAAACACTGCACAGGTCTATTCCCACACATATTCCGGTCTACTTGCACAGGTGACCTCTCCGGTAGATCGTAAATTGTATGGCCGGCATAAGTTAGGAGGATTTATTGACAATTTCGAGACCAGTTAAACACTTACCGCTGCTATAACGTTTATGATAGTTATGTTATCCTGCATGGTTCCATTGCTGAACTCCTCATCGAAGTACCAGCTTCGTTGAGTTCGGTAAGACACGGAGTGGTTCTGGCTATTGAAGGACACGTTGATGTGGCGACGATGCTCACGAAAACGATATGGACCTAACGTTTGAAAGTTAATATAGTAATTGATAAGAAATTATACAGAAATATATATATACATATATATTATGTGAAAGGTGACAAACGAGCAGACGGTCTACTTGATGGACAGTAGTGACCGTCGCCCATTGACATCCGCAACAGAGATGTTACGGATGCGTTGCCAACCTTGATTGTCTATGAAATAAGATGGGAATAGAGAATAGGCAACCGTCCCTCTCACTCATCGGACGAAACGCAGCCACTAAAGGTTACTACGCTGATCTTTTGTGAGAGGGTGGTACTTCCCCGGTCGAGCCAGCCCACGTTTGAGCTGTAGTAACTGACTACAGCTAGGCTCTAAGACCTTTAAATATTTAAATATATAATATTTAGTAAATATTTTATTATATTATATTTATTTCTATTAGAAAAATCTTCTGTGATAGCTATCTGAATTTAATTGTCATCTCAATAAATGTTTTCATTTGGTGATATTCTTATAAAAAATATATACAGTAGGAGAATTGATCAGGAAAATATTACTTTCTTACTTAATTAATTTTAGCAAATTCAATAAATCAAATGTCAAGTTGTTTATCATTAAAAAATATTGCGACAGGAAGACGCAATTGACAGCTATTTTTTAACGTAATACATTTATATTTAAACGAGGAAAATAACAGAAAATGTACGAAAATATAGACTTAAAAATAAATATAATTCATCAAGTAAATTAAGAGGCGTGCACATGTATTATAGGTTATAAAAAAAAACTTTTAATGGCTACAGTCAAGTTCATGTTTATGCAAAAACTTTAATGAAATAGAATATGTATCGAAAATTTTTTATCGACTAATCTCGACTTCTAATGACCTAATAAAGTCATAAGCTTATCTTTATAATATTGATAAGATATTTTAAAATCATCTTTTTAAGGCAAAAGATCCCACATTTTTTGCGTCGAAATAAATAAGTATATTTTTTTCGAGGCTACAAATGTTTTTATTATGTATTATATAATAAATAAAATAAAAATATACTAATCAGTATTTGTGTTACATAATTTTTCACATTATTAGATCCGTATCTGACGTTTTTGTATACCTACATTTATAAATCTCAACATTTAATCTTGATATCATAAGCATAAAATTATAAATTCAAGAATATTTATTATAATAATATATAATAGTGATTCTGTTGAAATTTGCAAACTAAATCAATAATCAAATAATAATATTTCTATTAATAATTCATTTTATAATGGGGATCTGCTACTACTTCAAGCAGACGCACTAAGCCAGTTGCGTTGTATTTTTTTCGTGAGTGGATTTTGGAATGAAGTTGATTAATTTGATTTTTTAAAATAATATTAATTAGTTTCATGTAATAAGCTGGGATGTTTGTAATTTTTCAGATTTATCCAATATTCCCAGTAAAACAAAAATAGCCTTAACAAATTTATTTAGCACGTCAGTGGTGGCCTATTGGTGAAAAGGCCCGCCTCTCATGCATGAGGGCGCGGGTTCGATCCTGGCAAGTAACAATGTGATTTTTCCGAGTCATATGTACTTTCTAAGAGTATTTAGACATCACTAATTAATGTATTCCCACAAAGGGTTGATGTCAGGCAGGCGGCCGGTCGTAAAAACAATAAGCCAAAATTATTCACAACATGTAAGGCAGACGATGGCTAAAGCTGGGAAAATGCCAGGAAGAAGAAGTGTAAATAAATTTACACTTCTTCTTCCTGGCACTTCTTCTTCCTGGGCACTTCTTCTTCCTGGGCCTCAGAAACATGTATACTTTTGGCATTTGCAAACTCTTTTTCCATTACATCCTTATACATTGCGACTAGGTACATATATTTCACCACATAAAATATATAAAGCGTTATCTCGTTATTCATCTATGTCTGATAAGAACTTTAAGAAATTTTTCTTTTACAGATAGACTGATTTTTACGCTTGCGTTAAAAATGCTGATTGAGCACAGTTAGATATAAAAAAACAGAGGAATAATATAAAGAAAATAAATCATTGAATTTTATATAAAGCTAAAGTAGTGTTCCCTAGGGCATTTGTCTGTCCTTTGAGCATACTTATTTTTGAAATAATTAATTTAATAAAATGGTAAATTTTTTACTGTAATAAGAATGCTATTTTTTATTATTTCAAATAATTTGGTTTGCTTGTGTACTTCGTGATGATTATGGTTTATCTCAATCAATATATTTTTGAGTCCCCGAGATAGACCGAACTATTCCTTGGGTCAGGTCTGGAGGTCCGAAAATTTAGGCGACATGTCCAAAATATATTTTATTCATGCATACAGAAAAGTCAGCTATGGCGTATATCTATACAATGAAGCTAATAAATTAACTATACATATAAAATTCAAAAAAGTAATTATAACGCGGTAATGTAGATATGCACTATATTATTGCTTTTCGTCAATACTGATACTGCTAAGTAGCAGTACAGACAGTACAGACAGTAGCCTGTCTGCCTATCTATTCGCAACAAACTCAAAAACTTTTAAAAAAGACTTGACCGAAAACTCCAATTAAAAAACCCTTGCGAAAATAGGACGGGTTGCTACTTATATTTTATGAATTCAGAAACAAGAGTAACTCCTATAGCATTTAATGGGCTTGAAAAATATAAATAAATATGTCAAATACAAAAAGTAGAAAAGAGAAACATGTCTTTGGACCGTTTAATGTAAGAAATCTATTTTTATATTATTGTAATGGGTAGCATAAACACGTTCTTGCCCCATACCACAAAACCCTGCCAAAGGGTTTTAATTTGTATGGGTACATCAGCGATGCATACTGGATGCAGAATTTGCATCGAAACTTATATAATCTTCATTCTTTTTCCCAACACATTCGATAAATATAGGACCTATGCCATTATTTCCAAGCCAACCAGTATTCTAATATCTGTATTCATGTCACATTAAATTCGCAATATATAACACTTTTAGAAATATATATGTATTTTGATAAATATTTAACACTTATTTTACATCTAATACTAATAAATCATTTCCACGACACATTTTATTTACTTGATATTTAGATAGTTTCGCTAAAAACAAAATATTTTCTTGAGAAATAATTTTATAAAATTCGGATAAAAGTAAGTGTTACCTATATATTTTTTGAATAAAAAAACCTAATTTGCAAGCAGAGAAAACTGTAAGCAGGCAGTATTTTCTACAAAAATGCCTAATACATATTAGGTTATTTCACAAGAATTTACTTAGTAGATAAGAGCTTTTTTTAAGAGATAGAATGTCTACATTATGACGACATTCTTCATTAAGTAAAGATTATATATGAAGTTGAAGGAGGGGAGATATTATACATATCGAGACAAATAAAATAATAAAAAATATGATTTAAATACTTGCGAATGTCACACTAAAACAGTCTTACTTATGGAAAGAGCAGCAGTACTTCGGAGTGATCAGTGTATATTTTTCGCCGTTTAATTATTTATAACGTAAGTTTTTTCAAATATATATTTTTAATATAATATTTTGTGTTCCTAAACTTTCAATAAATTGTACTAACAATTTTGCGGTTTTAAATGATATTTTTTGCTAGTTATTATATTTTTTATAAAACTAAATATCTTAGAAAAATATTTTTTATACTGCATATTATTTTCTTTGGCTATGATCGGACTTTTTATAGGTAACTTTTCGATAAATTGTGACTTGGATATCCTATTGTGGTAATAAAACAGATCCATACACACAAACACATATTATTTTTTAGGCTTTTAACTAATAAGAACCCATTATCATTACGGTATGTTCAAACACCACTTCTTAAAATTTACTTTCTTTTTAAAATTATAGCTAGCTATAGGAATAGATTATTAATTTTATCTGTATTTAAGTCAATTTTAGACTTTTCGCAGCTTTTAAACAATCCACAAGTAAACAATCAAATAATACAATCATTTTTAAATCAGCGTCTTTCAGGATGTGCATATTTTCCTTTGTTAGTGAATTAATCTGATTGATTTTGTATCACTCATAAGAACAAATAAATATTCATTCTTCGTATATCACGCGCAAAAAAGTTTAAGATAACTTTACCTAGTTCCTCTAGATTCGGCAGCTCCTCAGGAAATCGATCAGCGTTGGTCCAATTAAAAACGTATACGTTGAAGAAGAGAGGTAGGGAAGGCGCGACCCATTCCTTGTAGCCTCGGGAAGTTGGTGTTAATGTGACTTGCTGAAAATAAAAATTAAAATATAATAATCCATAGTTATATAAATATTAGAATGAGATTTTTTGCGTATAATTATAGAGTTTATGTACATTAAAACGGGTGGGCTTTTGCTACTCCGTAGTGAGCCATCTTATGCCGAGAACTTGACCACGTTTTTGGGAACCAAAACTTTTTTATTAAATTTTGTTTCTAATATTAGAAATGAACAGCTTAGTTGTAGTATATTTGCTTGCGTGAGAAATAAATTTGGATGAAATTATGAGTTTTAAATTCAATGTATCAAAAAGCGATTTGTATTTTCATTATAAATCTACAAATTTTATCTTGACTTTATAGTTTATTTTGCAAAACGAAATTGAAGCTTAAATGTATGTCATTCGCATTTAGTCTGTCCGTGGTCACGATTGCTGAAATGTAACCGACACGTCGGGAGTATGTAGTTTTTACAATAATAAAATACGCGTAGTATAATCCGAAAAATATTAGTTTCATTTAAATGAACACTCACGAGAGACTTAGATGTCGATATTGAAGCAATATAAACATCTCTAATAAAAAAAATTCTGTTTTCCAATAATTACCTCTGGATTAATTTTGTTCGTTGCTATTAATAGTATCAATGCTACGTCAAAATTTCTTTAAGCAACATTGTTCAGCAAATAGGACAAAGAACGGCTCGCTCATACCGATTAACCTATAAAGTGGGCTGTTTAGACCAAATAATTGAAAAGGTTGCTTTAATATGTGTCTAGATCAACCAGATGTTGTTTCAAGGGAATTGTATCATGTATCGATTATCCACAATTAATAACAATTGAAACGCTATTGTTATTCTAAGAAGTATATTATGACTTTTAATTATTAATTTATAATTATTATTATGAGGTGTTATGATAAAAAAAATTTGGTTTACAGTTTCCTTGTAAATATTAATTATCATATGTTCATTAGTTTCTCACGGTATATTTATAAAATCTATACATAATGTATTTATTATTAAAACGAAGTTTAAAAGGAGTTATTGGGACAAAATCTACTATGATTATTTTATTTATACATATATTCATACTCATAGTGCGTTAGATAGGGGTCCCTTAAACCTACACCTGGGTCGCAAGTCCCAGGCACTGTTGAAGCTCCTCTCCCTACAACGATGGACCCGACACACGCACCGTGAATCCATTGAATGCTAAGAAGTTTCTTCTCATAATCGTAACTCAGCGGTAGTTTTTTTTATTACGACTTGTACATATTTCATAATTCTCAATAACTTGAACTGTCTAAAGCCAGCTTATAATGATCTTTTAATCCACTATCCAGCTATATTTAGTAACCAAATAAAACATTTTTTATATGCAGATATACTGAAATTTATATTTGCATAAATAAAATAAAATTTTATATATGTCAAATGTATTTGAAATGGAATTTATAATACAAATTAATATTGGGCGGAGATTTATCATATTTGACAACGAGTGGTTCTGTATACAATAATGTTTCAAGTCATATGTAAAACTTAACTTAATCTGTCAATGAGATATGCCTTTGATTGAAGTTACAAAAAAAACATAATATATAACAAAACAATTATTTCTATAAATCGATATAGTTAGTCAGTTATTTAATATTAAATGTATTGGTTTCCCATACTTTTAATATGATATTACTTCTTTTTTAATTTATGATTGTTTCATTGACGAATTCTATAAGAAAGTATAAGTGAGTTTAGATTGTTTTGCGATTTAAAATATGTTGAAAAAAATCTGTATAAACGTATTTATCTTAATAATGCTTTCGTGTAGCAACCGAATTTTGATTACAAGTAAGAATATAATGTAAAGAATGGCTAATAGAAGTAAGATTTAAATAAAATATCTATGTTTTTGAAGGCTTCATAACATACATATATATGTAACTTATAATATATACTAAAAGACAACAGAGTGCGTTTGTGTAAATTAAATAAGGGAACCCTGAAATCACGAGAGCGTAATAAACTATTTGAATTCTTAACAAATAACAACAATTTTGCATTCCATTTGCATAAATCTATTTATAAACCATTTAAATGTTGGCTTATAATACGATGAATATACAAATAATACGAATGGTTATAATTCAAGCGGAGAAACAAGAAAGATGCTATTTATAAAATACTTAATAACACTGAAAATATTATAAAATAAAATAACTTTGATATTCAAAAAGGGGTTTTCAAAATATAAATGCTTAGAAAATATTTTAAATTTAAATTCCCAAACGATTTTTATATGTTAACAGTTAAAATAAAGTATTGTTTAGAACAGGCTGTTTAAATAATTCATTTTAATCATATAGTTTAGGAGATTCAATAAATTTGGCATACCTTTATAAATGGTAGCATAAAAAGTTATGTATTATTAAATCAAAAAATAATACTCTTATTTGCACTCTTGTATGTTAATTTAAATGAAAAATCTAAATATTCTTTAAAGAATTACGTATTTCTAAGTACATTTCTTTTTTAATTTCATTCGATAAGTAACAGTTTTCTAATATCTACATTAAGATGAGTATGTTCGCTGTTCACTACTTTGGTCTAGCTCTACAACAGACTTAGGATTCAAAATAAATATAACAAAGCAGTAGCGCCATTTATATTCTGCAGTCATAACTTTATCCGAAATACAACTGTTATACTTCTAAGAGAAATATACGGCAATTAAGTTTTTGTGTAGTCATTTTTTTCCTAATGTCTAAAGTTGCTAGTAGAAATATCCATTTAGTTATATGAAGGTTTATTAAAAAAAAAATCTAAATAGCTCACAATTTTCAGCTCTGTTTATTTTGAGTATCGTGTTTAAGAAACTTATTTATATATACCATAAATAAGTTACAAATATTTCCTGTTTTGTATATTATTTGTACGAAAATGACCACTGATTGATTGTCGATTGAGTGTCGATTAGAAAGTTCTGGTTGAAACTTGAAGGATACGAATATACTCACTGATGAAAAGGCTAACTCGAAGACAGAATTCCACATGAGTGCTGTGACAAGAGCAGCACAGGCCAGAACTGCTGTCAGGGCGACCGCCGTACGACGGTAGAGTGGGGCTCGCCCTCGCATGGCTCACCACCTACCACCTGGATTAAAACAATTAGAAAAAATTACTTAGAGAATATTAAGTCGCCGATACTGCAATCAATACATATGGAAGAAACGCAACTTCTCAGCATTCCATGGATTCACCGTGCGGGTGCCGGGTCCATCGCGTGGCAGGGAGAGGAGCTTCAACAGTGCCTGGGACTTGCGACCCAGGTGTAGGTTTAAGGGGCCCCTTAACTAACGCGCGTTATACGCTCACCTCCACTGTCCAAGCTCCTCTCCCTAAATACCTAACAATATTAGTCTCATGATCACGAAAAATTTATCTAATATGTAAAATTTCCACGTAACAATGTTAGTTACTGTACGCCGAAACGGCTTTACAGATTATTATCAAATTTTATATTCAGTAGGTCTGAGAATCGGCTCCTATTCATTTTTACACCCGTAAGTGACAAAGGTTGTTTGTTCACCCTAAATTTTTTTTTATATTTGGACAATTTTTTTTAATGATACGGCATTAAAAAATCAACAACCCCTATTTTTATCCCAAAACAACGTTTGCTGGGTCAGCTACTGGCTATATGAAATCAAGAGAGTGAATTTGTAGACTGGCAAAATGGGGTTATATCCAAAAATTATGCTAATTTCTTATGTACCCCTTGTACGATATAAAATGAAAGTGAAACTTTTAAACAAATATGAAATGAATAAATTAATTTCATTCAAAACTATTTTCCTTATGTTAGAATGTTTTCAATACTAATATTATTATAAAATTATGGTAACAAAACTGTTATTGTTAGCAATAAGTTTAACAACTGCATCACGTATCCCAGAATTTATGCATCTAAATTAATAAAGTTGTATTGTTCTTATACTTTAATTAAAGGTTAATGAACTGTTGAAAAACAAAATATTGAGTGCATATCATTATTTAATTAACAAAATTTATATTAAATAGGTTTCTTTATAATAAATTTTCAACACACAAAAAGTATAGTGGTCTAACTTTTTGCAATAATGACGTATCAAATGTGTTTGTAAAGATAAAGATCATGTAATAAATTCTCTTTTAATCATCAATTATTTATTATTTATGTATTTATTTATTCACAATTTTTGCTCATAGATAGTATAAAAATAAATAAGTCCTGATTATTATCTAATCCATACATAATATATTATTTTTTTCTTATTGTGTATCAATAATTAATATACTATATATTTTTTATCTTTTCCCCGATGAATGTTTAACAATGTCATTATAATGTCCCGAGAGATTGAAAAACTATTGCTAGCACAATACTATATGAACAGAAATAGCCTGGATTTATAAATTGAACAATAAGATTCAAAGTCATTCTTCTTATTCTCCTTCCTGGCAAATTCCTAGCTTTAGCCAGGGTCTGCCTAAGATTCAAAGTGATTATTGCAAAGTAATTGTAATGATTTGACCGCGGAGTCAAAAGAATTATGTTTTTGACCACGTCGTTAAATGTTACCTTACAAGTTAACGTTTAAAATTAAATTTATTGCAACAATTTGTATATCATTCGTTAATTTAAGAATGTATTAGTAATTAATATATTCAAAATCTAGAAAAAATAAGAACAGACTACAAATAAGGTGCAATAATTAATTAATTTAAACTTGCAACTCGTTTAAATATGTATAAAGATTTTTGAGATACTTGTATAAGTGTTTAAAATTAACTATATCTTGCACACGTAAATGAAACTATTCTTAAACATGGCGTTGATAGAGCCTTCGCCTGTCAAACTAAAAAGGTAACAAGATTTTATTACTTGATTTATTTTAAATAGAAGTATGTTAAATACATCGAGTTTTTTTTTTGTTTTTTATATCAATTTTATCAGTTATTTCACAATTAGTTTAAATTTTGTTTTTTGCTTTTCGTTTTTTGTGTGTACTTCTTTTGTTCAGAATTATATATTGTTATGAAAAATATTTTGCATGTTTTTCTAATAGTTTACAATTACTTATCTTATCTTTAGAAAATATATTATCATCTTTAATTATCAGTATTTTATAATAAATAAATATGTTATCTTTAGATTTTTGGATACTTTTGCACCTGGCATTGTTTTTAAACTTATATCTGTTTTACGACGGCGTTCTTGTTGTTTTGTGAGCTGCAATATAAATTGCGAGTTACGTAGTTAACGTGACATACATAAATACGACATATTTTTGGCTATATATATAATATGAGTATACTGCATATGGTATGATTACTGAGGATCAATACTATGATGTAAATTTAAAATCCCTATAAGGCTATTGAACTTAATTTTGATGTATCTGTCTTCAGCTTTACCTTATCATATGTATTATCAATTGAATTGAAATTGACATCAAAATATAATCTAAATATACATATATAAAATAGACAATATTTTTTTATATACATATATTATCTTCATCACAGATAGTCAGCGATAAATAAAAAAAATAAAATAATAATGAATTAATATAGAATAAAATATTCTTGAATTATTTATGTTTATTTTTATATATTATGATTTTTTTTTACTGATATGTCGAGGTTGTGGAGCCGATATAATCTTTGGAGATAATAAGGAGATGAATTTGAGAGATTTATTTATTAAGATAATCTCATTCATTTGCTGTAAAAATCATGCAAATGTGAAAAAATTTTCGTATTAATTTATTGATATTTTAAATAATTTTGAATTTTATGCGTCTGGTAGTTAATGTGAAGCTAAATAGTGACATTTACAAGGATTTTTACACCAAATTAGCACTTCGCGCCACTAATGATTTTGAGGTGGGAATTATTAAAAATCTGTACAAAAACCAACAAAACAAATTTTTATATAACACTAGTTTTCTCCCATGACTTCGTCCCCATTAACTTCTTCATTACTGACCTGGCGAACTCTATTCCACCCTAGAGGCTATAAATAAACAGATTTTTTTTCGATTGAACATAATTTAATATCCTATGTCCATCTCCTGGTTTTAGGCTATCTCCCGACCGATTTTCAACCAATTTACAGTCGTTCTTGAGTTATAAGAAGTATAAGCCTTTAAGTTCTTGAGTTAGTAAGTCTAACTAACACAAATTTCTTTGATATATAAAACTTAAAGAATATTTGTTGATATTAATTTAGTTACAGACTAACTAATATGAAAAAGGTGCCAAATATTTTCATAATTTACATCATTAAGTTCGTATCGAGACGTGCAAACTATATGTTATGCCGTTTTTATATAATACTATGATCTATATATTATACTCGTTGGTCTCTCGGTGACTGAGGTGTACCACAAGCATCTAATAACGATAAATATAAAATACTTGAGTTCTATCAAGAAACTTCATTATTTAAATTATATAAATAAAATTGCAATTCGATATATTATAAAATTTGCATATCAACTTATAATTATGGTAATTGTAACATATGTACGTCTGTCTATCTTTACGACTAATCTTTTAATTTATTTCGATATGATAAATATGTATAGTCAGTGGTGGCTCAGTGGTTAAAGGGTCCGCCTCTCGGCCTCTCGTCGCCGAGGGCGCGGGTTCGATCCCGGCCCGGGCAAGTACCAATGTGATTTTTCCGAATCATATGTACTTTCTAAGAGTATTTAGACATCACTGATTAATGTTGATTCCCAAAAAAGGGTTGATGTCAGGCAGGCGGCCGGTCGTAAAAACAAATAGCCAAAAACTATTCACAACATGTAAGGCAGACCCTGGCTATAGCTGGGATATTGCCAGGTAGAAGAAGAAGAAGAAATATGTATGGTGTGAAAAAGGAGACTTATAATATTGGGAATGTATTGTTTATGACGCGGGCGAAATCACAAGTAATAATTAGATTAAATAACTGATGAGAATTGTGTACATACTCGTAGGTACATATGTTTGAAGCAAGTGTAGACCTTTAAGAAATGTCTTGAGTATTTTTGATAATGATATGTAAGATTTTCACGTATATTCATTTAAATTAAACTAAAATTTTAACATATACTAGGCGTTTTTATCTATATAATCCCACGTTTCGGTTACTTTACAGCAACCGTGATCACAGGCAGACGAGATAAAAATTTCTCATTAAACTTTGATCACGATTGATGTAAAGTAACCGAAACGTCGAGAGTATGTTGTTTTAAATAATATAAAAGGCGTAGTATATCCTAAAATCTTATTTTTATTCATAAAAATAATTATGAAAACTGCAAGAATATTTAAAACAATATACAACCCAGCTCTAAACAACTCGTCAGTCTTGCTTTATACTTCTATGACTGTCCTTAATATAAGTTTGAAACAATTACTTTACTTCTTACGTCTTTATAAATACTTCTTACTATTACGTTAGAGAAGTATATTTCAATTTATACTTTACATTTTATATTTATTAAAATCAGTAAGAAAAAGTTTTTTTATCAAGTAATAAATTATATGATTTTAATTCTGTTACACAATTCTGTGTAATAATGTGTACAGTAAAGTTAGCCGCGTGGTGTCAATGTCATTGGGTCATCTTATTGGAATACAATCGTAATATTACATAACATTATATAAAACTTTGACTAAACTCGTCTATCGTCTTCGTTATTTAATTAAATTACGAAAACAATACAAGTAAATATAATTATGCTTGTTACGTACGGGCTAACACCAAAAGATTCCTGATACCACACAAGCTATGGAATGGTATTGCTATCCTAACATCAGGGCAATCATATAGTCGTAGGTATAGGTAATAAGTTTTAATATGTAATTCTTATTATAATATACATATAAGTAAGTTTCATAGTTTTCCTGGAACCTCCGATTTCCACGCTACGTAATATCTATCTAGTATATGTACTACTAGTTTGGTTCGACAAACTAAATACTGAAAGTTTGAAGTCATAATTAATAAATATATACACATTGCAGTGTCAATGTAATGAGTTAGTTATAAAAGGTGAGTTCGTTCTAAGGGTACATATGTATATGTATTATGTGTATTGCA